GAAGTCCTATGACATCATGACATCATACCCTGTAGGTACAATTTTATGAAGCATCTGATTAGTCAGAGCATCCTAATAGAAAAGTAAAGTAAAGAAACACTAGAGAAAACAACTCAGAAATAATGAACAAATAATAGTACACAATACGCGGGCTTTTTAGATAGGTTTTTGTTAGGCTTTGAACTTTTCTCTATGGGTTTCTCTAGCCAAAGTGAATAAGCCAAATGAAAGGCAATACCTTAACCTTCATTTTGCTTCTCATATCAACTAGGTCATTATGTGATTCCCATCTCACATATGACTTTTCTTCAAAACATGGTGGATTCATGAATCACTGAGGGAAAACTGAAACTATTGGACCAAGGTTTGATACCAAGGTATGGGTTGACTAGTCTGAGGACTAAGCTAACAGACTTTGTCTTTTAGGGGGATACCTAGTAGTCATGTCCATGCATGATTCCCAAATCATGCAGGACACCGTGCGTGCCTTCAGCGCATTTCTCGCGCTTTCACCGCCATTCACCAGGGTTGTTCAGCATCATTCTGTGGATCCTTGCTTTCCTTGCTTCCCCTTTAGGGTCAAACATTCTTGCATTCTGCGAGTATAGCAGCTAGGCAGAGCTGAGACTCACTTATACTGGCTGAGCACTTTTCTTATATGTGCCTGCCAGGTTGTGATACCCACACCGTTTCACTCCCCTCTGCATCTGCACCTGTGGGGTGCACTGCAACTTCTTCAACTCCTTCGCCACTGCTGCGATCTTTCACACACGATTGAGGCTACAATAGTGCTGATTCCAAGGGACTCAGTGCGTAATCGGACCTTAGCATTATATCACTCACATCATCCTGTGGACCCATTGCAAGTAAGTGAGTTTGCTCAACGAGTATTTGGACTCTAACACTTTGCTGTGTGATCGATAACCAGCGTCAATTGGCACTGAACAGTTTGTAATTATAATCTACAGTGGCTCAAAAAAGTGTCACAATGTTTGTGGCTTTTCATGTAATTGCTTTCTTGTGAGTCAGGACGTGGGAATATGACTAAGCCATAGGGAGGGGTGGAAAAGCCCTGCTTCTTCGCTTCAATTCCGTCCCCTACAGCATGGGAAGCTGATGTTATCAAGTGAAGATATGGTCATTTTAATTTGGTGATTCATTGAGACACTTTTTTTGACTTTATAAAAATTTAGCAAAATCAGGTCACCTAGACAAAATGTTATGACTAAGTATCTAAAAAAATGGTGTTATGTCAATAATATGGTCTGACTGTAATATCTTACATCTATATAAGTGCAAGCTAGAGCATGAAATTCTCCATAATCCTCATGAAGCCTATCTCCTCTACTCAACAGGATAATATCCTTGTTCTCAACTTCTCTGGTCTATCTACTAGGCAGATTGCTTCCAAAACTGGTTTAAGTTGGGCTACTATTGCTAGGGTCATCAAGAAATCTAATCCAAATAAAGAAAATATCAATATGGGCCATCCTTCCAAGCTCACCCCCCATGATAAGAGGGCTATTGTTCACTGTATTCTATCTGGAGAAGCTTCAAATGCTGTTCAAGCCACCAATTCATTAATTCCATCATCCCCTCCACTGTTTCCACCCAAACAGTCAGAAACACTCTCAAGGCAGCTAACCTGAAAGCTATAACCAAGAAGAAGAAACCTCTTCTTTGACCAACTCATAGGAAGAAGAGACTAGTCTTGCTCTGAAGCACCACACTGGCCTGTTGAGGACTGGAAAAGAGTTATTTAGTCAGATGAGACCAAAATCAATAGACTGGGTCAGATAGTCAGGAATATGTGTGGAAAAAGGCAGGTGATCCACTAGGAGGACAGAGAAGTGAAGGCACGCTCAAGTTGGAGGAGGAAACTTGATGGTATGGGGCTGCATGGGATGGAATGGAGTGGGGATTCTGTGTGAGGTGGAGGGGAGGATGAATGCAGAGCAGTATGCCTCCATTCTAGAGGAGTGTTTGCTTAGAAGCATGAAGGAGTCAGGTATTGATGAAGAGGACATCATCTTCCAGCAGGACAATGATCCAAGCATACCTCAAGACTGGCTACAAAATGGTTTGAAGACCATAATATCAATGTTCCATCATGGCCAGCACAGTCTCCAGACCTCAATCCCATTGAACATCTTTGGGAATTACTCAAAAGACTACTTGCTGCCTATCAAGATCCTCCAAGGGGCTATTTGAACTATGGGAGAGAGTTGTAGTAGAGTGGAGAAAGATTACTAAGGAGGAGTGTCAGAAATTGATAGAACGTATGCCTAGGAGGGTAGCAGCAGTTATTAAAGCCAAGGGGGGTAACACAAAGTACTAGAATCATACAATAGCATTGGTAAAATACAAAGTCCAAAAAGTGTCTCAATGAGTCACCAAATTAAAATGACCATATCTTCACTTGATGACATCAGCTTCCCACACTGTAGGGAACGGAATTAAAGCGAAGAAGCAGAGCTTTTACAACCCCTCTCTATGGTTTAGGTCATATTTTCACATCCTGACTCATAAGAAAGCAATTACATGAAAAGCCACAAACATTGAGACACTTTTTTGAGCCACTGTATTATTATATTTATAAATTATCTAAATATAGTGGCTACCAGCTGGCTTGACCTGCCAGCCATGGCTAAATTGGATGAGCCGAGCCCTTGAGTATGTAAGCTGTGCATTTGTAACAGCTTGGCCAGCCACATTTTAATTTCGGCTGCAGCTGGGCTCAAAGCCAGAGCCACAGCAACACTACTCACGAGTGCTCCATTCATGGTTATGGAGCACTCATGAATGAGTTTCTCCAACGCACCTGAACTTGGTTATGGGAGCACTCATGAATGAGTTTCTCCAATGCACCTGAACTTGGCAGCATGTTGAGGAGCCTACAAAAAATAAGGATCAGGGATGCTGTATATTGGAGTGCTCGTGAGCTTCTCCAGTGCACCCATAACCAAGAAGGGAGTACCCTTACAAGTGCTCCCTTCATGATTATGGGAGCACTCATGATGATGAGCTTCTTCAACGCACCTGACCTTGGCAGCGCATTGAAAAGCCTGCAAAAATAAGAAATGAGGGACACTGTATATAAGCTTCTCCAATGCACCTGACCTTGGCAGCACACTGCGAATGCTAGGAAAAAATAAGAACCAGGGACGCTGTAAGCTTCTCCAACGCACCTGACCTTGGCAGAACACTGAGAACGCTAGGAAAAAATAAGAACCAGGGACGCTCATCAGAAAAAAACCAAAATGGTGGGAGTACTAGTGACAGTTACATAGTCCTACATAGCTGCAGTAGTGATATATAGTCAACCGAGTTACTCTATAGTCCTATGTAGCCGAAGTGAGGGCTATGCAGAGCTACCAGAGGTGCTGCGAGTGACTTATAATGCAGTAGCAACAGTAGCAGATTGTAGTATCATGGAGCAGTGTAGTACTAAGTAATAGCGGAAATACAAAAACTATCTAAGTCAATGAATGTATTCAGATAAAAATCAGTTGCCAACTCATAGGCGTTTGCACTTGTCCACCCGGGGTTGATGGATTGTCCCATTTTTGGTATTAGGTGACATGGACGAAGAATTTCGTCAACATGAATCACGGCTGCGTTTTGATGCAGTCGTTGAGTCGAACGAGATACCTGAAGCAGGCCAGAGAAGGGGTCTGGTGTGACAATCATATTGGCGCTAGGCATGTATACCTGCATAAACCTTCAATAGGTGGACCAAAGCTAGACCTCATATCATTCACTATTCCCCTATACATGGTCTTCACTTGTCTCAGCTATAATCCTTGTCTGACACTATTCCGCACTTTCCCGCACTATGCGCGCACATTCCTGCAGCACTATTCATGTTCCCGCGACTTATCCTGCGCTATTCCCGCGCTTATAGCACTGTCGGAACTACCAGCAATGTGTCTATAGGAGCATTAGTGCATGTCCGCTCTATATAGTGCTTGTTCCCGCGCTTAGCGCTTATCCAGCGCGCTATTCTCGCGCTCTAGGAATCACCCGAAACATCGGAATCCATCCATGGTCCATCCTACCTCATTGGTATGTAATTTGCCTTGCCTCGAGTTTGTAAAAAGTGCTACAGTCTTATTACATGTATATCCTATCCCTTCCGAGTCCGAGATGGTATAGTTTACTAGTATAAGAAGCCTATGGTGACTATTTCAACATCACTTCCCTTTGACTGTATTTCCTTCCCTTAGGTTTTACTTAGAAGTAGTCACCCTTTAGTTGCGCTCTATGGCCCCTATTTGACTTTCCTTACCCTTGCAATCAATACTCTTGATCTCACTCGCTATTCATTACCCTCCTTTGACTCAGTGTCCGCTTTCTTGACTTCCGCTCTTTCCCGCGCATTAGCGCTCTATCTTGCGACGCGCTATTCCCGCGCTCTAGCGCTCTTTCGGGTCTTTCGATCTTGAGTTGTCCTTAGTAGCTTTTCCCTCGGGTCGAACGTTCTTGCTTTATTGTTTGCAAGTATAGCAGCATAGGCAGAGCTTAGACATATACTGGCTTAGTACCTTTACAAGTGCCTAGTCAGGTTGTGTTTTTCACACCGGCTCCCAGAATGGCGTGAACCATTCAATGTAAGCCAAAGCTCGAGAATATGTCCCGAACTGATGAGGCAGTGTGAAAATGACATGGACTTGTGCCACTTGTGCGCCTACAGCCTCCATATGAATTTTGCAATGGTGAAATAGTAACAACCACTTACCATCTAATGTCTGTACATTTGTGGTCCGAGCGCCATTGTTGATCAGCGCCATTGTTGATCAGCGCCATATCAAATTTGGCAGGGGATCCTGGCTTCCGGCCAGGACCAGGAGGTACTTCGGGTGTTGCTCTGATGCGCCATCGCCGTGGTGATTCACCTACCCGCGGATCCAGCGGAGCGACAATGACAACTTGCCGGAAAATGTCAAAACGATCTTGTGGACCAGGGACAATGTGATTTTGTGGCATATGCTTGTGTAAGAAGAGTTTGAGGGCTGGGAGAAATGAGACTGCGCCATGTGCAGTGATGAGCTGCTGAACAGATGTCCGAGGGTGCGCAGGAGCCTTGGCGAGAACATGGAGTACACATTGCCCAATGACAGGAGGTGCTTTGGCGGGGGCAGCACGAGACTCAAATTGCAAGTCTTCCATCTCGGAATCCGAGCCTGAATCAATGTTGTCATCATGGTCAGCATGACCAGCTATGGTGGCTGACTGAGACTGCACAGACAGCCATTCGAGATAGGAATTGTGCAAGAACACGGCTTCCTGGCGTTGAAGCCACAGAGCCATTTGTTCCTCATAATCCCGCTTGTTGCTAGCCCGATAGGCTTCCTTAGCGAAGTCGATATGGAGGTGTTCTGGAAGTTCCGTGTTGAAACCGTCAGTGGTACCATACAACGAGATTGGTTGGACATAGTGCGAGAGTTGGTGTAGTTTAGGAATATTAAAATGTTCACGAACATCAAGTTCGTGCAGAATATCCTTGTTGGCGTGAAATACTGCAAGGGCGTTCTCCAGATATTCAAGGGTGTCAGATGTGTGTGTTCGGAGCTGTGCAAAGTAAGAAAAATCTAAGATAGCTCGTGAGACTACCAGGACTTGACTGGCAAATGAAAATTGATTATGTTAGCACAAAGTTCAAGCCGCAAGCATGACATCAAGCGTACCTTGGGACAGCGCCGGCAAGTAACCCTACAAAAACACGTTGCATTTGTTTGTGTTCCGTGCCTGTCCATTGTTTTACTGCTGATATTCCTTTTTTGAAGTGCCGAAGACCTGGATAGTCTGGTATTGCCTTGAAGCGTGCATCCATCTCGGCTTCGCCAACAATTTCAAGACACCATTTCACCAAGTGATCTTTGAAGACACCCTTGTGGAGCTGGTGTAGGAGGTCAGGCGTAAAAGCAAGGAATATGTCTGTGTGCGGGAGATTGGCCCAGAAAGGACTGTAGACGGTGCGTAATCCAAAGTCTTCGAATTCATTTGGATGTTGACCCTTTTTTCGCTTCTCTAAGATCTCTTTTATCAACTGGGGGTCCCACATTGGCGACCTCAGTGGATCGCCTCTTTCATCCGCTGCAACCAGGCACTTTGGGCAGCGATTCTCTTTGCAACATGCCACAAGACATTGTTCCAGAAAATCCGCCACATAAGCCGCAAGGATAGGGTATATTCGACGGACCATCAAGTCAGCACAGACCATTTCAACACTGTCTCATCCTGCGGCAATGAGTGGTTGAAGCAGGAGAGACATACAATGGTGGAAGAGTCTGTAACTAGCAAGGGATCGTGAATCTGATGTGAAACAATCGAGCTTGCCTGCCGGTAAGTACCCAATTAAAACTGTTGCTCACACTGACATCTCCCTTCGTTTTTCTTTTGCGATGTTCCCTATCGAAAGATACACAGGCCACGCAGATTTGTCACTTCGGAACTGCAACAGACATGTCTTGTCTGACGCGAGAATGACAGGTGCAATAGTTGCACCTTTCGGCAGTTGTTTCTGAACATTGCAGGTCAGTGCTTATTTTTTTCACTCAATTTTTTGGTTCAGATACTTACTTGTTTGTCACACCACCAGTCCGCCGTCCACATGTCATTGATGACGCGGGTGAAGTCCTTTGTGGTCCTTGTATGCTTGTGCTGGTGCATATACCATGTGTTCCTTAAATAAAGGATTACCGATGAGATCTCTGATGCACTCTACAGGGTCCCGTGTCCAAAGCTCGACATCCTCGTGCAATAACCAGCCATTCTCATCAGTTTGGTTTCCCTGAATGCTGACCTTCTTGCAACTCCATGCAGGTCCATGTGGAAGCTTGTCAACTTTCTGCAGGAAGGATCGGTTATTGTGAAAGGACGGCTGTGTTCGGTTTTGAGTCTGTCGCTGCGGTAAGCACATTTTTTCAGTGGTCACCAACAAGCTTACTATTGGTAACTTCAGGAACTCGTCTGTATGGGTCTGCCTGAGGCTTCTGATAAGCCATTCTGCAAGTTCCCATTCCTCCCTGGTGACAAATGTTAACCGTCCTGCAGACACAATGAACAGAACGCGACTTGTACTTATCACAAAAAGGTGCCCATTCATCCTCTCCCTCGTCCTCCTTATCCTGCTGATACTTTCAAACTTAGTTTGCCCCTCCCGCAATGTCCAGCTGGCATCAGGGCACTGCTCAAAATATCGCCTGTTATCGACTATCACATTGTCCTCGTCTTCATCGGCAACATCTTCTGCAGTCACCTGCCGAGTTTTTGAGGCTGCCGGGTTGTCATGAGGATCGAAAGATGTTGAGCGTGAGCAGCGAAGCGGAGATGAATGATTGAATGAGAGGTCCGGTAGGCCACCTTCGCTGTCTGTGTCTTCCACCATTGACTCCCATTTTTCTTTACATTCAGGGCGAATAGATATATGCTTTTTGACGCTTCCCTTTGAAGGGAACATCTTGCCACAGAATCCGCAGCTGTGCGACATTGTTGGTGAGTGATTGAAATTCGTTTTCTTCTCGTTTCAACTTCAAGATCATTTCTGACATTTTTCTGACGTTCATTTCACTTTCTGACGTTCATTTCACTTTCTGACGTTCATTTCACTTTCTGACGTTCATTTCACACTTTTTTTTTAGGTTTGCCCATAGCACCAGCACCCTCACCAAGTGCCAGAGCTGAGCTCTATCGCGATGATCCTACCACTGTCATGCCTCTCCTCACCCAGTTTGCTCAGAATTGTAGGGAGGATCTTAAGCGATCTTCAGCGAAAGCAGCATCAAACAATTGCTGCTCTGTTTTATGAGCCTGTTGGTATGTCAATTTCGTACCTTGCGATGAGATTGATCATAATCCTACAGATGCTGTAAAGCTTGATATTCCGACATATTATAAAGTCATCAAGAAGCCCATGGACATGTCTACCACATTGCCTCTCCTCACCCAGTTTGCTCAGAAAATTGCCGATACAAAGTGCATAAAAGGTCTTCTTTCACATTATTTGGCATTGGATTGTTAGGATTTATGTGCACTCACCTCATGACGGAGAGCACCGCCAGAGGCAACATTTTTTATTGATATATATGGTATGTTCCGCGATTTTCGGACTCGTATTGAAATTTGGTTAATGGCACTACCCTAGTCTGGATATACCATGGGCGGCCAGGAGTAATTCCAATAATTGCGCCCGCTTTGCCTCCTCGCAACGCTTTACCTCTGCATCCCAGTGCTCAATGACGAGCCTTCTCACACTTGCTTGTATGATGGTCAAAGCTGGGCCTGGTGCTAATTCTAACAGTCACAATTGATTTGATTTCTCACAGGCTTTCACTTCCGCCTCCCAACGCTCCACAATGAGTCTTCGCAGGTATGTTTGAGATACCAAGACAGGGCCAGGAGTTTGACGAAATGGCGGGAGTGGGACCATGGGCTGAGTGGGCTCTGGCATATGGAGCTCAACGTTAGGTGTTTCAACCTTTGGCCTGCACTGAGTTGGTGAGTATTTTGGGGTACTGAGAAGGGGTAACTTGCCTTTTTATAATGATTTTCCCGTCTTTACAGGTGGCCTCAGTGGATGGCGATACAGGACTGTAATATTCGTTAGAGCATGGCAAGTGTTTGAAGTGAGTTCTATACCGTTTTTTCGCTGAGCCACTCACTGAGGTGTCCATGACAGTCAAAATATTTTGTTAAGGTACATTCATACCTTTTTATCATTCAAAAATTTAACACAGCTTTTAACCCTGCATTAAACGAATCAACAATGATTCAAGGTTTGGATTGTAAGTGTTTATTTCCTGCACGGCGCTATAAAAACTGCTGAATCCCAGGTCCAACAACCATGGCTCTTCGCAAGGCCACCTCTAAGCGAACAAAATCAGGTGCTCCAGTTTCGCTACTGGAAATGGAACCACTTGCGCGCACCACGAGTGGTCGTCAACGACGACCAACTGAAAAAGCAAGCTACCAAGGTAAGTTGCTGCTGTTGCTGCTATGACATTGTATTTTGCTCACTTGTGACATGGCCTCCCTCCAGGGTTGGAATTACAACAGGTTGTCCACCATCAAGCAAGAAAGCAAGATAAGTTAGAAACACGGCAAAAAAAGGTGCTGAAGACGGCCTATCAAAATGATCCCGACCGTTTCAAAAAAGAGCCGTCAGTACTGCTTAGCGACATCGACAAGGAGGAGGACACCATGGTTTGATCACTCATTTCTTTTCGGTCGACTCGATCAACAACTGATTGTTTTTATTTAGTTCTCAGATCACAGTGTGCAGACGAAGCTGTCGAAACCCAAGCTTCTGACTTTCAGTACGGGGAAGATTCCCAAAGCGTCACGCACCACCACTCCCACAACCAGTGCGCACAAGTCGACAAAGGGTCCAAAAGGTATGTAATTGCTGCCTGCGAATTATAGAGAAACTAATACATTTCTATCTAAGCTAAAAGAGTAGTTCCACCAAGTGATAGGGACTTGGACGGCACTTCGGATGGCACTTCTACTACCTCGGATGGTACCAGTGATGAGTCTGGTAATGACTCTGAACCCGAGGCTGACCAGACCGACGATTGTGCAGAGGATGGCGACACTGCCATGGAATTATCAATGGCTGCTCGGGGACAAAACGACGTCTTGATACCACGCCAGAAGACACTATGATAAGGCCGAAAATCAAGAAAGAATCAGACGGTTCCCGTCTGAAAGTCAGTGACTTTGATGACAATCTCAAAAGAAGTTCTCGTAATGGCGGTGTCCATTTTCCGGTGCCTACTCGTCACGCATGCTCCATTTCCTGACACCATAGCTGTTGAGATGAAACTCGCGAAGGAGGCCTGGAACGAGTCGTGCAAAATAAAAGGCGCCAACATCAAATCAACTCCTTCGGCAATGAAAATGGTAAGCCTTATGTTCTGTGCGCGTTTTCGGTCTGAGAAATGTTATTATGAAGATCTTGAAGCGCACATCGCATGTCCGCAGTGAACTCAAAACAAAGATGTGATCGCTGACTTGTTCGTATTTTGGGTTCCACTCAAGTGAATCAAAGGAGGTTATAAGGCACAACCGTGATCAGGCCAAATCCTTGAAAGAGGGTTCCTCATTTGTTTTCAAGGTACACAGTTCATTGTCTTAAATGACCTTTCTGAATGTTAGGTATAGGATTGGACATCGAAGACTGGGATCTACAAGACCGAATTACTGCCAAGAAGGCAATCAACATCATGTGGTTTGCAAACCGAAATGACGAAGGTATTATCTACTACACGTATTTCAACCCCATACCTACCGAAGTCGTTGCACTCGTTCTGACAGCCATGAGTCACATCCCGTATTTCTTACATTGAAGTCAATGGCACTGAAGATGCTCATCATTGATAGATCAAGTGTTGCATTGACGAGTGGGCTCAAGGTCTCAAGGAAGATATCAAATTCACATCAGCTACCTACGGTTCTGTCTACAAAGGTCATTTTGGCCTCGTTGCAGCACTTCCAACAACACACAGCGCCTTATAAACTTCTCGAGAAGATTTGTGACAATCTCCATGACACAGCTCGGTATGTTTCACTTCAATTTTATAAGCCCTAGCCTAACATTTGTGCTTTCAAGCTTCCATGCTGGTGTCGAGCCACTTGCTATGATATTGGCTGCACCCCACCGGATTAACAACAACGCATTTGAAGATGCGATTCGAGAATACCAGCTTGAAGAGCAGGACAATGTGGAGGATAACGAGAGTTGAGGGGCAGGATGATGATGTGGGGGCAAGCGAGAGCAGCAGGCGAGGATTGAGGTATTAATTGAATCTGCTACTAGCTTGTTTGACATGTTTGAATTCATTTATTTCCGTTGTGGGTATCACAACCGGCAGGCACATATAAGAAAGTGCTCAGCCAGTATAAGTGAGTCTCAGCTCTGCCTAGCTGCTATACTCGCTCAGAATGCAAGAACGTTCGACCTAAAGGGGAAGCAAGGAAGGCAAGCAAGGATCCACGGAATGATGCTGAACAACCCTGGTGAATGGCGGTGGAAAAGCGCGAGAAAATGCGCTGAAGGCGCGCGCGGGAAAGTGAAGTGCGAAGGTGCGCGGAGCGCGGGAAGGTAGTGCAAGCAGTGCACAAGTGTAGAAGACGGATACTGGGACTGATAAGAGGGAAAGTGCGGAATCTAGACGGATACTGATAGTGCCCACTAGCTATAGACTGATGCTAGGGCCTCAAAATGATGATGGACACATGCATTGCATGAACTAACTGATGATAGATACTGAGTGGTAGGAAGGTAAGGTATTAAGCTTTGGTAAGGTGGAATAGTTTGGGTGTAAAACGAACATGAGAGTATGTAAGTTCTACCTAAGCGCTCTCCCAGGGCTCGGAGCCGAATAGAAGCGCTCTAAGTATGTAAATGAGGTAAGGTGATGTAAAGTAAGGGTGCATAACGAAATGGGAAGTGTAATATGCTAAATATGGTCAGATAATGAAAAGGGACATACCGAGGGACTGGTTGGACGATGGATGGATGTTCCTGGATGCTGTGCGACATAGTGCGCTTAAGCGCGAGAAAGTGCGCAAGGCACGCACGCAGGAATACTGCGCATTGTGCGGGAAAGTGTCGCGCCTATGGCGCGTTCCGCGGGAAAGTGGTGCGCTCTATAGGGAATGACTAGAGGGTGATGGTGCGAGTTGTGCCGTGAAGGCCAGTCATCAGAATTCGTAATATGAGCCCATATGAAGCCTGCAGAAACGCGAGTCTCTACACCGTGCTATTTCATGTGCTACTTCCCTACAGTGTGCTATATAACTCCTTGGAGCGGTGGTAGCTGCCTGTAGGAGCATTCCTATGAACTACAGGCTACTACAAGCTACTACAGTATTGCCTCGTAGTACTATGTAATACTACATAGTTGCCTTACTGGCTATATACAAGGCAGGTAGCTCCCGAGCCCCGCTAACTATGCTGACTATATAGCACTATATAGTCAGCTTGCTTTTTTCCTGATGCTGTATACCATTAACTCGTCTTGGACCAGCGCTGCCCGATTTTCATCCGGCAAACGCGTCTTGGGGATGCCGATCATGCTTGATTGGCATGGATGGTGGTCGAGGTCCAGGTGGAGCGCGATTGGCAATTGGAACCAAAGAAGGAAGCGAACGCTGTGGCTGAGCAGTCACGTGTCACGTTTGCAGTCTCAAGCGAGACTGCAAGCGCCACCGGTGAGACCGTCAATTTTTCACACGAAGTATTTTGCCTGATGCATCACCTTCTCTATTTGGATTGAGCAACGTTGATGCATCATGAAATGTCTGCTAGTTAGCCTATTTTAATGCATCAAAACTACAGTATGGCCTGCAACTCATCCACGATAGCTTGGAGAGTTCACGGGCTTCTACCCCTTCTCGGCTTTTTGGGGGGTAACGTATCTCTTAAATATTCTCTTGATTATATGGGGAAGGGGTACAGCGATGGCTGTACATGTACCAGCGTTCAGACGAGTCTTGACGAAGAATCTACAGCATCTTGCAGGTTGTCATCAGTTAAAAGGATCCACTGGGCCGTCGCGACATGTCTCAGTCCCATCAACTATTTCTAGGGTGTGCTTATATTGATATGCCTATAGGTTGCATATTCTGGATTGTATATGTGATGGCCCTGCATGAGGGTTCTGCCGGGGTGATAGCGAAATTCTTTCTGCGAAGTTCTGTCATTCAAGTTGCGTCATCTGTTCATCCTTCAGGGCAGCCATCTGGCCAACCAATTACCAGGGTCACCGATCCCGCGCATCGCTATGGTTGGGTAAAATACAGGTTGATCTTGGTGGAGCAGCCTGATTTACTGTTATCATCAATCGGCGATAGTCCTGTTAATGTTAAACCTGGGACACTGGCAGATGATCCATGGCCTCCAGCTGTAATCAAATTCACGCCATTCTTCTCGCCTACTTATTGCCAAAAAGATATGGATATGCAAGCTTACATATCGCGTTTTCCCCCCTTCCCCTTAAGAATGGCCACTCCCAGCGATTCAACAGCGGTTGACACCATCGACACAATCAATGACTTGCCCAAAGATGTCCCCTGCCATGCCCGTGATGACCTTGAGAAGAGATTACTGAGGAAGATTGATTTGCGCATGTCCATACTACTGATTCTATATACCCTGAACCTGGTGGGTTCGAGGTTTTTGTGAATTCTATTCTGATACTTACTGTGCATCCTAGATTGACACAACCAATATTAGGTGTGTTACATACCGTTGGACTTGCATTGATCTTATGATATCTACAGCAACGCTCGGTTACAAGGTTTGAAAAAGACCTGCACCTGCACGGGCAACAATATGCCACGACTTTGTCCATCCTACTTGTTGGATACATTATGATGCAAGTGCCAGGGTGAGTTTCGTCATTCATCGAGTGACAGCTGCACATAATTTTTCTCCAGGAACATGTTCCTGCACTGGCTGGAGAGACCTTCCGTCATCATTCCGTGTTGTATGTTAGTATGGGGGTGTGATATCAGTATTAACAGGTATGTCGACACTGATTGTTCATGAAGATAGCTGCTAATGATGCTTAGGGACCACAAAGAAGTACGTATCTTTGTTTGCATCGTTCAGCCAGTCTCTGATTGTTTGACTTAAGTTATACTGGGATTCTTGCCGCCCGCTTCTTTCTTGGCTTCGCCGAAGCGCCCTTCTTCCCCGGTATGATATTTCTTGTATCTAAATGGTACAAGCGGGACGAGCTCGCCTTGAGAATAGCTCTCGTTACTTGTGGAAGTTTTCTCAGCTCTGCATTCGGATCCCTGTTAGCATCTGCTATACTCCACGGTATGCAAGACAAACTTGGTCAAGCTGCATGGAGGCAGGCGACGATCGTCTCTTTATCACTCCTTGGAGCTGAATGATCTGTAGATGGTTATTTTACATTGAAGGCGGCGTTACCATCTTGGTCGCGATTTGCGCCATATTCGTACTCCCCAATTTCCCGCACAACACCAGGTGGATGACCCCGGAGGAAAAGAGCACTTGCTATCTCTCGCCTTGTAGAAGATGGCTATAGTAAGGCTGACGAGCTTGGGAAGCAGACGGCCATGCAAGGAGTGCGGGATGCTGTGTCTGATTGGAAGGTTTGGTGGTTTTCAGTTGCGGCCACGTTTCAGATAGTGGGGTGTTCTTTCTTCGGTTATTTCCCGACACTGTGCGCAACACTGGGATATGACACGACTGTAACACTGCTGCTTTGCGCTCCTCCGTGGGTGTTTGCGGCTATAGTCGCATTTATTCTTACATGGTCAGTGGATCATTTCTATCAGAAAAAGTGCATCTCACGGAGATCAGGTACTCTGACAAGAAGCAGAAACGTTACAAATGCTTTGTTATCTCCAATGCATTCGGCGTCCTTGCATTCACCGTGTCCGCTATTACGATGAACAAGGTTGCGCGCTATATTTCACTGTAAGTGGTATCACCACTCATGGGGCGCCACTCTGGTACTCAGAAATATACAGGTTCGTGATAGCTCAAATCATCGTTGGATACATGGTGCTCCTAGGGTGGATCAGCAACATTTTCGCCAGAGAACCCGCGAAGCGCGCCATTGCTATTGCTTTGATGAACGCACTGGCACAGATAGGAGGTATTATTGGATCGTCAGTGACCTTGCCATCGATCTCTTGCTCTTGCTAATTATTCACGATTGCATTTTTCGCATAGATACATATGGCCATTGAAATGGGGCCCGTCATATCGTTATTCCTATGTCATCTGCATCGCTGCAATTGGAGTTTCGACAGGCATGTGTGGTGGTATGTATTTGTATTTGAAGCATTTGAATGAGCAGATTGAGAGGAACGAGCGGAATGCGAAGGATGTCAACGAGGTTCGGGAGATTAGTTTCAAATACATGGTTGTAGTTGAAGATTGAAAGATTGATCGCTTCTGACAGTTGTCTGGGACTCTGACAGTAACTACTACTAACATCGCTGTTCGACGGCGTTGTTGATGAGTCACTAATTACACGCCTGTGGTAAAATGTGGCAATAAAACCAACTTATAATCTCTCTGTCTATGTTTGTTTATACCTCAGCGGTTTCGTCCCAAATGCTGAGGTGTGTTTCACGTTGTTCTTGCATGCCAGTCTTATCTTACTTTGTATCGTCTCTGGACTCTCTCCTTAGTTTGACCTTCATTACAGCCTAGTGTGATAATTTATATATTAATATTCTGACAGGTCAGCAAATCTGAACATTGAACGTTCATGCCGCGCTGGTCTGCTTAATGTACGTGGTCTAGCTTTCTCATTCATCTACAACACACTGTTATTCATTACAGTCTGATGCAACACGTCGTCCCGTGCACCGTAAACCTGTGATAACACCTGTCATGTTTCCCAAATCCCATCCCTCGCCCGCCAAGACCTTTGCCTCCAAGGGACTCACGTACTTACCCCCACTTTCTATACAAGCTTCTTTCCTCCTCTTCTCGTACGGACCTGGTTCGCACCGATGAGCCTCATAATCTCCTGGATGTATGTTGTGTATATTTGCTTCAAGTTTGCAGTTGACCCGACAGTTCCCTCGCAGTTCCCTGCTACATCCCCTCTAGCTCGCCCACTTACAAAACTGGATGAGAACGTGAGTGCGGACTTTCGTCAATGCGTATTCAACTTACATTCTTCTAGTCTCGACCCACACCGGCACCACCCACCACCCAATCCTCCGCCATTAATACTCCCGCAACCCTCAGATCTAGCTTACATAGATTATCAACCTGGTGGTCTTTTCAGACAGATCATGCATCGCTAGCTATTGTCGACATTCCTTTCGCGCCGGGTAAATTGGTATGCACCTCTCATTTCTCTCTTCATACGTCAAATCTCATCCATCCATGTGTAGTGGTATGCTACAGCGGCTGCTCCCTGCGACGATAATGTCCTAATACGTGACGAAGACTATGTTTCTTCTCCTCCTTCTCCCAAACCCGGCCCACGCCTAGGATTGTCAGTGCCGGACAACATGGAAATAGCCGTTTTTGTTGCTGTTTGAGGCTGATGGAGATCAGTTAGAAACAGAAACAAAAACGGCTTAACCTTGTTCCCTGGTATCTCGTAACTGTAATCGTTGCTGCTTGCATGCGTTGTCCTCTGCACACTTATGTCGAATTCATGGTCACTATCCCCTAAAGCGCTTGAGAGGTATCAACAGTCCCCGATCGATCCCATTCAAACCTTACAGTGGTCCGAGTCACGAGACTGCTGTTTTACAGCAAACCGCGCTAAAAAAAACAGTGCGTAGGACCTCCCGTACTGTCCTGCAGCCAAACTAGTGCTATTAGACGGTCGGTCTATTGAACAATGTGACATTCTGATCTTTTGTAAGCAGGGAACATCTCATAACCAACCTATCTAAAATCAGACGGATGAAGCTCGCCAGAACGCTCGCAACCTTGATAAAACATCGTGACTTCTCTGCCACTCTTGCTGCAGTACTAGACAAGGTCAGTAACACTAAGTTCGTCGTGCTAGATAATTATGGGCCATGGTGAAGGAGGACGAGATATGGGTCTTTCAATGAGATGGCACTAGCGTTGGATATGAAAGATACAGCGAGTGAGTGCGATTTGGATTGTAGAATGTATACAATTATCTGATTCACGTGGCAAGCTATAACGAATTAAAATCTCTTTGAAGTTCGTCATTGAAAGGAGACGTATGTTTACAGAAGGAAGAATAACGACATTTGTTTAAACAAAAAAGTCCCATAGAGATACTGGTTCTTCTATTCTTCATCTACATTAAAGTTGCTTCCAGGATCTGCAATCAATTCGAAGGAAGGAACAAGGGTAGCATATTCTGCTCGTTCCCGTTCTGTTGTCCAGACTCCCCTGTCGAAAATCAGCCTCTCCAGGGGACGTTCTGACCGCGTCAAAAATTCCATGCACGATGCATGTGGCCACCGCCCCGTATTGCGAGCCTCAAGTACGTGAAGGTTCGGGAGTGTGATAACCTCGAATAGGCCAATATCCTCGTCTGTGTTCGAAAGTACGCTCCAAGACATGGATAAAGATTGAAGGTTGGTGTGCACGACTAATTCTGGAGTCTCGATGGTGTAGAATATTCCAATCATCTTCAGGGAAGAGAGATCGGGACATAGACGGAGTATGCGGGTGAATGCATTTAGTCCATCTACGCCGATCTCGAGATGTGTCAGACAAGCCCATGCGGAAGCAGTGAGGCAACCTAATTGGTTGCAGTCGAACCATAGATGCTGCATGTTAATCCTGCGCAGATTAACCGGCAATTTCGAGAGAGAGCGTTTAACGGCTCGCGCAGGATGATCACGAACATCTTGGTGTATCGTGAGTTCCTTGAGTGCGTGGAAGTCTTCCATAACGAAAGGGCTGTCGCAGGATATAAAGTCAAGCAAGAGAGATGAGATTTGCTGAATATATGGCTGGAGCAATCTACAAAGCTTGCTCCAGTCAGTTCGACACGTGAGTCTCAGCGAAAGTGGACATGCTCCTGATCGCTTCAGCCAGGAGTCGTAGCCGAAAGCTCTGTCCTGCCAAGGATTGGGACAGAGTTCCAACTGCAGCCTGCACCATAACCTGGGCAAGCCCACAGCAACCTCTCTCCATTGGCGACATATCCTGGTCAAAAGCAAGGGAGCCAGTCTCGATGCATACATCCAATGCTCGTCTTCAGGCAAACAGTAGAGGAAGATTTCCGAAAGAATTTCAGTCGGCAGGCGGCAAATAGGCGATGAAAAGTTTCCGCGTAAAGTACTGGACTGAACGACATCGGCCTTCACTTTGATGAGCTGCCGCTGACGACAGATAACACTGTTGCTGACAGTTTGAAGGCTTGGGTCCTCGCCTATAATCGCATCCGACTGTCGAAGCAGATATTTATTACTATATTCAGACATAATTACCTCCGAAACCAAGCACTTACAGGTTTCCGTGGCCCACCAGTGGTAGCTGAGACCAATGGTGAATCGACGCTTGACGTGACTGTTTCAAGGCCCAAGTTTTCGCTTATAATGACATCCAGCTGTTGAAGCAGATGTTTATTGTTATATTCAGACGCCAATGCTTCCAAAACCAAGCACTTACAGGTTTCTGCGGCTCACCAGTGGTAGCTAAGTCGAATGTCTGCATGTCAATATGAAGGAGGTTGAGATGTTGGAGATAGAGATTTGAAGGAGGAAATAAGGCTAACGTTCCGCCAACCATCGCGTCCCTATTTAAATGAACACCTCGCAAGCCACAGGTCCACAACAAACACACCTTGCCATTGTCAGTTTCTCATAGTCAGCCTTTATGTAAAACACCCGCCATCCACAACTAGAGACCCTGTGTTGTTGCAAAGGTGGTCGGTGTGTGCGAGTGTAGAACGGTGGAAAGGTGATCTCACTCAAATGCTTCGGCATAATTGATCGGCACCACTAGGCCATTCAAGACCTTTTGTGGTCTTCACGACAATTGAAGGTCATTGAACAGACTTGGCAATCGAGCTGTGACCTTTATAGTAGTCTTGCGTGTGATAGTTGACAAGCACAGTGGAGGCGCTCACGAAAATCTGGTTCAATTACAGTCTCCTTGGCATCTCTACCGTACGTACTGAAGGGTCGATTCCCTTTTCGTCAACCGTTGCTCTCCCACTACATTCTTAGTAGTACTGACGCTCCTGGCCATCCCAAACGCGAGAAGTCACTGGAATAAGATGACTCGATGAGTTTATAGCAGCAGGGAATTAACATTGACACGTGGTTGCATCGAGCGCGCGTCACGTAGATCAGGGAGCCTGTAGATTGAAGTATTAAGCATTATGTGAAAAGGAGTGAAAAGGACATGTCGTACAATGCACAGCAATCTGGAGGTATGGATATAGAGGTGGGACGCGTTCCTATATGCCCATCATTGCTCTTCGTCCTTGCTAGCATCCCGGTAAGATGAAAGTCCATATGAGCATCACGCAAGGATGAACTGACGGCTGGCTTAAGCAGGCAAAGCGCGGCACTCGCATGAGCTAGAGTTAGAAACCACTCAATACCAAGCCTATCCTTACTGAGCACGAAGAGAACCCACCGAAAGATCCACTGTTAACCGACGTACTTGCCAACCTGTCTGGTAAATACAGCTGTGATGGCTACCAGGTCAACGCTGCGCGGTGCAGCAGAAAACAACTCGATTCCGACACTGGTCATGACCTTGGATGAACACAAACCATATACTATTTCTTCCCCGGGTGGTCAACATTACGAGGTCGAACAAATTTCGTCCATTTCCTATTTTCCCGACGGCAAGCAAATGATCAGTGGATTAGGCAAAACCATTCGACGATGGGACCTGCGGGAGGGTAAGGAGATTGACGAAGCTCGGGAGGTTTGCGAGAATAGTATACAAGCATTGAGGGTATCAAGGGATGGTCGATGGATTGTCAAAGTCAGTGAGGTTGAGACAGGGATCGTGAGAACATTTGATGAAGGTAATTGGATCACCTGCATCGATATCTCCACGGACAGCACGTTGCTAGCAGTGGAGTCGACTGATCGTAAAACGCAAATATGGAGCGTCGAAGTGCGGATATGGAGGTTGGACACAGGCGAACTCGTGGCTGGTCCATTCAAATTTGATCATGGTCTAGGTATATCATCTTTCGACTCTCGAAAGACTCTCGGAAGCTGGCGATGATGTCATTTTCAACACACAATGCGGAACTGCACTACCAGGTGTGGGATATCCAAGCACAGAAATTGGATGTACAAAAATCTTCTCGCATTTGGGGGGCAATGGATCCGTTCTTCTGGACAAAAAAAGACAAATCCATCGTAGCTGCATTCAAATTTACGCCACATTGCCCCAACTCGAAGTGTCTCTATGAGTTCGACGCGTCGACACTCAAGACTGTCGGAGCTCCTTTCAAAGGGCACACTGAAACCATTCGTCATATAGAACTCTCATCTGGTTGCGCTCTTCTCAGCTCCTCATTCCATATCAAAAATTAAGTCTCCTTCGTCCTCTCCCGATTCAGGCCAACTGGCTTACACGTCTTATGATGAGACCAAGATCTACATATGCAACATTCCAGCCAATATCCTTGCTGGCATACTATCACAAAACTGTTCTGTTTTACAGCGAACCACGCTACAAAAACAGTGCGAGGACCATACTGTCCTGCGTCCAAATTAGTGCAATGAGAAAGTCAGTACTCAGTCCCAACACATCGAAAAATGTGACATTCTGATCTTTCGTAAACAGCGAGCATCTCAGAAGACGACCAACATTGAACGTTGAAGTACCATTCCTCGCAGAAACTGATGCTTTTCGAAGCGAACGTGTATTGCGTGAGTTTCTGCCGTTGCACATGTGTTTGAGTTTGACGACCATGATCCCACCCTTCTTTCTATGGATCGATTCACGCTACTCCTCGTCATAAGGAGCCATGAATCATTTGTTTGCCACTGGAATTTAAGATAAATGGCGCCTTTTTAGTCATGGTGAACTAGAAAGAGTTCATAGTGTGAGAGACTAACCTGCTATGCACTCGATCTCGAATGAAACATCTTTCGGAAGTCGAGCAACTTCAACGGCTGAACGTGCCGGCTTGCATGACGAACCGCTAAAGAACTTGGAGATGCGACTGTCTCAGTAAAAAGGTACGCACTGTAGTCTTGGGGACCTTGCCAACTGAACTCGAGCTACAGCATTGAGATTTGTGAGGGCCTGCTAGTGCTTGGTCTGCTCCTCGATACTGCCTGCATTTTGGAAGGTACGAGGGGGATGTAACCCGAAAAAAAAACGAATTCACCGGCCTAGATGGCTAAGTAATAGGGCCCCAATGGCTGAGGGCGCGTTTGGAGTCGAAACGGATGTGATTGCAGACATTGACATTTGTCGTTTTGTTCTGACAGCGAGTACAAAAGTGATGTATTGTGAGAGACGGAGAGCGGTTGTGTTACAATAGGAAGGCAGACATATATTTTACGAGATGAACGGGATATATGCTTTCGATGCAGCCTACAGGGTCAGTAACACTGTCAAGGTCGTCATGTGCGATGGAGAAGGAGGTGTTAAGGACGAGATGCTGGCCTTCGAATGAGATAGCACTAGTGTTATCAATGGATATCCGAGTAGGAGGAATACAGCAAGTGAGGGCGATTGAACGTGTACTATTATCTGATCAACCTGGCAGGCTATGGCGAATTTAAATGTTTCTTAAGTTCATCACCGAAAGATTTACAGAAGGGAGTCACCCTCTCATACTGAAGCAAGTGTAAACCAATGTCATCATTTCATGAAATAGGTACCCAACGACATGTATGCAAACAAAAGAAAATAGCCTATTGTACATCTACAAGAAAACTGCATCGGGATCTTCAATTATTCGAAGGAAGGAAAAGGGTAGTATATTCTGCATGTTCCTCTTCTGTTGTCCACACTGAATTGTCGAAAACCAGCCTCTCCAAGGTACATTTTGACCGCGTCAAGAATTCCATGAAAGATTCATGCGGCCACGGTCCCGTATGGCTAGCTTCAAGCACCCGAAGGTTTGGGAGTGTCATAACCTTGAATAGGCCAGGATCCCCGGTCAAGTTCCGAACTACGGTCCAAGATAGGTACAAGGATTGAAGATTGGTGTGCGTGACTGGTTCTGCAGTCTGACTCTCGTTAAATAATCCAGTCATCTTCAGCGAAGAAAGATTAGGACATAGACGGAGTATGCGGGTGCCCGAGTGTCGTCCGTCCACGCTGATCTCGAGATGTGTGAGACCGGCCCATGCGGAATCAGCGATAGAATCTAATAGCCGGCGGTTGAACCACACGTTCTTCATGTTAATCGTGCGCAGATTAACCGGTAATTTTGTGAGAGAGCGGTTGATAGCTCGTGCATTATCAGCAAACATGTATTTGCGGACGGTCAGGTCCTTGAGTGCTTGGAAGTTTTCTATCATGAAGGGGCCGTGGCAGGATATAAAGCCAAGTGAGAGAGACGAGACTTGCTGAACGTATGGCTGGAGCAGGCTCTGTAGTTCGCTCCAGTCATTGCCACACTCGAGTCTTAATGAGAGGGGACGTCCTCCCGATCGCTTGAGCCAGGAGTCGTAGCACAAAGCTCTCGTCTGCCAGTCTTCGTGGCTGGAGGCTCTCGTCTTCCAGTCTTCGTACCAGAATTCCACCTGCAGGTTGCACCATAACCTGGGCAATCCCACAGCAATCTCCCTCCATCGGCGACATATTCTGGTCAACAGCATAGGAGCCTGTCTTGATGCATATAGCAGATGCTCGTCTTCGGGAAGACAGTAAAGGAAGATTTCCGAAAGAATTTCAGTCGGGAGGCGGGAAATAAGCGATGGAAGACTTGTGTGGGAAGTCTTGGACTGAACGATATCGGACTTGTGTGAATCGACGTTCGAGGTGACTGTTCCAAGGTCCAAGCCATGGCCTATAATAACGTCCAGCTGTTGAAGCTGATGTGTATTGTTATCTTCAGGTGGCAATACCTCCAAAACCAAGCACTTACAGGTTTCCGTGTCTCATCAGTGGCAGCTGAGACCCATGGTGAATCGACGTTTGAGTTGAATGTCTGCATGTTAACGCGAATGAGGTTGGGATGTTGGAGATGGAGATTTGAAGGAGGAAATAAGTCTACCGTTCGCCAACCGTCAGGTCCCTATTTATATGAACACCTCGAAAGCCACAGGTCCACAACAAACCCACCTTGCTATCGTAGTTTCTCATAGCCGGTCCATAGGCAAGGCACCCGCAATCCACAACTAGAGACCTAGCATTGTTGCAAAGCTGGTCGGTGTGGGCACCTGTGGAACTGTGGAACCGGGTGATCTCGCTCAATGGCTTCAGCATACTCGATCGGTACCACTAGACCAATCAAGACCTTTTATGTCTTCACGACAACTGAAGGTCGTAGAGCAGACTTGTCGATCGAGCTGTGACCATCATTTTCCCTTTGTATATTTGGTGTTGGAGTAGGGGACCCCGGGGGTAGGAGCCGAGTGGCAGCGGAGTGGCAGCCGAGTAGCACTGTAGTTTAGCGAGCCATTCAGTGTCCTTCGGGTTTTGTCGCAGCGTAGTGCTCTTCACCACTTCTTCCCTTGCTCGCGGCAGGCCCACAGTCGTGGATACACCACGCGCTCCAGTGTGATATTTGACAGATATGAAGGTACTCACGAAAATCGATCTGGTTCAATTCGAGTACTATCCTTGGTACCTCTACCGTACGTACTGAATGTTGATATTCTCTTTTCGTCAACCATCTCCCCTTCACTACATTCTTAATACTGACGCTCCTACCCATGACAACCATGACAAGTAATTGGAATATAAGATAACTCGATGAGTGCCGGGGAGTCTCTTATAGCAGCAGGGGTTAACGTCCACACATGATTGCACCATGCCATAGAGAAATTTGAGCGCGAGTCACGTTGATTTGGAAGTAGGTCAGAGTACTGGGCTTTGACTCGTGTGAGAGGGAGTAAAAAAGGACATGCTGTATGATGCACAGCTGTCTGGAAGATATAAATACATAGAGGTGGGACGCGCGCCTATATGCCCATCATCGCTCTTCGTCCTTGCTAGTATCCTGGTAAGATGAAAACCCATATGAGCATCACGCATGGATGAACTGACGGCTGGCTTAAGCAGGCAAAGTGCGGCACTTCAAAGGAGTTAGACTTGAAAGTCACTCAATACCAAGCCTAGCCTTACAGAGCACGAGAAGAACTCGCCGAACATTAACCAATATACTTGCCGGGCCAACCTGTCTGGCGCATACGGCTGTGATGGCTTCCAGGTCGATGCAGCCCGGTGCAGCAAAAAACAAATCGATTCTGACGCCAGTCATGACCTTGGAGGGACATGAACCATGGAAAGTTTCCTGGCCAGATGGCGAACCTCAAGATTTCAAACATGTTTCATGCATTTCCTATTTTCCCGATGGCAAGCAAATGATCAGCAGATCAGGCGATAAGACCATTCGGCGATGGGACCTGCAGGAGGGTAAGGAGATCGAGGAGGTTCGTGAGGTTTGTAACAATGTCAATATGAATGCCGCAGTGGGAGTATCAAGGGATGGTCGATGGGTTGTCACTGCTGATGCAGATGATTGGAAGCTCAAAGTCAGTGAGGTTGAGACGGGGATCGTGAGAACATTTCATGAAGACGAACGGTTCAAAATTCAATGCATCGATATCTCCGCGGATAGCACGCTGTTGGCCGCGGGTGGGTCAACTGTATGGGGTCTGAGTCAAGCGCGGATATGGAACTTGGACACAGGCGAACTCGTGGCTGGTCCATTCAAAATTGAAGTTACCCTCTCAGCACTTCGACTCTCGGAAGACTCCCGGAAGTTGGCGTTGCTGTCATATTCGGGGAAGTGCTTTCAGGTGTGGGACATCCAAACACAGAAATTGGATGTACAAAAATCTTCCACTCACAATGGTCGGGGGTCAATTTTGCCGGTACCGGTATTCTGGACAACAAAAGACAAATCCATCGTAGCTGCATTCAACCTCACTGTTGCAGATGACTGCGCCACGACGATCTATGAGTTTGACGCGTTGACGCTCAAGACAGTCGGAGCTCCTTTCAAAGGGCACACTGATATAATCAATGGTCTAGCACTCTCATCTGATTGTGCTCTTCTCGCCAGCTCCTCCTGTGACGACACCATCAAGCTCTGGGCCTTTGAATCCCGCCAGCTCCTCGCTTCATTCCACGTCAAATATATACTCTCCCTCGTTCTCTCGCCCAATTCACGCCAGCTGGCTTACACGTCTGTATATGACAGCAATATACATATATGCGACATTCCAGCCGACATCCTTGCTAGCGTTGGGCTTGCAGAAGAACCGCAGCCCAGTGTATGTATTTCCCGCATACGTCCATCATTTATATACTAATGTTCTTACAGAAACGTCCACACCGCGCTAGTTTACTCAACGTACGTGGTCCTGCTCTCTCATTCATCTACATCTACACCATTCTCTATTACAGTCCGATGCAACACGTCGTCCCGTGCACCGTAAACCAGTGATAGTACCTGTCATGTCTCCCATCCCTCGCCCACCGAGACCTTTGCCCAGAAGGGACCCGCAAACTTTCCTTCGCTTTCTACGCAACCTCTTTCCCTCCTCTCGTACAGACGCGGTTCGCACCAATGAGCCTCGTAATCCCTTAGACGTATGTTTTTATACCCGTTTGCTTCCCACTTAACTCGACGATTCGCTTGCAGTTCCCAGCTACATCTCCCCTACCGCGTCCACTTACAAAAACAGACGAGAACGTGAGTGGGGACCTTTCATCGTTACATATTGAGCTTACATTCTTCTAGTGTCGACCCACACCAACACCACCCACCACCCAATCCTCTACTATTAAAACTTCTGCAACTCCCGCATCTAGCTTGCATCAACTATCAACCTGGTGGCCCTTTCAGAAAGATCATACATCGCCGGCTATCGTCGATGTTCCTCTCGCGCCGGCCAAACTGGTATGCGCCCCTCATTTTTCTTGTATGCCAAATCTCATCCATCCATATATAGCGGTATGCTACAGCGGGTGCTCCCCGAGATGATGATGACCTGATACGCGATGAAGACTATGTTTCCCCTCCTCCTTCCCCCAATCCCGGCTCTCGTGCACGGATTGTTAACGCCGGACAACATGGAAGTGGCCGGTTTTGTTTATGTTTCTAACTGATCTCAAACTTGTTCCCCGGTATCTCGTAACTGCAATCGTTGCCCCTTGGATGTGTCGTCCTCTGTACACTTATGTGGTCACTATACCAACCAATGTGCTTGAGATATAATCTCCGATAATCGATCCTATCCGGACTCTACAGTAGTCCGAGTCACGAGAGCGTTTGTTTCACAGCGAACTCACACTAAAAAGACAGTGCGGGGACCTCCCAGACTCTCCGCGTCGAAACTAGTGCAATCAGAAACTCAGTCTCAACGGCAAGGTCCTCCATGTTTTGAAGGAACACCTATGCAATGCATCATCGACTCAGAGACGACTGTCTCAATGAAACAGTGATACACCGTAGTCTTGACAACTTTTCCAACTGAACTATAGCTGGCTTCAAGAACAGCTTTGAATTTGTGAGGGCCTGCTTGGTCTGCTCCTCGATACCGCCTGCAAATATTGTGGAAGATACGAGGGAGACACAACCCGAAACAAACACGAATTCGCCAGCTTTGATGGCTTGGGAATAGGGCCTAATGACTGAGGGCGCGTTGGCCGTCGAAACGGATGTGATCGTAGACATTTGTCACTGTTCTGACAAGGAGTGTAAAAGCGGGCTATTGCGGGAGACGAAGAGCGGGTGTCTTACAACAGAAAGGCAGACATGTATTTTACGAGATGGACGGGATATATGCTCTCGATGCGGCAACCTACAGGGTCAGTAACATTCTCAAGGTCGTCGTGCTAGATGATTATGTGCCATGGAAAAGGAGGACGATATGTTGAGGACGAGATATTAGCCTTCGAATGAGATGGCACTAGTGTTGTGATCTGGATTGTAGAACATATATGATTATCGGAGCAACCTGGCAGGCTATGACGAATTCAAACATCCTTAAAGTTCGTCATCGAAAGGAGACATATGTTTACAGAAGGGAGGCATCCTCCGATGCATGGGTGTAAAGCAATATTCATTTCATGAAATAGGTAGCCAACATCTATTTAAGCAAAAAAAAAGTCGCCTATTGTCCATCTACATGAAAACTGCATAGGGATCATCAATCTTTTCGAAGGAAGGAAAAAGGGTAGCATATTCTGCATGTTCCTCTTCTGTTGTCCACACCTCACTGTGGAGAACCAGCCTCTCCAAGGTACATTTTGACCGTGTCAAGAATTCCATGAAAGGTTCATGCGGCCACGGCCCCCTATGGCTAGCTTCAAGCACCCGAAGGCTCGGGAGTGTCATAACCTGGAATGGGCCAGGATCTCCGGTCAAGTTCCGAATTTCGGTCCAAGATATGTGCAAGGATCGAAGGTTGGTGTGCGTGACTGGTTCTGCAGTCTGACCCAGGTCGAATGATCCAGTCATCTTCAGCGAAGAGAGATTAGGACATAGACTGAGTATGCGGGCGCCCGCGTGTCGTCCATCTACGCTGATCTCCAGATGTGTGAGACGGTCCCATCCGGAATCAGCGAAGGAATCTAATAGCCAGTGGTTGAACCACACGTTCTTCATGTTAATCGTGCGCAGATTAACCGGTAATTTTGAAAGAGAGGGGTTAATAGCTCGTTCGTAATCATCAAACACGTATGTGTGGATAGTAAGTTCCTTAAGTGACTGGAAGTCTTCTAACATGAAGGGGCCGTCGTGGGATATGAAGCCAAGTGAGAGAGATGAGACTTGCTGAACGTATGGCTGGAGCAGGCTCTGCAGCTCGCTCCAGTCATTGCCACACTCAAGTTTTAATGAGAGGGGACGTCCTCCAGATCGCTTGAGCCAGGAGTCGTAGCCCAAAGCTCTCGCCTGCCAGCGTTCGTGGGCGGAGGCTCTCATCTGCCAGTATGGGTACCAGAATTCCACCTGCAGGCTGCACCACAACCTGGGCATTCCCACAGCAATCTCCCTCCATCGGCGACATATGTTGGTCAACAGCATAGGAGCCTGTTTTGATGCGTTCACCAGATGCTCGTCTTCGGGCAGACAGTAAAGGAAGATTTCCGAAAGAATCTCGGTCGGGAGGCGGGAAATAAGCGATGGAAGACTTGTGTGCGACTGAACGATATCGGCCTTGTCTTCGACAAGTTGCAGCTGACGACAGCTAACACTGTTACTGACGATCTCAAGGCCAAAGTCCTCGCCTATAGCCACATCCGACTGTTGAAGTAGAGATTTATTATATTCAGACGCAAACACCTCCAAAATCAAGCACGTACAGGATTCCGTGGCCCACCGGTGGTAGCTGAAACCGATGGTGAATCGACGTTTGAGTTGAATGTCTGCATGTTAACGCGAATGAAGTTGAGAAGTTGGAGATGGAGATGGAGATTTGAAGGAGGAAATAAGTCTACCGTTCGCCAACCGTCAGGTCCCTATTTAAATGAACACCTCGCAAACCACAGTTCCACGACAAACCCACCTTGCTATTGTAGTTTCTCGTAGCCGGTCCATAGGTAAAACATCCGCAATCCACAACTAGAGACCTGGCATTGTCACAAAGGTGGTCGGTGTGGGCACCTGTGGAACTGTGGAAAAGTAATCTCGTTCAATGGCTTCGGCACACCCGATCGGCAACCACTAGGCAATTCAAGACCTTTTGTGTCTTCACGACGACTGAGTACTGAAGGTCAACTTAGGTCATAGAACAGACTTGTTGATCGAGCTGTGACCTTTATCTTTCCCTATAGTAGCCTTGTGTTTTTGGTCACATATTTGAGAAGCGTGAAGATACTCACGAAATTATTTGTTCAATTTGAGTCTCCTTGACACCTCTCCACATCGCTACTGTACGTACTGAAGGGCCAATTCCCTTTTTGTCAACCGGTTCTCCCCCACTACATTCTTAGTACTGATGCCTCTGCTCATGCCAACAGTAAGAAGTCACTGGAATAAGATGACTCGATGGCTGTCGGCGAGTTTATGGCAATGGAGGTTTACGGTTTACACATTGTTGCACCATGACATATGGAGCTTCGAGCGCACGTCACGTAGATTGGGGAGGAGGTTGGAGTACTAAGCGTTATGTCAAAAGGAGTAAAAAAAGACATGCTGTACGATGCACAGCCATCTGGAAGATATACATATAAAGAGGTGGAACGCACGCCCATATGCCTATCATCGTTCTTCGTCTTTACTAGCACCCTGATAAGATGAACGCCCATATGACCTTCATGCATGGATGGCCTGACGATTGACTTAGCAGGCGATAGCTAGCACGTCAGCTCTCGCATGAGTGAGAATTGAAAATCACTCAATATCAAGCCTAGTCTTACAGAGCACGAGGAGAACCCACCGAACACATCCATTATTAACCGACATACTTGCCAACCTACGGTCTAGCAAATACAGTTGTGATGGCTTCCAGGTCGACGCAGCCCGGTGCAGCAGAAAACAAATCGATTCTGACACTAGTCATGACCCTGGAGGGACATGAACCATGGAAAGTTTCCTGGCCAGATGGCGAACATAAGGAGTACAAAAATGTTTCATCCATCCTATTTTCTCGACAGCAAGCAAATGATCAGCGGATCGAACGATAACGCCATTCGGCGATAGAACCTGCGGGAGGGTAAGGAGATTGAGGAGGCTCGGGATGTTTGCGAGAATGGTATAAGTGCAGTGGGGTATCAAGGGATGGTCGATGCATCGATGAGTTGTCACTGCTGGTTGTTGGAAGCTCAAAGTCAGTGAGGTTGAGACGAGGATCGTGAGAACATTTCATGATGGTTGGATCAACTGGATCGATATCTCCGCGGACAACACGCCACTATATAGTAGGCGCGTCGATTAATCTTAAAGCGTGGATATGGAACTTGGACACAGGCAAACTCATGGCTGGTCCATTCAAAATTAGAGATGATATCAGAGCTGGCCTAACTGCAAACACTTCGACTCTCGGAAGACTCTCGGAAGCTGGCAGTGAAGTCAAATTTGGTCCAGGAATCGGAGCAGCCACGGTACCGGTGCCTTCTGCAGATGCTGGGATGTCCAAAAACCAATATCATCATTTCATGGAATAGGTAGCCAACGACATCTATGCAAACAAAAGAAAATAGCCTATTTTACATCTACATCAAAACTGCATCGGGATCTCAATAATTTCGAAGGAAGGAAAAAGGGTAGCATATTCGCATGTTCCTCTTCTGTTGTCCACACCTGACTGTCGAAAACTAGCCTTTCCAAGGAACATTTTGACCGCGTCAAGAATTCCATGAAAGATTCATGTGGCCACGGCCCCCTATGGCTAACTCCAAGCATGCGCAGCTTCGGGAGTGTCATAACCTGGAATAGGCCAGGATCTCCGGTGAAGTTCCGAATTACGGTCCAAGATAGGACCAAGGATTGAAGGTTTGTGTGCTTGACTGGTTCTGCAGTCTGACCCGGGTTAAATAATCCAGTCATCTTCAGCGAAGAGAGATTAGGACATAGACTGAGTATGCGGGCGCCCGCGTGTCGTCCATCTACGCTGATCTCGAGATGTGTGAGACGGTCCCATCCGGAATCAGCGAAGGAATCTAATTGCTGGCGGTTGAACCACACGTTCCTCATGTTAATCGTGCGCAGATTAACCGGTAATTTTGAGAGAGAGGGGTTGATAGCTCGTGAATAATCACCAGACATGTATTTGCGGACAGTCAGGTCCCTTGAGTGCCTGGAAGTCTTCGATCCTAAAGGGGCCGTCGTGGGATATAAAGCCAAGTGAGAGAGACGGAGACTTGCTGAACGTATGGCTGGAGCAGGCTCTGCAGCTCGCTCCAGTCATTGCCACACTCGAGTTTTAATGAGAGGGGACGTCCTCGCGATCGCTTGAGCCAGGAGTCGTAGCCAAAAGCTCTCGTCTGCCAGTCTTCGTGGCTGGAGGCTCTCGTCTTCCAGTCTTCATACCAGAAATCCACCTGCAGCTTGCACCATAACCTGGGTAATCCCACAGCAATCTCCCTCCATCGGCGACATATTCTGGTCAACAGCATAGGGGCTTGTTTTGATGCATACACCAGATCCTCGTCTTCGGGCAGACAGTAAAGGAAGATTTCCGAAAGAATCTCCGTCGGGAGGCGGGAAATAAGCGATGGAAGACTTGTGTGCGGATTGTTAGAATGAACGATATCGGCCTTGTCCTTCGACGAGTTTGCAGCTGACGACAGCTAACACTGTTACTGACGATCTCAAGGCCAAAGTCCTCGCCTATAGCCACGTCCGACTGTTGAAGTAGATATTTATTATTTTTCAGACGCAAAACACCTCCAAAATCAAGCACTTACAGGTTTTCTGTGGCCCACCGGTGGTAGCTGAGACCGATGGTGAATGGATGTTTGAGGTGACTGTTTTCAAGGCCCCAAGCCTATAATGACATCCAGCTGTTGAAGGAGGTGGTTATTGTTATATTCAGACGCGAATACCACCAAAACCAAGCACGTACAGGTGTCTGCGGCTCACCAGTGGTAGCTGAGATCGATGGTGAATCGACGTTTTGAGTTGAATGTCTGCATGTTAACGCGAATGAGGTTTAGAAGGTTGGAGATGGAGATGGAGATTTGAAGGAGGAAATAAGTCTACCGTTCGCCAACCGTCAGGTCCCTATTTAAATGAACACCTCGCAAACCAACAGTTCCACGACAAACCCACCTTGCTATTGTAGTTTCTCGTAGCCGGTCCATAGGTAAAAACATCCGCAATCCACAACTAGAGACCTGGCATTGTTGCAAAGGTGGTCGGTGTGGGCACCTGTGGAACTGTGGAAAGTAATCTCGTTCAATGGCTTCGGCACACTCGATCGGCAACCGCTAGGCCGTTTAAGACCTTTTGTGTCTTCCACCACGACTGAAAGGTCATAAAACAGACTTGATCGAGCTGTGACCATTATCTTTCCCTATAGTAGTCTTGTGTTTTTTGGACAGATATTTGACTGGCGTGAAGATACTCACGAAATTATTTGTTCAATTTGAAGTCTTCCTGACACCCTCTCCACATCGCTACCGTACGTACTGAAGGGCCAAGTCCCTTTTCGTGAAACCGTTTCTCTCCCCCATTACATTCTAAGTACTGACGCTCCTGCTCGTGCTAACCGTAAGAAGCAACTGGCATGAGATGACTCGATGGCTGTCGGCGAGTTTATGGCAATGGTGGTTTACGTTTACACATTGTTGCACCATGACATATGGAGCTTCGAGCGCACGTCACGTAGATTGGGGAGGAGGTTGGAGTACTAAGCGTTATGTCAAAAGGAGTAAAAAAAAGACATGCTGTACGATGCACAGCCGTATGGAAGATATAAATATAAGAGGTGGGACGCACGCCCATGTGCTCACCATTGCTCTTCATCGATGCTTCATCCTTGCCTAGCATACTGGTAAGATGAAAACCCATATGAGCATCATGCATGGATGACCTGACAATTGACATAGTAGGTAATAGCTTGTGCGTCAGCTCTCGAATGACTGAGAGTTGAAAATCACTCAATACCAAGCTTAGCCTTACAGAGCACGAGGAGAACCCACCGAACATTAATCGACATACTCGCACTTGCCAACCTGTATGGCGAATACAACTATTATGGCTTCCAGCTCAACACAGCCCAATGCAACAGCAAACAAATCGATTTTGACACCAGTCATAACCTTGGAGGGACATGAATCATATGTGCTTTCCTTGCCGGATGGCAGACATCCCGAGTACAAAGAAGTTTCATCCATTTCCTATTTTCCCCGACGGCAAGCAAATGATCAGCGGATCAGACGATAAGACCATTCGGCGATGGAACCTGAGGGAGGGTGAGGAGATCGAGAAGGCTCGTGAGGTTTGCGAGTATCGTATAGAAGCAGTGGGGGTATCAAAGGATGGTCGATGGGTTGTCACTGCTGGTCGTAGGAGCCTCAAAGTCAGTGAGGTTGAGACGGGGATCGTGAGAACATTTCATGATGATGAAGACGATTGGATCAAACTGGATCGATATCTTCCTCGGACAACACGCTGCTAGCGGGTGCGTCGACCGATCTCAAAGCGCGGATATGGAACTTGGACACTGGCGAACTCATAGCTGGTCCATTCAACATTAGTGATCATGATGGTTATCCTGTAACACTATCATTCCGACTCTCAGAAGACTCCAAGAAGCTAGCGGTGTTGTCAGATTGGGGGCAGTACCTTCAAGTGTGGGATGTCCAAGCACAGAAATTGGATGTACAAACATATACTACTCCCCACAGCGCAGTGTCAATTCAGCAGATGCCGGTCTTCTGGACAACAAAAGACAAATCCATCGTAGCCCCATTCAAATTCACTCAGGCTGATGACTACTTTGTCTGGACAATCTATGAGTTTGACGCGTCGACGCTCGAGACTGTCGGAGCTCCCTTCAAACACACTCGTCCCATCATGGGGTCTAGCACTCTCATCTGATTGTGTTCTTCTCGCCGCTTTCTTCTATGGACGACACCATCAAGTTATGGTCCTTCAAGTCCCGCCAGCTCCTCGCTTCATTCGACGTTAAATCTCCTTTCACCCTCGTTCTCCTCGCCAGATTTACGCCAACTGGCTTACACGTCTGACGATGACAGCAATATCTATATATGCGACATTCCAGTCGACATCCTTGCTAGCATTGGACTTGCAGAAGAACCACAGCCTAGTGTATGTATTCCCCGCATAGATCTATCATTTATATGCTAATATTCTGACAGACCAGTAAATTTGAACGTTCACGCCGCGCTGGTCTACTCAACGTACGTGGTCCTGCTTTTTCATTCATCTACACTACACCATTCTCTATTACTACAGTCCGATGCAGCCCGTCGCCCCGTGCGCCGTAACCCAGTGATAACACCTGTCGTGGCTCCCATCCCTCGACCTTGCCTACAAGGGACCCACATACTTTCCTTTCGCTTTCTGCGCAAGCACCTTTCATTCTCTTCTCGTACGGACGCCGTTCACACCGATGAGCCTCGTAGTCCCTAGACGTATGTTTATTTTGCCTGTTTGCTTCCCAGTTGACTGAATAGTTCCCTTGCAGTTCCCTGCTACATTCCCCCTGCCTCGTCCACTCATCAAGCCAGACGAGAACGTGAGTGGGGCCTTTCATCATTACATATTAAGCTTACAGTCTTCTAGTCTCAACCCACACCGGCACCACCTACCACCCAATCCTCCACCATCAAGACTTCCGCACCCTTCACATCTAGCTTACATCGATTATCAACCTGGTGGCCCTTTCAGAACGATCATGCATCGCCGACTATCGCCGATGTTTCTCTCGCACCGGGTAAACTGGTACGCACCTCTCATTTTTCTCCTCGTATTCCAAATCTCACGCATTCATGTATAGCGGTATGCTACAGCAGGTGCTCCCGGTAATGATGATGACCTGATACGCGATGAAGACTATGTTTCCCCCTCCTCCTTCCCCCAATCCCGGCTCTCGCGCACGGATTGTTACGCCGGACAACACGGAAGCGGCCGGTTTTGTTTCTGCTTCTAATTGATCTCAAACTTGTTCCCCGGTATCTTGTAACTGTAATCGTTGCCCCTTGCATGCGTCGTCCTCTGTACACTTATGTCAAATTCATGGTCACTACATCCCCTAAGGCGCTTGAGATATATGAACAATTTCTGATAATCGATCCTATCCAGACTCTACAATAGTCCGAGTCACGAAACTGTTCTTTCCGACAGCGAACCACGCTACAAAAACAGTGCGAGGACCTCCCGTACTCAGCTGTCCTGCGTCCAAACTAGTGCCACTAGAAGGTCAGTGCATTAAAAACGTGACATTCCGGTCTTTCTATCTAAAAGCAGAGGGACAGAACTTGTCAGAACGCCGGCAACCTTGATAAAATGTCGTGATCTCTTTGTCCACTCTGAGCCCGGCAGTAGCAGTATTACACGGGATTTGCCATGCAACGTCCAAGTACCATTCCTGTTTTCTAAATTAGCCATAACTGATGCTCTTCCAAACGTGTATTGCGCGAGTTTCTGCCGTTGCACGTGTGTCCGACGATCATGATATTATGATGATTCCAGCCTTCTTTCTACGTATCAATTCACGCTACTCCTCGTCATAAAGAGTCATGAATCACTTGTTCGCCACTGATTGAAGATAAATGGCGCGTTATTGGTAAAATAACAGGAGTTCATGTGAGAGACTAACCTGCTATACACTCAATCTCAAACAAAACATCTTTCGGAAGTCGAGCAACTTCAACAGCTGAACGTGCCGGCTTATGTTCCGAACCGCTGAAGAACTCCTCGTAAATTTTGTTGACGGTGGCAAAGTGCTCCATGTTTTTAAGGAACACCTATGTAATGCATCATCAACTCGGAGACGACTATCTCAGTGGGAAAGTAACATACCGTAGTCTTGACGACCTTGCCAACTAAACTAGAGCTGGCTTCAAGAACAGCCTTGAGATTTGTGAGAGCCTGCTTTGTCTGCTCCTCGATACCGCCTTCGACTATCTGCATCGTGGAAGGTACGAGTGGGATGCAACCCGAGACAAAGACGAATTCGCCAGCCTTGATAGCTTGGGAATAGGGCCCAATGGCTGAGGGCGCGTTGGGCGTCGAAACAGATGTGATCGTAGACATTTGTCGTTTTGTTCTGGCAGCGAGTGCAAAAGCGGGGGTATTGCGGGAGACGAAGAGCGGTTGTCCTACAATAGGAGGAGAGGCCCAGCACGGAAAAACGAAAGACCTTGACAAGCGGATTGCACCCAACATCAATCGATTCGATTTTGATATGACCGCACAAGTGACGATAACCCGAAAATGACCAAGCGCTACACATCCATGAGAACTTGTGATAAGATAAAATTGCGTTGATTAGCGTAGTACTACAGTCAAAGAGTTACATAGATACTACTTTCACAACAACTTTTTCTCCCTTCACCTGTCCACTCCGCACTACATTAAGAGCCTCCTGGCAGCGATCTTGTAGTGATCCTTGATCAAATAGGCGAAACTCGATTGGGTTGAATGATGACTTCCTCCAACAGTCGAGGGAGAATCTTCGGCATCAGGTTATCACGAAGGTACTCATTCTTCTGCGCCAACTTATTGAGGTACTTGATCAAAACCAGTCTCAAGATACTCACCTGTTGATACAGCAGCGTCCTCACGCCTACAAGTTTCACCGAATCTGGGAAGGGATTTCTGTCGGCCGGTAATTTCCATCCACATTGCGCGTCTTTCCCTGCAACATGCCTGGTGCCTTCCGTCACTGGCAATAGCATGGCTACCACACCGTCGGAGCTAATGACACTGGATATGCTCTTGAGCGTGCCCTCTGCGCTGATGCAGTCCAAAACAAATTGGACATTTTTGCCTGCGGCGAGTAGAATCTTTTCGGACATGTCGTCATCGCTGTAGTCTACGACATGGGCGGCGCCAAGAGACTTGAGGTAGGAATGCTGACGAGGGGACGCGGTTGCAATGACCTGCTTGTACCCAGCAAGGGCCAACAGCTGAACAGCGTATTGACCAGACGTAGCTCCCGCACCATAAACAAGGATCGGAGTCTCTGCGTTGGGAGGTGGTACAGAGAAGGGTAACGTTGGCGGAGCAAGTCCCAAACAATCGAACAGCGTGTAAAATGCAGTTATGAAGTTGTCGGGAATTGTTGCAGCTGCTTCGAGCGAGTAATTATCGGGGAGCTGCGAGTCTGGTCATCACCGGCATTAAAAGCTTAATTTATTTCAAACCTTGGGCGCAGGTGGAGCTTTGTATGATTGCAAGTTCTTGTAACCCCTTCGCCTTCGATCCTGTCGTTGCAAATGCGCAAACCTAGAAAAAAAAGATGGGCATCAGAGTTGTTCGTTCGTCTCGCACAGATATTTATGCTCGCCTTGTCTCCCGTCTGCAGATCGGGCCACACCAGAGCCGACAGCTTCTACAATTCCACTAAGATTGAAGCCTAGAACGACTGGGTATTCGCCATTTATGTTTCGACCATAATCGGCCATGTATGTGTCAAGGGGTATGACTGCGCTGAATGCCACTTTTACCATCACCTCACCGGGTCCAGGAGATAGTGTTGGGACCTGAATAACAGATGTGATGCCAACGGCTGTACTCGCGAATGCAAGATGAGTTTGTGATGACATGGCAGTAAGTGGGAGGTCGATGAGTCGGAAGTAGTGTATCTGATGTTGGACGTGTGCTTTTATAGTCAAAGGCGACACAGCGATGCTCTGTCGAATTCTGACGGTCCAACCAGATCGGTGCTCAAGCGCTCACGAGTCCAACAGGCTGAAATCGCGATGATCGTAAGTCTGCGCCACTGACACTCGTATCACTTGATGGATCCTTCAGCTAGCGAGTGATGTCGATGATGACGAGTCAGCATTACTAGAAAGTATGGCAAAAATTAGTCACGGACAATTCGATGCTTACGAAGATCATCATTAATCACTAAGGTGATTCCGTGAACAACGGACGCTTATGAATCATACTGTACTGTCGTGTCGAGCAACATAAAATATTAGGAAATGTTTGTAAGGAGTCTCAAGAACGATTCTGAAGCAGCCGCTTGAATCTGAACATGTTTGGTCCTGTTTATTTCAGAAGGTGTTGCCAAACACTTGTACATAGTTTCCCTCGCATAGCTTGCGGCATTGTCTGCACAATGCAGCATTTATTTCCTCTTCTAGTACTGTCTCCATGGATTTCGCCTCTCGGGATCGATTGCCTGTAGATTGTTATGGGTCCAGATATATTCCGCAATCCAAATTTCCCTAAAAAGGCTAATTTGCTTGAAGACGGTCAACACTCGATTCTTGATTTCCAGACACTCTCCGTCGTCAAAGTACCCAGCACCCAAATACTTAAGCAGCACGATGTCCGTCACTTTACTCATCCGAGTCATCAGCACTAGCACCCTCAGCCTCCGAACTAAATATCTGAATCGCACACTCGTCTCCAAACAAATACTCTGAGATGTCTTACACCACTCTTAACATTAACACTCACTTCTCCCTCTTCGCCCCCTTGCCCGCGTCTTCAAACTTATTCACTGTCTTCACTCAAGCACAGTCTCCACGTGAAACGCATGCAATGTATGCAGAGGTCCGCCAGGTGCTTGGCGCTTCCAACGGGCAAAGGAAGCAGGGCAAGAGCGCGCTGAAGAAGATCTTCAGTGCCAATTAACAAGTATCTACAACACGCGCCTTCAAGCGCATTATCCCATCCGAGATCAAGCTCTCTCGCTCGATGTGACGAGATAATTCTCGTCTTCCGAGCAACTCCACCAGAGCGCGGCCACTGCCCTCTCAAACAACTGTATCGGCCAAGCGCAGGCACAACCATCATAAGCCGTGCACACCCCTTCATGCACATTCGCATTTAAAAACTATCTGACGTGTGGATCGCGTCGTAGAGCGGGCAATTCGGGAATAATCTGGATGACTGAGGAAGATGGCAGCGCTGCATACTACTTACTAGAATCCAAAAGACGCGTCGGATGCAGTCTTCTGGTCTCACTCCGATATCACTTCGTATCCGGGACTTGCTTCGAAATACCAATGAATTAATTCAATGCCAATAAAAATATGAGATATGTGAATGACATGAAGTCAAGGAGACCTCAACGCATGCCACCAGGAGTGGGTGTAGGTGAGACCATATCGCTGCATGTTAAGATTGCAGGCATAGGCATTCTCTGCCCCATTTTTGGTGCGCCAGATGTTGGCGGTTCGGGGTTGGGGCGGTCGGGGGGTGTTACACACGGTGGAGGTATATCATCTTCCTCTGCTACATCTTCCTGCTCTGCCTCTACGGATATCCGCGGTGGACGTGCTTCCACGATCCTCGAAATCTCCTTAAATTCTTCCTCGCCCGTCCAGCTCCCAACAATGTCCTCGAGGTCTTCATACCCCTTGGCTTTAGCTGTCCTCGACTTCAGCTGGTGTGCATCCGTCTTTGACACCTCTGAGCGTGTACCCTTGAATTGGGTGACACAAAATTTCGTAGAGGCCCAGTAATTATCCAAGTATTTGCAGAGGCGCAAATATGAAGGTGAAAGTGTCGATTCAACATCTCGAAGTGGTGTTGCGGAGAAACACGATGGATTTGACTCGGCCGCAGTTGCAATCATGACCGAGTCTGCGCCTGCATGGAGTATAAGAATATATGAAATGGGATAACCTCCACAATTGAACTCACCGGTAATGTCCCTAATGCGCTTTGCATCTTCCACTCCTGTACAATCTCCATTTTGAATTACCGCCACGTCCAAACCCAGCCCCTGCACAAATTCAACGATCTCTTTCAGCCTCTCAACCAATGCTCGCTCTCTCGGCCTCATGTTCCTCGTCCGACAGTGTATTGTGATCGCATTCACACCTGTCCTCGCAATCCTTTCTACCAGCTTCTTCGTCTCTTCCTGAGTTGATAGTAATCTGATCTTCGCCGATACACTGATTTCCCTTGGCAATTCCCTCCTCAGAGCCTCCAGTATTCCACAAAGAAGGTCAGGATTCGTCAAGAGAGCCGCGCCCATCCCAGAGTGTGTGCTGAAGGGTTTCGGACACCCACAGTTGAGGTCAACGCCTGAAACATCCTGCATGACGGTTTTTGCTGCCTGCACCGCAAGCTCGGGGTCAGCGGAACCGATTTGGTATATTAGGTATGGTTTTTCGAGAGGATGAGTCGTGAACATTGCGCGAGTCTTGCCGTTGTATGAGATGACACCGGTAACAGCTGAAGAAAATCAGTTGATCAGTGGAAATATGAAGAGGTCACACATACGGTCAACCTCGCGTTCTGCATGTAATATAGCCTTGTCTACTATTTCAGGGCCCCAAACAAGCGTCGCGCCATACTTGAGAGCCATTAATCGCGTTGGTACTGTGATTAAAAGCTGCATTAGCTTGGATCGGACTGCAAATACAGAACCGGCACGTACGAGCACCAGATCTAACCATTGGTGCGAGAAACATCCCATTTCTGAAGGAATCTGGCGTAAGATGGTCGATTCGCGGACGTTTGGGTGGTCGTTCCGATTCGCCCTGAGGCCCAGGGGTTGGTGATGTTGAGATTGGGCGACGAGACATCGCACAGGTCAAGAGCACGGAACTCGGTAATATGTGCAAAAGTTTTGAATGTGCTCTGGATGAACAAACGAGTCGAACGAGCATGAAAAATTACGATACAGTCGGCTGGATTCCAGTTAGACCTGACTCACTTGGCAAAGTTACAGTGGAAGTGCTCAAATGTTGAGATGAAGCCGAGACGTACACTTTCCACGTGACTGGTTCGCGGAAGGACCTTCAATTGAAGTTCTAGGTCCGAGACTACTTATGATTGACCTCTCTTATTAATTGAAATTGCGTTCAAGGTCCAAGAGCTGATTCAAGCAACGCGCGGAATGATACCCACAAATCGAGCAGCAGCCTCCTCTCTCCTACGCTCTTCCACCCATGTTTATTCCATTCCACGGACCTTCTTGGCCGCAGACGTGAGCAGTAGCACGAAATATGCACGGACATTACAAACGAAGGCTTCTGCGATCGGAGCTATGTCACAACCTAGAATGTTGGTACAGCCTGCTGTTTCACGGAGAAGATTTGCAACTGCCGTTCAGAGTACGTGGTCTTCCCCCTCTGTGTGAAATGCACTTAGCTTCATCTAGATACCTTGTCATCCGAACGGAAGCCTCACTTTGACAAGATACTGATCGCAAACAGGTGGCGTTCAAGTCCTTCTCGCTTAACTCGCCTAACCTGTCCTCAGGGGGGAAATTGCGTGCCGCGTGATCCGCACCGCAAAGAAGCTGGGAATAAAGACTGTAGCAGTATACAGCGAAGTTGACGCCAACTCGCTGCATGTACTGGAAGCAGATGAAGCCTACTGCATCGGCCCTGCGCCTTCAGCTGAGAGCTATGTCCGTTCATAATTCCACTGATCTAGCAGTCTTCTGCTGACGCTGGTTTACTTAGTTACGCATGGACAAGATCATCGATGTGTGTCATCGAAGCGGAGCTCAGGTTGGTTCAGTCTCAAGTTCTGTCATGTGAGACGGAGCTTGACTTTGAACTTGCATTGTACCAACTACAGGCTGTCCATCCGGGGTGCATAGATTATTTCCCCGTTCGTGTATGGCAAACTGATATCTTTGTTAGCTATGGTTTCTTGAGCGAGAATGCAAAGTTCGCGGAGCGACTAGCGGAAGAGGGCATCGTTTTCATTGGTCCTCCCTCCAGCGCTATAGTTAGTATGGGTTCGAAAAGGTGAGTTCAAGCACTTTCGATGCCAATATAGAACTAAGCTTTCTTCAGCGAATCTAAGAATATCATGTCTGGTACGATGCATCTTACAAAGTGCTCCTGAAAACATGATATACAACTCTTTTCTGCAGCCGCCGGTGTTCCGTGTGTGCCAGGTTATCACGGCGTGAACCAAGACGTTGACCTCTTATTTGCAGAAGCCGAGAAAATCGGTATGCACCTTCATCCAGCCGTTCCCAAAACCTTCCCGTTAAGCGCGTTATGTCACACAGGTTACCCAGTCTTGATTAAAGCCATTCATGGTGGTGGTGGCAAGGGCATGCGTGTTGTCTCATCTGCATCTCAGTTCAAGGATGCTCTCGCTAGCGCGCAGCGTGAATCCTTGAAAAGCTTCGGTGACGCAGATGTACTTGTAGAGAAGTACATTGAGCGTCCCAGACATATTGAAGTGCAGGTATTTGCAGATACGCTTGGGAATACTGTGAGTCTTTGGGAGAGAGACTGTTCCGTTCAAAGGAGAAACCAGAAGATTATTGAGGAGGTAGGTTTAAAAGTTATACCAAAAGTGTATAAAAAGACGATCCTTGATAGGCCCCGGCACCTGGCTTGAGCCCCGAACTTCGTGCAGACTTATCAGCGAAAGCGGTTGCTGCTGCAAAGGCCGTGAATTACGTAGGTGCCGGGACTGTGGAATTCATTTTCGACAACGATACAGAGAAGTTCTACTTCATGGAAATGTGCGTACCTTTTAGTTGTGCGGCACACTACTCATGAAATCTCAGGAACACCCGCTTACAAGTTGAGCACCCTGTCACAGAGATGATCACTGGCCTTGACCTTGTCGAGTGGCAACTGGAAGTCGCGGCTGGTAATCCTCTTCCACTTTCGCAAGCACAAATCCCTCTCGTTGGGCATGCATTTGAGGCGCGGATATATGCCGAGAACCCTCGGAACGATTTTCTACCTGACTCTGGGCCATTACTGTACCTTAGCACCCCGAAACCAACTCATGTCTTTGCCCCTCCTATCCCATCACTCCCCCACAACGATTCGTGCTCAGAACTGGACTCAGTGAAGCGATCACCTGATACCTCAACGCACGTGGCACCGTCGATGCGCTTAGAGCAAGGGTTCACGCAGGGCGCACAGATTGGTGTATTTTATGACCCGATGATTGCCAAGCTGGTGGTACACGGACGCGATAGGACCTCTGCGCTTCGTGCTCTTCGTCGTGCGCTTGAAGAATACAAAGTAGTCGGTGTCTCGACAAATGTTGAATTTTTGAGAATGCTCGCGGGCAACGGCGCATTTATTAATGGAGAGGTTGAAACCGGCTTCATCAAGGTATGCCTATTCATTTCACCCTCTTGTTCAATCTTACAGTATCCTATGAGTAGAAGCACTACGAAGACCTTTTCCCAGCTGTCGAAAGTCCCTCAGCCGAGTTACTGGCACAAGCAGCACTGTTCATCGCACTACGAGAACATCCGATTCAGCCTACAGGCCTTTCCACACCATGGACAACACTGACTTCAAGACGCTTTGGCGGAGATGTTTACGAGCGTACCATCTCCATCCAACCAGATGATGCCTCTGCAGATCCCACCCGAGTTTCTTTGAAATCCATATCTCTAGGTCACTTCGACATAGCTGTTCACTCTGCTACACCAAAGACATTCACAGGTGTCTCGGCTCGCCTGGTTTCGCCTACAACATTGAGTACGACGCTCAACGGAGCTTCGACAGAAATCACAATTGTGTCGCAGCGCTCGTCTCCTTCCCACCCTGCGTCACGCGCAACGAACACCATGGAACGCCTACACGTGTTCTCGGCGTCGGGAACCAAGACTACGTTAGCCATTCCACCTCCTGCGTATCTCCTCTCTCTCGGCCAGGATGTTCTCACCTCATCCAAGGGTGCTTTGCGTGCGCCAATGCCGAGCTTAGTAGTAGAAGTGAAAGTCAGCATCGGCGATCGCGTTGAGAAGGGTCAGCCAGTAGTGGTGTTGGAGAGTATGAAGACGGAGACTGTGTTGCGCGCCGAGGTAGCGGGTGTTGTGAATGCGGTGGGGTGTGCGAAGGGGGAGATGGTGGAGGAGGGGCGGGAGTTGGTTGACATCAAAGAAGATGAGTTGTAGGTGTGGTTTGAGTCCTATTTGTATTTTAGTCGATGGATTTTTGGGAGTAAATCGTCTTTACATGCTCTGGACTTGAAATTTCAAGTCAATACTAACCAAGCCTTGGGGGACTAGCTATATACGAGATGAAACGCGTATGAAGCAAGCTTGTAGTTCTGATTGAGACATAACTAGACCCTCCCATATGGAGTCGGACTCTCTTCAATTCTCCCTGCTTTCGCCAGCTGACTTCCGATGCCAATCGTATCTTGCAAAAGATCTTCCCCTAGAAGCCTGAGCTCACCAGACCTCTCCCGTGCTTGCGCTGCGCAGGGGGGATACCAAATACAGTCTCTTCCTGGATTCCCAAGCTATCGCTATAGCCATCACCATCACCATCACCATCAACAGAATCAAAACTATCATCAAATCCATCCCCATCGTCTTCCACGGCGCGTGCAAATGGATGCACCGCACCGCCTTCGTCGCCAAAACCCCCTCCGATCGAATCACTGGAGTGGTTTGAATTCGACGAGCCGAATGAATCGTCTGGATCCTGATTGCGTGCGGAGGCCATTAGGAACGCAGTCGATGGCTGTCCTGGGTGGGAAGACTCGCCCAGAGAGTCTGAATCAGAGTCGGAGTCTGGACTAGGATCGACTGGGTGCAGTGTACTGAGCTCTTCTTGTTGAAAATGGAAAGGCTCGGGGTATGGATCGGGAGTGTGGAGAGCTTGTGGTTGAGAAATAGGGGCAAGCCGTACTGTTTCGAGACTTTGGTGAGATGTGACTGAATGTGATTTTGATGTAGAGGCGGATTCAGATATGATGAGTCCTGTCCTGCGCATTATGCTTGCATAACTTGAGCTCGTATCCTTGCTGTCGTGCTCAGAGAGATAAGCATGACGGGTATATCGTGTTATGGATGGTGGGGTGGGAATCGTAGACATGGTATCGTCTGTGCCTTCTGGAACGGAGTAACCAAATTTCTTGAAGCCACCACACCGGTCTACGGTAGCACTACTTCGGACGGAACTGTGATCAGATTGAACATCTCCAAGAAGGTCGCGACGTATGCGCTCTGCAGCTTCCTTCCTGGGTGTCCTTCCCAATGCATGGTGTAAGTCCTTGCCTGGTGTCCGACCAAGTGGAGGTAGCAGGCCCAGTCCCACGCTAGACCTCGGTCCGCGCGGAAATGCCACCGTCCGCGGTGGCGAAAGACCACGCATGAGTTCTGCCGAGTCATCGAAAGAGTCGTTGAACTGATCAAATGGTCTATTTGAATCATCGGATGGTCTCGTTAGAGATGGTATATCTAGCATGAATGACGAATTAGAGGTGGACGACAGCGGGGGGTATGGCTTGTGCGGAGAGCGCTCATATCGTTGCCTCCTAGGCGATGGCAGTGGGGGGTCTGGATGATTGCGTGGAGGAAGATATGCGTGTAGATGTTGTGGGATCGCTACGGGTGTCTTAGGCTTAACTTTCAGTGGAGATACCCTTGCGCTGGCTGGGATGCCACGAGGGGTGGGGAGCGCGCTGGGCGGAACCCGCAAGGATGGAAAATTAGGCCGTGATGTACTCTGCGAAACGGAATGTCCAGGCGAATAATCCCTTGACTTTCCCTTGTCCAAAAATTGCTGGACAGTGCTTTCTTCCTCATAAGCAAAGCTGTTGTAGGTAGAATTTTGGCCCGCTGAGGTCTTGCTATCCTCCCCAATGGTAAAGTTTTGTAGCTCGCGATCAAGCCGGACAAGTGGAGATTCTAGTGACGCACTCCAAGAAGGTTGATCACCCATAGTATCATTGCCAGTACGAGCTGGGGTAGATGATACTGCATTCGATGGCATGAAAGAGGATTCAGATGCAGTAGAATTTGGACCGTAGGTGCGATTGCGATGATGAGAAGGCGTTGTATCATCTTCGGTACTGAACAGAGAAGACTCCTCTGCGTCGGGCCGGGTAGAGGAACTTTCGGCCTGGGATATTGCTTCTGACTGCTGTTCATGTAAAGAGGAGTAGTCCTCATATGTAGGAATATGTACTTGTGCAGCTTTCTCGTAAAACGATGTCCAGAACTGAGATAACATAGTAGGTTTCATCGACGAGAAAACAGGACAAATCAAACTTACCTTTGCAGCTTCACGAACGGGTTCTGTGCTCACAGCATATCGCTTCACGGCTGGTAGCAACTTTGTGGCCATGATATTCTGAATCTTTGAGAAATTCGTGTCGATGTTCTAACGACTTTATCAGTGTTGAGCGGTAATAAGCACATAATTAACACCACCTGAAGTTTAATAGTTATCAGCTGTTCGATCTGATCGATCTGGTCATTGACAGATGCATTAGTGTCGAGACCTGCAACATCTATGGATGTAGGATCAGCGCTAGCTTGCCAGCGCGGAGGATTCGGGATGATGCTCATCGTCGCGGATATCTAAGACGCGTCCTGTCACATGTGACATATACGTGCTTCATGTCACGTTCATTCGACCCAACTTTCTCAACCTTAGTGTGTATGTGATGTTATATCACCATCACATCAAGTGCGCCGTCCATTGAATGTAGTGTCTTCTACATTAAATTTGCCCTATGCTTCCCTTTTTTTTGTGTATCTTCCGGTATGATGGCCCGATGACCGAGGTGCATATACTGAGGACGAAAAGGAGCAGGATTAGGCAACGAGGAATGTGGTTTGGAGATGTTGCAAGGGAGTGAGTGTTATCAGTCAGGGACAGGTGAGTTGCGTTTGCGCCGCTTTGGCCCATTATTTCTCGTCTGACTTCTTTGGTGCCATGCCGACAGAATGAGACCTTATTGGAGGAGCTGTTACCCCTTGGGTCCTGACCAACGAGGCTGAAAGAGTACAAATGTATACTCCAACATGGGGACGTGCGACGTGTACTACTACTAGTACGCATTTGAAAAATAACCGCAAACGTCGAAGTTCGAACATCACATGCAGGTGATTCAACGGCGGAGACTCCATATTGAATTATATCTGTGCTCACTCCCAGTCATTACGCGGCCAGACACTGTCCCACCACTGTGGCTTTCTACCAAGAAGATTCGACAAATAATCTACCTGCTCCTGGAAAGGAATAACAGGGTAGTCTGCTTCATCATCAGAGCACACAGACAAGACAAACACCTCCCCGACGGCATTCACGTGCTCGGGGGGCGCACCATCTTGTTTGGGCTGGAAACACATCTCGATAGTCAGAGGATCAATTTTGACGGCCCAGCAGATATGCTCGAATCCTCTCATCCAGAAATCGTTTTTGGTAGGAGGCTCGAGAGTATCCTCAGGATAGTGAATGTTCTTTCCGAGATCAATGAGCCACTCGTGGCTGAGCCAGAAACCATAGTATTGCTTGTGACGGTTCCTGGGTGGACAAGGGAAATTGAGCTGACGAGGACGAGACGAGAATCTGAGTGGTACGAGGGGTGGCTGGGTCGACTTCGATTCGGCAACCTGAAGTTATGTCAACTTACTTGAACTACGGCCGGGGAAAGAAAAAGCTGGCTCACCTTCAGATTTTGCATCGATTGACGGAGAAGTTCAGATGCAGACATTGCGATAAATTTAAGGTGGGACTCAGAGGTCAAGTAAGATTTAACAGATGAATTGAAGGCTGTCACCGTTTGTGAATGAATCCGAGCAAGATGTTTGACCAACTTGTTTAAGTACTATACGAAACAACACAGCCACCGTTAAAGATGTCTACTCCTTGTTGGTGTCAACTTGTACAAATAGGGGCCGATAGAGCCTGTTTTGGAATATTTCGATGTTTTCTCACTTGCGCTTGCGTCTGGATGACCTCCATGTTGATTCACGTCATATTATATACATGAGACAACCCTTCCGGATCCTTTACACTCCTTCCGACATCATCTTCCTCGTCCCTCATCCACCTGCCCCCTACCTTGAAGTTCCGCCATCTTCTTTCTTCTCCCACTCATCTCTCCTCTCGTACTCCAATTCTGTCCTCCCTCTCTATTCTCCGTTCGATGTCTTCCTCATTGGGCTTCAGCGGAAACTGAGCAATCTTCACGTCCATCAGAATCGACGACTGTTGTGATGGTCATGTGAAATACGTCACTGAAGATATTGTCTGTCTGTCTAAATGAGATAGTCCGCAATGATTGAAATAGTGTATGCTAAGGTGTGGGCCAATCAATAATTTATAAACACTGTTCTCTGCTTAGAGTGCAAGACCACACTGCGACTGAACAGATCGTTCATCAGTGATACGGCTCGTTAAAACCATTCCAGGACTTACTGGATCCTCGGGGAACACAAGACCAGAACTGGCATTCGATAATCTGTTATTCTTGGGATCATCCCCCAAGTCAGCGGACAGGTACTCTTTCTCCTTGCCCTTGTCCGTGGACTCGAACGGATATGGATACATGATGGAGACAGTCTCGTGGCTACTGTCCCCAGAATCATCATTGAACTCTTCCTGGGACGTTTCACGTAAAAGTGGATTGATGATGAAATACGAATCATTCACTGGCGTAACTGGGGGATGGGACTGTGTGGGCGTTTGGAGGTCCTTACTTGATGGGTCGTCGTCGTTTACATCCCCTATAAGCGCATTGAGGCTCCGAGTTGCTATTGGTGTGGGCGCATCATGATCTACAGGGCTTGCAGCTGCTACAGCCGCCGCCCAAGACGCTTGTTGCTCTGAGAATCGGCGAATTTTCACAGGAGGTAGCGCGGCGTCTTCAGTTAAAGCGGAGACTACTTGGCGGCTTTGTGGTGCACGAGAGGCCATAAAATCAGAAAGATCGACGACTCGGACACCATCGAGGAACGGGTTCACTGGGGGAACGGGGAATGCCGAAGGACTTGGTCCAGGGCTATCGTCATTGTCCACAATAGCGTGGGCCCCCGCGACAAGTGTGGTAGCGGCGGTGTGATATGAGTGGAGATCTATGCTTGATTGAGAGCCGATCGCGATACCTATACCGCCGCTCAGGCTAGACTCCCCATCATTAGACGCGTAAAAACTCTGTGCGCTCGCGAAATCTCTCTCCGTGCCTTCTGATTCGTTGTCCCAACAGATACCGCCACCATCCGACTCCCTGTCAAAGTCCTCGTGCAATGCTGAGCCCGACAAACTACCAGAAAAATTATGCGAGGAACCGGCAAATGATGGGTGAGGGAAGGCCGATGGGCCAAAGGAGTTTGCGGCGTGATGCAGGGCGCCACGACTCTCACTTGCACCTTGCCCTCCTACGACAGAGCTGTACGTAGGACTGTAAGGGTGATTCTCACGCATTGTCGCTGCTTCTGCTGCAGAGAGTGTTGCGGTAAGGTCACTATCGTAAAGCTGCTGGTGGGCCCGCGGACGCCGCCTGCGGCCGATGAGATAACATGCTGCAATACCGAGAAGCAGAAGGGCTAGGACTCCGCCCACAATCCCTCCAATAATTGGAGCTTCATTTGACCTTTATTCCGATGGGTTGTATGCAATGTGAAACGGTTAAAATGACGTACCTGGCTCCCGAAGTTGGTACTGGAGTTGTGGTACGAATCACGGACGTTGAGGTCGATGTCAGGGTTACGAGTACTGAGGTTGACCCAAAAGAGGAGTATGCTATAATAGTGGAGGTACCAATCGATGTATAGGTGATCGAAGAGAACGTGTCCCCACTCGGTGGTATGGGCGACGTCGTGCTCATGACATTTTCTGCAACTCCGGTGAGGCTTAGAATCAGATAATTAGGTCAACGCATTCCGCTAATAGCTCTAATAACTTACGGCGAGCTAAGATAAGTGGAAGACGGGTTGCCCACAGGACCGCCAGAGGGCGTAGGTGAATCTGCGGACGAGAATGTCAAACCATTCCCAGTCGGGATTGGAGTGTTCACAGCACTTCCGCTGGGAGATTGCGGTGTATGGGAAGATTGTGCACCCGACACTGTCTCTGGCGAGGGTAGCAGGACCATGTATCGATGAGCTAGTACTTGATGTGGTGCTAGATGTGGGAGATGCATTTTGGGGATTGCTTGAAGTTGGCGAGGTCAAAGGTGAAGTTGAGTGTTGGCTAGATGTCCGTGGCCCCGGAGTTGTAGTGTCTGGAGTTGTGGAGGTAGTCAGTAAAGTTGAGTGTTGGCTAGATGTCCGTTGTCCTGGAGTTGTAGTGTCTGGAGTTGTGGAGGTCGTCAGCAAAGTTGGGTGTTGGCTAGATGTCCGTTGCCCCGGAGTTGTAGTGTCTGAAGTTGTGGAGGTCGTCGGCAAAGTTGACTTTTGGATGGATGGATGTTGCCCCGGAGTTGTAGTGTGTGAAGTTGTGAAGGTCGTCGGCGAAGTTGACTGCTGACTGAATGTCTGTGTATTCGGTAAAGGAGTGGAGAGATTCGTGTCTGACGTTGTAGATGGCTTATCTGCGGAGGAGCTAGGTGTAGAAGTTGTAGATGGCTTATCTGCGGAGGAGCTAGGTGTAGAAGAAGTTGTAGATGGCTTATCTGCGGAGGAGCTAGGTGTAGAAGAAGTTGTAGATGGCTTATCTGCGGAGGAGCTAGGTGTAGAAGAAGTTGTAGATGGCTTATCTGCGGAGGAGCTAGGTGTAGAAGAAGTTGTAGATGGCTTATCTGCGGAGGAGCTAGGTGTAGAAGAAGTTGTAGATGGCTTATCTGCGGAGGAGCTAGGTGTAGAAGAAGTTGTAGATGGCTTATCTGCGGAGGAGCTAGGTGTAGAAGAAGTTGTAGTGGGATTGCCTACAATTGGCGAGGTCGTGGATGAAGATGCCTTGGAGCTTGTCTCCTGTCCCGGTAGAGTACTGGACTGGCTCGTGGTCGATGGTGCAGATGGTTTCTGTGTGGGTGGTGGAGGTAGCGATGTTGGTATACTTGAAGGCAGTGAGGTGAGTATGGATGAAGGTGGTGAGGTTGGTATGGTTGACGGCGGCAAGGTGAGTATAGATGAAGGTGGCGAAGTCGATGTGGTTAAAGGTGGTAAGGTGAGTATGGATGAAGGTAGCAAAGTTGGTATGGTTGAAGGTAGCAAGGTGAATATCGATGAAGGTGAGACACTTGTAGCGGGACCACTGTTTGGAGGGCCAAAAGTAGTAGGACTGTTTTGAGGAGTTGTCCCGCCCGTGCTTACAGGTGGCGGTAAGGTAGTGCCGCCTGACGGTGGGCCATTTGTCAATGCTCCTCCACCAGTGCTCATCGATGAGTGTGAAGAAGACGAAATGGATGTTAACGTATCCGTGCTTGGCTCTAACCCCTTATAATTAGTTAACGTGCCATCTGACAGTGACCTTATGACACCCATGTGAGAAATTCACCGTATTGCTGTGATGGGAAAGACAACGGGACGTACGATGATGGGAATGGCATGTCAACCGAGGCGCTGGAGGTTTGTCCGGATGTCTGTGATGAAATAAGTCTATATGTTCCGCAAGACGAAAGAGTGCTCCGTACCGTCGGCGAGGATGACGGACTTGTTGACGATTGTGCATTATGCTGATTCGTGCTCTGGGTCCCATCCGATGAGTAGTTAGATGACGAAGTTGAGGTTGGTGGGCTAGACAGTCCTGTAGGCGCAGGTGGGGTTCCCGTAAGGAGAGGAACGGAAGCGCCGCCTCCAACAGATGCAGAACGAACAAAGGGTCCTCGAATGGACATACGAGAGAATGGGAACGAGGATGTGAAAGTCACTTTGATATCAATTCATCTGCGGGATAATATCTACCTTCGCAAGCTACATAGCAAGGGCGATGTAGGCTATTTATTACGTTACCCCTTGATGGCAAGTGTTCCAGCTGGCGTCGGAGAAGTGATTCCCTGAGTCAACGTCTCGGAAGATCGATGGGCTAGCCCAAGGGTAAAACCAGTTTTGGCTCGTTCATATAACGGGATACCAGTACCACCGAGATGTCTGACGGTCAGCATTTTCGTCCACAACTTGAAGGAGGAGCTTGAGGCATAGATTGCTGGCTCGAATTGCACGCGAGTGAAGTTGTGGCAGTGATTTCAAGATCAACATCATGATGCATAAACCACAACAGCACAGCAATACATCGCCGTCCAGGGACTTGAATCCATGGAATAACCCACAACAAACACCACGGGGATCGTGTGTCAGGCAAGGGGTTATTCTTTTATTCCTGCATGTCAATAGATTTGAAAGCTTGTTTCCGAAACGCTAACTTGAAAGCAGAGTAAGAAGCCTGGGAAGGTGTTATCATTAACGACGCTCATCAGAAGTTCTAGTTACCGTTGTTCCTTTCGCACATGGCAAAGATGTCAGCTGATGTACGAAATGATACCCACAGGGAAAAGTAACAACGTCCACATGGAGGAAAGAGTGAACTAAAAATAGGAGTGCAGTCAAAGTGCCGTCTAGTACTAATGAAGATGAAGCTCTACGCCAATGCTAGTGACTGATCTTCGCGAAGAATAGGTCTTCCATGCAAACCCGCCAAAATCCGATTGAGCCCCGAGGAGAGTCTTTGCAGTGTCTTGGAATGGGTCGATACATATCGATTGGTCACAGGCTATGAGAGCGTTGGAGTTGCGGTGCCGTACGTGAAGCAGTTCTGCTGTGAGAAGACTGATCAGCCAGCGGGCAGGCACATGGACAATGTCGTGCTTGGGGACGGTCTATATTGTCCTAACTTCGCCTCTACCGTGACACACGTTGGGTTCAGTGTCATAACCCCCCTAGAAGCACCGATAAGTTATCAGATACGGCCCTAGTAAAGTTGTCGACGGCAGCTCCCTTGGACCACGGAATTGAGAAGTAGCGGATGAAATGTAGTCCTTCGTTCGGCAGGAGGCTTTTCCCATGTGCATGAACAGTAGTAGACAATTATCTTGCTCGCGTTTAAATTGCATGTCGGGGATTTTTGAAGAAACCGACGTGACATCGGCGGTCGTGTATAACTTATGTATGTCACTATATGTAAAATTTAACAAACCTAGATATGGTTCCGCTGCGATTTCCGCCTGACACGGTGCACCTAACTTTGTCTAGTATAAAACTCTTCGCGGCGTAGGCGTTGACCTAGACGCTATTTTTTACTTAATATCGCTCAGGAAGCAAAGGTAACCCTCTATAGCAGCGTGACAAGACATGACAGCCAAAATAAGAGAAATTCAGAAAAAATAGCCACGTGCCAAGTAGAACCTTCTTTTGGAAGCGCTTGTCGCGACCAGCCTCTTGTTAGCCTGTTGCACTTATAAAACCCATTTCTCAAGCACGATTAGGTCTTCGGTTTTCTCTTTAGACTATCCTTGTCTCTGTGCCCGTCTTGTGGTTGTCCACGACTATGGCTCGGCCTCTGGAGCCAAACCGGCGCCGATCCCTTTCCGATCCACTGGCTGCTGCGCTCATGCCCCCTCCAAACGAGAGTGCTGCAGATCGTGAAAGGAGATTGGAAGCAGAGTCGGAGGCTAAACGGGTCAGCGATGGAATTGATGAAATGCTCCGTGCAGAGAAGAAAGAGAAGAAGGCAAAACCTGAAATTAAGGTCTTGATTCTGGGGCAGAGTGAGAGCGGCAAGAGTACCACTCTGAAACGTAAGTCATCGTCACCTAGGCTTTCTGCTTCATCTCTTTATTGTTTTGTGCGAAAACGAGCTGCGAACATAATAACTTTACGCATGACATGTCTGGGACACATTGACTCATATCTCATCCAGAATTTCAATTAATGCATGCGAAGGCTGCCTTCCATGCTGACCGAATCGCATGGAGAGCTGTAATATATCTGAACCTCGTGCGATCCGTTCGCCGGTAAGTCCTATTACCACTTCAAATCTATTAGCGTGTGTGATAACGACGCCTAATTCCAGCATCCTTGACGCTGTCTCCCCTGAATCAGACCAACCAGACGAGGCAGAAGATCAGGAGACTGCGTCTGGTCTTACAATCTCCTTGACTAACCCATCTTCCGTGACTAAGGTCGCCAGGTATCCCCAATATCGCCACGCATTGGAACCTCTGAGGGAACTGGAGGAACGTTTGATCCGAATGTTATCATCTCCTAATGAAGACGAGCCTACCCACACTACCCCTTCAAAGCCTGATTGGAGTATCTATGCAAACGGTAACTCTAATACCCAAGTTACTGTTGGCAAGAACGGCCGACCCGCGCCATTCATTACCATACCCCCCCTACAGACATCTTCCCCTCTTTCGCCCTCAACGAGCCTCCCTTCTCCTGGTGGGTCAAGCAATAGCTCGTCTAAATCAAAGAATGTGGAAGTTAGCGTTCATCATACCTCGAACTGGAAAAAGGCCTTTTCCCTTGGCAATAGGATCAAGAGTCCTAAGAGTGCACACACTAATGAGATTGAGGGCTGGTGGGACGATCCAAGTGACCCTGTTCATGTGCTCAATTCTTGCGCTCAGCCGATGCTGGCATTATGGAAAGACCCCAGTGTCAAACAACGCCTACGGGAGAAACGGATCAGAGTGGAAGAGGGCAGTGGCTTGTGAGTGTTTCGTATCTGATATTGTATTTTTCTTGACAACAAACAGCTTTTTGGACGAAATATCCCGTATCACCGCTCTACGGTATTTTCCGAGCGACCGTAGGTCGATTGGCTGTCTAAAAACATACCATTTCTAACAATATTTGTTTAGAGGATGTCTTGAAAGCCCGGCTCAAGACCACGGGCGTTGTTGAGCACTCTTTCTCAATTGCTGATTCCCAGCGCCGGTTCATCACATGGAAGATTTACGACGTAGGAGGTGCCCGAAATCAACGGCACGCTTGGGCACCTTACTTCGAAGATGGTAACTATATAACTCGTTTTTTTGATGAGGATCATTCATTGATATCACCATGCAGTAAATGCGATTATTTTTCTGGCACCTATCTCTGCTTTCGATCAGGTATTAGCAGAGGTCAGCAAGTGATTGCTCGTCTCTACGTGGCGTACTGATAATTGTACAGGCTCCGGAGGTGAACAGACTAGAAGACTCCTTGCTGTTATGGAGATCCGTCGTATCAAACAAACTACTTGCACACGTCAGCATCATTCTTTTCCTAAACAAGGTCGACCTTTTGCAGGTCTGTTGTTATTCCTTCGGAAAGCAAGGCGACGATGCTGACGATATCTTAGGCAAAGCTCAAGAGCGGTGTACGACTCAGCCACCATATGCCGCGCTATGGTGACAGACCAAATGATTACGAAAATGTATCTTCATGTAGGTGGTAATGGTACTTGCCATCGGGAGTACCTCTCAAGTGGTTTCATGCAGACTTTTATAACAAGTTCGGGAGCATTCATCAAGCATTCACGTCGAATAAGGAGAGGGAGTTCAAGAGTAAGCAAACCTTAGCATCGGAGGACTCGTTTCTTACGCTGCACGGCAGTTCATCTCACGTCAGTTACCGACACCAGGCGAACTGCCACGATCATACAGAATGGTTCGTGATGTTTTGTCTTTAAGGGCTAATTGCTTACTACTTTGTTACAGTACGAGACATCATCATTACCGTAAACTTGAAAAACATTCATTTGATGTAACGCCTTTTACCGCTCTTTTCACGAGGCGCCTAAATCATTCCTTTGACGGATTTCTACATTATCCGCGTACTATTATGCCCTCTCTTTATTCATCTGTTATTCGCAATTGTTCGTTTCAAGCATCCTCCATGAGTTCTAATATTGTTCTTCTATCTCATATTCAGACCTTTCAGATTGTATACCATGCGTCCAGCATTACGATTGTTGACTTAGTAGTAGTACGAACCTACCATACCCTTCCGCTAATTAGAATTTTCATACCAGTATTAACGTTCGACTACTTTTACCCTTCACTCAAATGCGACGAGATGCCAGGAAAGGCGTTATAATATTATCATCTCTCTCACATTATATGGTGTCAGTTGTCCCATTCAGACACTAGATCCAAGTCATCAGTCTGCGCACATGCACCCCAAATTGCGCGGCGGCCGGGTCAGGCCCAACCCGCGCCTATATATATCAATCTCGTTTCAAGTAATCAGATTCCAGACATTCTAATTGCGTGCCGATATAATAAGACATTGCATTGAAATTATGATAGAACAAAGTGAGGTATATATAGTCCATCGTTCCGAGCCCATGATTTTTTGTGTGTAGATCACTGACATCTGAATAATAGAGACGCACGCTGCATGTCCTGTCACTTCCTCGTTAGTTGTCCGCCTCAAGACTGGTCATGGCGTCCCAAACAGCCCTGTTTCGCTGCCCACCATCGTACATTGTCGTCGAGTTCAACGATGAGCAAGTGCAAGTTTGTTGAACTTTGTTCGTGTCATGGGTATTCCGAAGCACGCTCGAATCCATTTATCAGGTACCACAAGCACGACATTGCGTGAATATGATCACAAAAATATATGAAGACAAGTACCATAAGCAGAGCTACAAGTGCAGCATGATACTCGTCCACGACACCGCCAGGTATGGGCCAGGAGGAAGGTTGCGTATGGTGGTAAACATAAGCCCCAAGAGTATGACACGTCCTGTGATGTATGACAGGACACAAAATACAGCAAACGGGTCCATCAGGAATCCGAATAAGGTTCCAGCAATGGGTGCGCCAGTTATAGCATCAGTAACTATGCGCCAGAGGACCTGATCCGTCGATGTAGGGAAGGTAAAATACAAAGCGATACAATGGACACCGCCGAAAATCGTCGCCATAAGGAATGCGGCAATGAAAAGAATATACTCGTACCAGCCCTCCAGTTGAATGTTGCCACCAAATGTTTGAACTCGTAGCATTCAGGATGATGTGGAGCCGTCAGGGTCGGAGGCACCCAGCATTCCCACAGGTGACAGCAAAGGTGTAGTACAGATTTGCAAAAGCACAGGGAGGGACTCTCGAAAATCTTCATGCCTGAGGGAGACATAATTAGTAGCGGCAAAATTGACTGAAGCGACGACATACTGATCAAAGTGGTCGCTTGGTATTGACGTAGTTGACCTCCAGTACACTGGATGAGGACATTGTACATCGAAGGGCTTATTCCACCACATAGGATACGTGAGGAAATTGAGAACCGCAAAAGCGAGTGTCGCTATTTCAAGCTCGGTGGTGTCGAGGTGATAGACAGCGCGGGTGATGAGCTGCAGAACGAACCACCCCACCTGAAGCATGCTCGTTCCTTTTGATATCACGTTGCCTTTGCTCTTGTCGGGGATCTGATTTACCGTTATGGTAGGTGCATCGATACACCGTCACCTATGAACTAGAGAAGTTGGTCAGGCTGTAGCGTAAAGTAGGGTTCCCCGTCTACATCATAAAGCATGAAACCGTCCATCAGCGCAAAGAAGCTGTGCGTCTGAGTCCACTTATAATCTACATAATCACATGAGTCAAAACCATCATTTGAGATAATGTGAATCAAGCTTACCTTCAGACTGTTTTGAAACATAATCCTTCAATAGCCTTTTGAATGGTTTCGCGAGAGCACGAGTTAACCCATATCCTGAAGTAGATACCGGATACCTTGAACTGCTAAAGCAACAACTTCAGCATGCGGTCCGAGAAGGAAGTGAGCGAGATATAAAAAACTGTTCACAATGCAAGATCGAATGATCGGTTCACCTTCAAGTTCATATTGCTCTGTAGGTGCTTCAACATCGAAATACCCCGAGTTCTTGAACTGCTTTGTAACCTGAGGAGCGCTGAGCTACTGGCCCATGGCCCATGCGATGATGAGTTCAGGATAGAATAGCACCATTATCATCATGCCAAGTCGCCGCCGTAGGATACGAATGGTGCTGTCCTCAGGACTCGGAATATTGGGGTGAACGGTGCTGTATATGCACGCAAAAAGAGTGAGAAGACAACTGGAGGCAATATTCCACAAAGTTCTATTCGTGAATGATAACGACGGAACTTCAGAACCGTCGCTAGTATTGGTAGTCTGGGAGGCCCGGATCACTCGAGTGAGGTAGAGGATCGTGCAGAAAAATAAGCGCATTACTGGAGGGGGAAGGTTTTAATGTCGAACATCCTGCTCACTTTAATATGGCGGACATGGGTTCCAGGTGCCATTGATGAGCACAGGTTGACCTGATGGCAACTGTCTCGGCAAGGAACGTCGTACACCGTGACTGCTAGCCTCTTGCTGGCCGCCGACTCGGAAAACCTTCGCTACTTTAGGTAGTGAAATATTGAAAAGTAATCAAGGCGTCAGAAAATTCAACATATCACGTGATAGCTGAAGTTGGTAACTGTCCTCGACGCCGGGGAGACGAAGTACTTTACTCCTCATTCTGACCACAACAGACACTTCTTCCTGTATACTAGTAGATCCTCCGATGAATACATTTTTTCGCCACTCTCTTGGATCAAATATCGGACTGCAAACCTCACCTAACATCACCTAGAGGACCCGTCAAATTTTTACACGAAGAAGAACGCTGAAGATCTAGCATCTTGACTTCATGGCAAATCCAGCAGCACTTGGCAGGCAGGCCTACCAGTACCTAGGGACGGTCTGCTGGGGAGAGGATCTATCTGCGCGAGTGCTTTTCGAAGTTCAAGCTAGCAATAAGATATAATCGGGGACTCGATTCACTTAAAGATCAACTCTTGCGATTAGGGTGACGTCGGGATAATTGTGGGCATAGTTTCAACTTTTTTATTTGCTTTGAAAACGAAAGCATGGTTCGTGGCTGTCCATGACGTTCTGATCTGTTCAATGGATTAGTCTCAGGTCTGGATTCCTAATTTTATCTCAACATATGCCAATCCCTCACACCCTGGTATCGTTCTTCAGGACCTCAGCTGCAACTTGAAGTGTATTAGCCAAAAAAAATTGAATACGGGAATGCACTCTACCGGGTGCAGAGTTGCCGTTATCTACCTCAAGTTCCGCGATAGGAATAAGACAAAGTACTGACAGCCTCCGGCTAAGCAATGCATCAGATCTTGCACAAGACCGGCCCTACCTTCTCAACTCGAACACGACATAACCATTCGCCACTTGATCTGCCGTTGACGATCGGATAAGCACTTGGAGTATCCACCACATTCGTTTAATGCATATGTGCACAGTGTATGTGAAGTAGGCCGATCTCGACCCGGGGCGCAGGTATATAAAGTCTCTACCAGTCCTGGACTCGACCAGCAACAATTTGCCCTTCTTTCAACTTCCGCACTTCTCATCTGAGACTATATTTTGGACGCTATGGATACTCGCCCAAAGATGATATATCTTCCAGACACTATGATTGACTGGCCCTGGCCTCGTACCATCAATCCTCATTTCGAAGATGTGAAAGCTGAAGTCGATGCTTCGTTCCGTAATTTCAAGACCCTGAGTCTTGAGTTACAGGAAGGATTCGATAAATGTGATTCTGGTTCGATCTATGTCACTAGCCCTCAATTTTAACGATGATTGACACGTATTTTTCTTATAGCCCGCCTGGCAGCACTGGCTTATCCTAACGCATCAAGAAGTTCGTACTCTGGCAATTAACGCATCACAGAACCCTGATTCCGTTCCTGAACAAATAGAACACATTCGAATCGGCTGTGATTTGATGAATGTACTCCTCCTTTTTGAATGGTACACCGACATCGAGAATGAGGCAGTCACGAAAGAAATGGTGGATATCGTGCTCGATGCCCTACACAATCCTCATAAGATACGACCAGAAGGCGAATGCATCCTCGGCGAAATCGCGCGAATGTAAATGCTTCCAATTTGTTTGATGATTATCTGACTCCCAAGGAACTTCTGGCTAGGTTTTGGGCCCATGCAATCCAATTTGCAAGCCTGCCTTCTCAACGTCACTTCCTTGAAACCTTCACTGCATACCTTCACGCAGTGGTTGTTGAGGTTGTTGACCGTGAACAAGCCCGTAGGCGGAGTATCGATGACTACCTGAAGCTCCGGCGTAAAACTATTGGCGTAAAACCTTGTTTCCCAATATTTGAGATGGGGATGGACCTTCCTGATGAAGTGTTCTACCATCCCGTCATCGTGGATCTTGCTGACTGCATCACAGAGTTGATAATTATTGATAATGTAAGGTGATATTGAGGACGTCGTGGTTTGTGGTCTGCTAACAATTTTCACAGGACATGATGTCATACAACAAAGAGCAAGCAGCTGGGAACGGATTTCATAATTTAATCAGTACTGTCATGTTGGAACTGGGCCTCGACAGAGGCAGCGCAATGGCTTGGGCAGCACATTATCACGCTGAAGTTCAGAAACGATTTATCGACGGTCTTGCGAAGGTTCCTTCATGGGGGCCTTCCATCGATGTCCTAGTCAAGGAGTACCTTGACGGAGTAGGAAACTGGGCTCGAGCAAACCATTCTTGGAGTTACGAGACTCAAAGGTAATAAGACTTTCTCATTGGTATGAGCCATCACTTAACCCGATTGGAATTGCAGGTACTTTGCCACCAAGGGCCCGGAAATCCAGCAAAGTAGGCTTATCCCGTTGTTGCCAAAGTTCAACCACACAGCCGCGTGAACACATCTCTTCCGATGTACAGCTACTTCCACACAATGTATTAGCTTTTCTTGCACCTTGCGCATCTCGTTGTGATATGCACTACAATATATATATGGCCGCTCGCAGATGACTCTCATTTCTCTGGCTTTCAGTCGACTAGTAAGTTGAAGTCACAACTATGCTGTTCCCGTTTGTATAATGGGTACAAGTATTGTACCAGTGGTTCAGTTCCCTCAACATCGACCAAGTTTTGCGATCACCAAATGTTAGCAAAGACACACCTCCAGGCTGTCTGATTAATATTGTCATCTACCTGAAACATTACATGGCGTCAATAATTTCCTTCAGTTGTACTTCATCTAGTATCGCAAAGCCTTTCTGTGGCGTGACCTGTGGCGAAGTTATTTACGAATATTCGAGAAGAATGTAGGGAGACACATGCCTGTGCCAACTGGACGTTGTGGTGGTCTAGTTTCTCCTCCATGACTTGCTTTAGGACTCTCAGCGTCAGTTTTTGTGCCTCAAGCAACGTCATTTGCTATCCAATGTGTTGAATACCGAAAAACATGGTGAAGATGTGAATATCATACCTTGTGCCACTTGTCTTGTAGCTCGCTTTGTGCTGCTTCTGACCCTGACCCTATAGCTTTTGCATTATACCGCATGAAGGTTCCCGAGGGATCCGTATGATATCTACCAAGAGTCCGCAGAGGATTAGGTTGAACAAGGCTATCCACTCGATTGCACTCACAGTTGTGGTCCCAGTTCATCGACACCAGCAATAAGCAGCGCAACACCAAACGGCCGACTCATCATCGCCTCTTCGTCATGCACACTCTCACCAAATCGCAATGCCAGATCACACACAGCCTGAGTGACACTCTCGACTTTAATCTTCTCGTCATAAGTGAAGGCAGTGGTTCTGAGCGGTGACACGTGCGTGGTCGATCATTGTGCGAGCGTCAGCTGTGAGGCCTGACATTGCGCATCCGAGGTGGGTATCGATTTCCATAATCTTTTCTATGGAGCTTGATTCTAGGAGTGGGGATTGGACGCGTTTCTCTACTGCGAGGACTACGCCGTCGGGAGTGCGTACGCCAACTGTTGTCGATCCGAGCTGGGGGAGATGAGATATATATTGCCCTGTTGCACGATTTCATGCGTACCTTAATAGCTTCGATAGCATATTCGACTGTAAACTTTCAGATAACAATTTCACGATGTCGGGTTGTCTAACACACCTTGGAAAAGTCGACCTTCTGGGGAGAATGTGTTAACACCACGATCTGCAAATACGATGAGCGCTATAATATGACGATGTTGAGCCGTCAGAATGAACATACCGTACTCGGAACGCGTCAAGAACATGGTTTACAGGGAGCAGAGAAGTGGAAGTATGAGGGGTTTTGCGTTAAGTGTCACTTGTCGACGCGCGTCCGTCAAGCTGGCGTGTGGAAAACAGTTTCCATTTGCGGGATTTGTGTGGCACTTTTTGGTCTTCAAGTTTGTTCTCCAACCTCATCTCGAAAAAATGGTTGATGATTCTAGACTACCCCTTGCTATGCTTTGGTGTCCAGTCGAGTAGCGTTGACAACTATTGGGCATCCAAGAGGCTTCATCTCAGCTCGGCTGAACATCATTGTAATATCATTGACAAATTCAGGTGGCAGGTATCTCAGCAACTTGTTACTATCAGATGCAACTTGCAAGTACTTTTGATGACGACCACTGCTCTTGGCCCCACAAATATCACTTTCCATACAAGCGCGATAGCCTTTTCTTTCTCTCTCTCGTTCCTTAGGTTCCATGAGCATATGAGAAGGTGCGCGCGGCATCTACAAATTGTGTTATTTATTATCTTCTCCCACTTACCCAGATACGTCGATGATAGCACCCTCCTCGTCCATGACCACCAATTCAACTGATGACCCCTTCCTCAAACTTCCAGAGGGTGCTTAGAATTGCAAGTTTGAATGCATGGTTTGAACTAGGCGTCGTTGCTAGTAAAGACCCTTACTTACATATTTTTGGTGGTGCGGTCGCGTCAACTAGTCTCATTAAACACCAGTCGCTACGGAGATGATACATATACATCTAGATCTGCTAATGAATTACAAGTTAATGGTATCAATAGATCTCTTAGAGGTAACGTTCTCGCAGATCGGCTAGCCATACTAGTGGGGTTCTAAGAGCGGCGTTCAACTCATTTACTCCACCGGACTTGCTTTCGACCACTACTAACATGTCAGCCGATACACAAACATTAAGGCCAGTCGACCTGCGCTCTATCTTGACATTCACCGTCAAGCTCGCACGCACTGCCGGTACATTGATTCTTGAAGGCTCGCAAGCCATTCAATCAACTTCAGACTGTCAATGAAAAGAAGAATTCCGTCGATCTGGTCACTGAATATGATGTTGCTGTCGAGGAACTCGTGAAGGGACGAGATCGCCAAGGATTACCCTAGCTTCAAGTTGTGAGTCTATATCGTACGCAGAAACTGAATGATGCTAATCGATCTGTGTTCCTTATAGCATCGGAGAGGAATCGTACTCCGTCTGGAACACGCAATGAGCTCACAGGATGAGCCGACATTCTGTGTTGATCCCGATCGGTAGGCTGCGATCTCATATCGAGTTCGTTGGGATCCGACAGTGACTTTCAGATGGCACCACAAACTTTGTCCACGGCTTCCCATTCGCGTGTATTTCTCCTTGGACTGATCTACCAAAAGCGGCCCGTTCTAGGTGTCATATACAACCCCTTCCTAGATCATCTGTACGCAGTATGATACTAAGTGACATCGAAGGCAGTCGCTAACTCTTATATCAAGTACACCGGAATCGAAGGTCAAGGATCATTCCTTACCCGTGGCAATAGCCAACCTCTAAAATTACCCCTCACCAACCCTAAGCCCCTCCCCTCCTTGCAGAAGGCTCTATTGGGTATGTCACGCGCCATGCATGAGAATGCCCAAACTTACTTTCCCAGCCATCGAATGGGGCTCCGACCGTGGTAAAAAGACCCTGGTACCAAAATCCGACTCATTCTTGCGTCTCGCGGGCGATCCTGCAGATGGCATTGCAGGGGGACGGATGGCTCATTCCATACGGTCCCTAGGCAGTGCAGCGCTTAATATCTCGATGGTCGCTCAAGGTGGCCTAGACTTATACTGGTGAGCCGTGTCATTGCACGTGTCACACTCTCTGACACCAATGCGTTTCCTTGACGCAACGTGGATAGGGAAATCGGTTGCTGGTGAGTGTACTGTACTTTTGTGCCGATCATTACATTGATTCTCGACAAGGCCATGGGACTGTTTGCGTAAGTAGACCCTGTCGTATGTGCTCGATATCTCCACCTCACCTGTTCTACAAGGCCGGTATCGTTATTGCCCAAGAAGCTGGTAGGTGCAGTAGTTGGGTCCCACACAGCTCTGGCTGCCGCAACATCTGCTGGCTCTAGTATTGATCCTTTCAAGGTCACGCCAGACGTCCTGACAGGTCGCAAGTATTTGATCATCCGTGCTATCCCGAACACCCCCAACGAAACGGGTAGAGAGGCGCAATTGCGGATTGCTAAGGATTTCTACCAGACTGTGGAAGACAGTGAACCGAAGTAGAGTTTTCCTCGCAGAATCCTCCAAAGTACATATATTAGGATACGAAAATGATCCGTATATCGGCCCGCTGCATGTTAATGGACACTTACCTTTTCGGAGAAATAGCTCGTAGACCCCAAGGGTAGGACACAATATTGTCAAACGAACAGCGCAACGGCGTCACACAAATACATGAGCCAAAGGTGACCGGTGCCGTTGATGTTGGAAGAGATGCCTAACAACCAACACCGTTGAGGCTATGGGCAACTTACCAGGGGAAAGACACAGGCAACTGTGAGGATGGTGGACTATGATAACATTTACACCATCAAACGCAATTCTCCCTGTAGATATTTGGACGTACCAGACGTGTTCGTCGATGAGAAAATATAACGCTTCAGTTTCTTAGCCGTTACATTAAAGAGACCAACCAAGAAGACGAGATCCTGCGTAAACTTGAATGAAGACATCGACAAGAACAAAGGCTTACGCCGCCCAGAACAATTCGTCGGTCTAAAAGATAGAAATAAGAAGAGGGAACGCACTCTAGCACAGGTTTCCAATGATGCAGATGTTTCGTGGTTCATCTTGGAAATGCCACCACCAAGTAACTCGATGTGAAGCTCGCACGATGATTTATCTTGGGTTAGTAGACCTTGACTGTATTTTTGACCCATGTGAATGTGAGCTGAACTGAAACATGTCGTGATCTAAAAAAAGTGTAAGTAGTCGGTGTTAATCCATTCTGCATTCTTGAGCCTATCTGAAAACGTACTACGTCTCGTACTCCATGGTTAAGAGTACATCTTGGTTGATCTATCAGAAAACTGTGCTGCCGCCGCTCGCCAACCACGACCTTCCTGAATTAGATCATTTTGTGATCGATACGCGGCGTGGGACTCAATGATCGGAGGTCAGTTATTATTACTCGCTACCTGACAACCAAGTCACACCAACTGACCAACGCCGTCATGCTCATGACTCATGACATAGCATGACAGCTTTACGATGCAAATCACAAAGTTTAGTCGTAGTTTTCTCATTAACAACTGATAACTTACCTTCACGAGCCTTTTGGCGTCGACATTCTCCAGATTAAGCTCTGCTTTCGGGGACTCTTTCGCTGATGGTGACGATTCAGTTTGTTCACGGTTTCGATGTGGACCAGTGGTCTCATCGTTTCAGCCCAATCCTATTTTGGGACTAAGTCAGCGCCTTGTTGTAGCCAGCTGCCAGGTTAAGGGCTGTGGCTGCAGTGCTTGATATAGCTCTTTCGGAGACACCAGTCACGGCCCGTGGAAAACAACAGCTGCGGCAGGGTCTAAAACAAGTTTCTGGAACTGGGACGCATCCCGTGTGACTCGCAAGTTATGCTCTCTCAAGGTGCACGGTTGCACTACTAGTTGCTCTCACCATTCCTGCCATTCGTCCTGCCTGCCTCACAGACGCTCTTCTTCCTTTGAGCACAATATACCATGAATCATCAGCTTGATCTGCAACGCAGGCAACAGAATGGAAACTCTTCAGCTTCAGCTTCTGCGACAATTTCAGGCTCGGCATCCCTCGTAAATGGGAGTACCCCCAATGCCAACAATCCCGACAGGAGCTCAACCTGGAATAATCACTATAACCATGCCTCCAATCCAATCCGAATCCTACTACAAAATTGCCCCCAGCGAATATGTTACGTTTGGGTGGAACTTTTCGAGCCTCGTTGTGACACCCACCGCCCTCACTGTTGCAGCAGTAGGTGCAAACGGAAATACATATCCCGTGGGCCCCACCGATGGTGTCATTCCCGGAACCGCTCAGAGCGTGGTGTGGTATCCATATGGCTACCAGACTGCAAACCCTAGCCTTCCACTGGCTCAGGAAAGCTACACGCTTCATATTTGGGCCCAGGGTGGCCCTAGCGCATTCCCCTCCCCTGGTTACCTGGAGCCAAACAGCGAGCTTGAGTTCGCTATGTATACGCCACAGGCATACACACCTTTGACTAGTGGTAAGTCTGCGTTCGTTCATGCTCGTCGTCGATCTTATCTTTGAATGCACTTAGGGTGGCAATGTGCCGGATGCTCAGGAGCGTTACCCCCAGCTTAAAATAAACTCTGCTCTTCCTGGTGTTGTTGCGATGATTATTATAATGCTGCTCTCTGGGTTCACCACCCTTCGCCGCGTTTGGGACTGATCTTAGTTGATCTATGATTCCCTAGGTCTGGTTTCTGGGAGGTTGTAGAGGATGGTGGCATTTGATTGACATTTAATGGATTATTATGGTTTGTAATTGGACTGGACATTTACATCACACGTAGACTTACTTCATGCACATCGTTATGGCACGATATATACCGACAGGTAATGATGTCGCACTTAGGTTAGTATCAGAACTCTGCTGATGTCGTTTTACACAGTACCTACTGTCATTGATTGAAACCTACTTTACTTGTGCAACTTGGACACTAATGGCATGGCCATGTACTACTTGGCCTGTCGCCCTATGTCTTGAATGAAGTTGGAACTCCGTTCTCGTTGCATTCCTGGTCCACATGGTCAGCCAGGTAGCGGCTGCAGGTGGCCGCATACTGCTACCGAACTTTCAGCGTGATCTGCGCCGGACAGATCTATCGGCATCCAGAAATGTGCCCGCAGGTGTGTTTATTCCCTTAAGCGCTCCTCGACCAAGCTAGCAATATGGACTTCAATCGGTGACTCAATTCACTTATCGGTGTGACTCGCTGAGGCGTCCAGATAACTATAACCGCAGTTTTCAATCTTGATTTTTGAAAATGGTTCGTGACTGTCCATTATTACGTTCTCATTTATTCTCTTGGTCGATCTCATCTTGCTTGCTACCATCATTAGGACTTCATTCACAAAGCCATCTTAGCTGCGTATGTGCTAGTCCCCACGTTCTTCCTCATCTGCGACGAGTCAAAGTGGTAGCAGTCAAAACTCTGCATACGTGAATGCACTCCACCAGGTGTAAAGTTACCGTTTTCTGCTTTTCAAAATGCAGCCCCGGGACAGAGATGATCCAGAGAGGACATACTACTATAGCTAGCATCTGGCCAACCAAGGCTTCAGATCTTTCACAAGGCCGACCCTACCTGTGATACTTTAACACTAATAATATGCCCCACTTGATCACATCTGCCGTCCATAGTCCGGTAAGTACATGTGTCGAAGTATCCACCGTGTTCATTTATTGCGGATGTCTATAGGAAGCAAGCCGATTCTAACCTGGGGTGCAGGTAGACAAGGTCTGTTGGAAGTCCCAGATTGGACCAGCAACTAATTTGCCCCTCTTTCAACTTTCCTCATCGAAAACTATATTTTTAGCGACCTATGTCGCTAGCTTTCAATTATGATGACGGTTGACATGTGCTGTCCTTATAACCTGCCTAGCAGCACTGGCGTATCCCAATGTACTAAGAGGTTCGTACTTTGACCCCAAGCAATCCACGCGTCACGGGGCTCTGATTCCATTCCTAAAAAAATAGAACACCTTCAGATCTGCTGTCAATTGGCCAATGCTTTCTTCATTTTGGATGACCAAAACCGACATCAAAAACGGGACAGTCACCAACTTGAAGGACATCGTGCTCGATGCCCTACATAGTCCTCATAAGATACGACCGGATGGCGAATACATTCTTGGTGAAATCTGAATTGTTTGATGATCATCTGGAGTCTAAGGGGTTTTTGCATAGATTTTGGGTTCGTGGGATCCAATCCGCAAGCCTGTCTTCTCAACGTCACTTTCAAGTTGAAGTCTTTACTGTATACCTTCATGGACTAGTTGTCGAGGCTCTTGGCTGCGAACAAGGTCATGGGTACAGTATCGATTACTGCCTGGAGTAACTGACAGTCTACAGAATAATGTGTGACCTGTTAGCTCTTCCATGTTTAAATCGTATTCTGACCAGGACTCAAGGTTCGGTCGGTCTCACAAAGCAACGACAGCAGTGCAACTGGCCTTATAAGCCGTGACATTGACGGGTCAGTGTGTACCGTACTACACTTTGTGTTCATATACAAGCCCTAATCCCACCTTCTGCGTGTTCCGAAATAACAGATTACAGGTTGAGTATGCCTAGGTCTTTCAATTTATCTGACAGCAGTGGGCAACAACCGATCATTTTCCCTTCCTTTACCGATGCCATCAGAGGCTGCTGATCAACTGCTGAGTGCTGGCGCTGATCTCCCGGTATCCAGTTCCGCGTTCCCCCATGCACGATGAGACTCTGAATTTTTCTCAGTATCCATGAGACCCCTGAGCCCAGCTCCAGGGATTGTTGTGTCACCTATCATCGTAGGCCGTATGCAACGACGGGTTGGAATTGCACATTACCAGAATTTCCCTCGCCAAGAGAATATCGGGGACAGAGTGGACAAGTCAATCCTAAGGTATGCTGGCAATCTGCTGGCAATGCAGATGTCATCTGTTTGAAGAAGTATTTTGCCAGGTGGACAGGTTCTTGCACAGAACATTATTCAGCATATAAAAGCAAATTACCTTCCTACCGTCCCCTTTAGATTTATTTTGGGAAGCCCAAATCACATCACAAAGAATGCGTCTCTCCTTCGTTCTCGCCATTATTGCTGCTTTCAAGTTGACAGTGTCTATACCTGTCGACAGTAAATGTCCCTCTTTCTGTGACTTGGTAGCTTGCTGTCCTGGTTATGAATGCAAGCTAATATTTCTTCCTGTGAGTATGAGTGGTTTGCATCTAACCCCGTGACTCACTGGCATGGTAGGATGGGTCCTTGTATGCTTGTGAGTAGTGACCCACTGAGTGACGGTGAGTCGCGTTCCTACTTTCGCATCTGGGCAGTGTGGTTGACGGCACACACGTATTAGTAAGTGGTTTGTTGCAGAGTGCTCGGTTGTCGCGGTGAATAAATTCCACCCTGCTCGAGCATTGAAGACCTTAGATCATTCGAGGAACACCTCGTTAACACTTGATTGCATAAAATATGATTGAAACACAACGCATTGTTGTTCGTCTCGTTGTAAGCTTGCCGGTTATACACATATATTTCAGGAATTCTCCACAGAGTCCGACGCTCGTTTCTCATGCACTTCGTGATGATAATGCTTCTCACTCGGTCGCCAGCCTACTGATCGCCAGGGTGGGATGCCAGAGCGGTACAACTCGTCCACCTGGTTGTTCATCAGATGGGCAGTAATTTACAACGTGCATGAATTATTACCTCTTCTAAAGTTAGACCTTTGGTTTCTGGGATCGCGAAATACACATAGATGTATCCAAAGACGAGCAGGCCGAAGAAGACCAACATTATCATTGGACCAATCCTGGTGAGACGTTCAGACTCCGAGTAACCTGTCAGAACCTTTGGCTGTAGTTTAAACTCACTTGTCGACAATCCTTGGAGAGAAGAACGAAAGCATGAAGTTCCAGAACCAGTCTTGGACAAGCGTGAGCAACAAATTCAAATAGTGGAAAGGGAGCAATCGTACTTGTCGCGCTGCCGAGAGCAATTGACTTGGGGCGTACTCGAAGAGGGAAAGACTCTCCTAGGTACACCCATGGAGTAGGTCCCCAAGTCGTGCCGAAGATGAACACTTGAAATACTGCGAAAGTAATGACGACGTCACCCCCAGCTCTATTACGAGCAGTGAGCGCTGAAGTTGGTGTTCCAGTAGGTGCAAGGGTAGTATGCCCAACCAGAGCAACCTAACAGAAGTATCAGTCCAGTACTGTTTTCCAATGGATAAGGTGCACTAACAATTAGTGCACAGACAGCTTGCCCAGCTGCACCAAGGAGCAGGGACTGGGAAAAAAACATTAAATTTTTGCTCTGACTGTCTAGCGGAAGAAGACATACCTTTCGGCGACCCCAAGTCTCGATGAAGTACAGTGCGGGGAGAGTTCCAACAACTGACACCGCTCCAAGAACCGTCTGGATGATATAAGGTGAAAGCCTGCCATTACATGAGCTAAACTGCATTAAACAGAGAGATTTAAGACTCGCCCTGCACCTGCACTCTGAAAGAAGGTGTCGCCATAGTAGTCTGTCGGCAATAGCCATTAGTGGTCAGAAATCAACCGACATGAAGGATCTTACAGTAAAAGTTCTGGCCGTTAAGCTGCTGAATAAATTGAAGCATCATGCCATTTATTGTCCGACGCCACAGTGCATTTCTCGTGGAGAAGCATTCTAACCAAGTCGCTTTGCCACCCTCATTCTCTTCTCTGATAGCAAAATCGAGTTCCTCTACAATCCCAATAACAAGAGGGTCGTCTTCAGGAACTCCGTTGAGTTCTGCAACGACCTTACGCGCTTCGTCACCTCGTCCGGTTCCGAGAAGGTGTCGGCTAATAAAGGTAAAATTCGTCAGTTTGAATGAGAGGTTTTCAGAAGTTGCACGTACGGAGATTCTGGAAGGAAAAACATTCCAGACAAAAGTATGATACCCCAGACCATCTGCAATCCAATGGGGATGCGCCAAGATGCAGAGTTGTTGATTGTGTGACTTCCGAGTTCAAACAGGTAACTGAAAAATATGCTAGATTCACAAGCGTTAGCGTGTTCCGATGGAGGATGAAGACTTCACAAACCCCGAGATAACTTGGACTTGATAGATGACCAAGATTGTACCACGAATAGCTTTCGGTGCCGTTTCCCCATTGTACAGGGGCACAATAGCTGGATAGACGTAGTTATATTCAGAAAGTCATGTCCTGACATCAGCACCAACCTGACAATGAACCGACACCTAAACCTGCAATATAACGCCCGATGACCAACTGAACAAGAGAGTATGTCGTGCCAGTTTGGATAGCCACGCCGACAGTAAAGATAGCCGACCAGAACAGAATGGATCCACGGCGTCCAAGCCGATCAGATGTGAACGCTTGAGCGAGGGCCCCACTTTAAGCATCGTCAGACTATTATAACAGTAACAAGATATAATTTTCCCACCAGAATGTGCTATATAAGTATGAATGTCAGAAGAGTAGAATCAGAATCAGATATCGCAGTCTTACCCAGCCGACAGAAGAGAGACAATGATCGATTGTCTCGAACTTGACAGGTAGTACTGGCCATCCGTTCCTTCTTGGCCGAATCGGCGGATGAAGTCTGGCATAATCAGACATCCCTATAGTAGATGAAAAGCTCAGATATGCTGAGGACTGAAGAAGTATGAGTACATACGGAAATGACACCCATGTCATATCCAAACAGGAAGCCTATCACCGAATATTAATTATATTAATCTACTGATGATGTGAGCAAAAAAATAGGAGCCTTGCAGTTGCCAATAAACGACGTACGTCTTCTAGTCTGTATATGACAACAGCGCACCTCCTGCAAGGAAGAGTTCAATGAGGACAGGATGGCGATGACGAGAGTGAACTCACCAAACGCGATGAAAATGGCGAGCAAGACCGCTCTACGACTCGTTGGAACATCTCTTGCCATGATCTAGTGGAAGAGACGTCTGAGAAAAGGAAGTTGGAGAAAAGGCGGTCGGAGAAGTTCTCCTGCTAAACTGACATGCTTAAGTATAAGTTCTGAAGAAGCGGGGTAAAATCTATTCATCCATCATGACGCATGACAGGGTCATACGGCCCGGTGATCAAAAGAGAAGGAATTATTTGATCTCCAAAGGCAAAAACTTGTTACACTCCCACCCGTACACAAGTGAGGTGAGGGAAACCGTTCTGTAGGTAAGAAATAGTTATAGAGTTTTCCAAGGCCCTCGTCGCACGCACAGACAGCCAGTTATTCTGAGCATTATTCAGAAGCAGGTTGGTCTGCAATACCAGCGCAAAGTTTGTGCGTCGGTCGGACCTCGGTACGTTTGAGGATCAGCTTTTATCGCTGACTCGGCGCGTGACCTGAGAACCTAATGTTACACCCCATGAGAGCGGGAGATAGGGTCACTGGGCAAGATCACTGCTGAACAAGCACACCGGTATGTTAAAGCAGTCAAGTCATAAGTGATCAAAAGAGTGCTAGTCCACACGCCCGTGGGGGAACGACAAGGCGCGTGTTCTCAGCTTAGAAATAGGCTTGCCCCGCAATAACCACACTTAGCGTCGTTAGCTATCACTGTTAGTCTGGTACGTCGCTCCTTTGCCTGAGGGGTGATACGTGCAAGGCGGCTGAGCGTCGGAGCGCCGTGGAGCATTCTCGGTAAGACGTACCCGGCAAGATGGACACCACAATGTGCTCCCGTTATGATAGAGTCGTATTTCAATATGATGATATCATTTTGCCGAGCAGAACGATCCACGTGACTATGTGGGGGGTCTTGGTTCATCGGTTCATGGAATCAAAGACACTCACGACCAGAGAACAAATCAAAAAAAGGGTATCGACCATTTTGCCATCGCATCTCTACATTATATTCCTGTGGAGCCTAGCCAGCTCTCCCACTCTCTAACTATGAAGGATAACTCACGTTCACTTTCTTCGCCTGCATCGGGATCTCCAGCTCCATTAGCGGCAGATTGACGGTCCTTGAGTGAAGCGACTGAAAACACCCTCCACAATAGCGCGCTGCAGCCAAGGAACAAGAACTCGGGTATATGCTGCCCCCGCTGCTTGCAGAATCTGTATCTCCTTCGCATCACCATCTCGCCAGTCCTTGGCATATTGTAGTAGACCATGGCCTGTATTTGCAAGACACTCTTCGGCACCATCTACGACGCCTGACAAAGCATCAACAGGCGCAAGCATGCGTAACCTGTTTAGCGCACGGATATATGCGTTCAACATTTTCGCAAGCGGCGGGAAGGCAGTTAGCACTTGCGGCGGAGAATGCGAAGCATTGGATGGCGAGAGGACAAGCGTCTTGAACGCAGGCACACTGTTAGGTGTAGCTACCAGCCAACTGGAAGGAGTAGAGGGCTTAGGTCTGCTCGTGACGTGCTTGGCGAGCACTCCAGACCACTCATGCCCCACGCCGAATCGCACGTCTCGTGCAAACCCGCTGATAACTGATCGTGAAATCAGTGGTGATAGTAACGCACGAAAATCCTGTATGCACATCAATTTAATGCGAGTTGGATTAAAAATGTATGACACTCACCATCCCTACGCGTGCTAAAGCAGAACTACAATAGGCAAGTTGTGTCGCAAGAGGTGCGAGGTGGGGATAAGCACGTTCAAGGTACGATCGGAGAGTCGGAAGGAGCAGCTCCAGAAGTGTCGAAGGCAACGTTTGTCGGATAATATAAGAGGATGCCTCGGCATCCTGATCTGCAGGTGGTGCTATCCGTGCTCCGGCATGCGAACGGTCGAGGAATATCGTCGTATATTGCGTGACAAGATCGTACGCGCCTTCCCTCCAAATATCAATATACTTCTTTAAAAACCGGGCAACGTCATCAGCCTGTCTATCAATCTCCCGCTCTCTTTCCTCTATAGTGCTTCCAGCTGGGAACTTGAACTCGAGACTTCCAGGGTTCGAAGGTATACCAGCATCCCTTTCAATGCCATCCAAGGTATCACGAAGGCATCCAATTCGAGCGCTTATGAACACGAGCGCTAGTTCGTCCTCGTGCATGGCCTTCATTCGACGAAGGAATTGTACTGCTTTCCAGAACGCTGGTAGCTTGCGAGCGGGTTCATATAACGTGTTCAGAAGGATGAGCTGCATGGAACGCAGCGAGGAAGCTATCTCAGCTTGTAAGGAATCCGCAAGTTGAAGTGGCAAACCCTGCGTGGCTTCTTCGTCATCGCTGAGACTCTTCTTAGTTTGAGCGGCTAGAGAGGATAATGCAGATGACGCGTGGGCAGCCAGTGAAAGAGCTTCTGCATAGAGCCCGTTGCGGACAGCATGTGTCAATGAGAACCGGAATATCAAGCAAGTCGCACAATTTGTCGTGCTGCTCCAATACAATGCGTGCCTTCTGCCTTCCCTCTATAACCTCTGGACCAGTCTTCTCGCGAAAAATGCGTGCAGCGTCATCAAGAGCTGGTAGAGCGGCGTTGATCAGTGAATTGAGTGACGTGTCAAACGAAGAGAGCGATGTCAGCAGCGCTGTTGACGTGTGGTGAAGGGAGAGAAAGGTCGGATAAGATGTATGTGTCAAAGCAGTGAGTGAAGAAGTCAATGTATGAGATTGCGTTGTGAGCGCAGTCGGCGTTGAGAGCAAGTCTGAGAGTGCGTTGGTGGGTAATTCGGCGAGAAAATCAAGATTAGATGGGCTTGACGCGAGCGACGAGCCAGAGAGAACGTCTGGAAGGCTCGACAACTCGCTGAACGTTGAGACCGCCGTAGTCATCGTCGACTGCTACTCACTTACATAGTTCATCACTCAGTTCCAAAACCAACAAAAATGAAGAGCGCACCTTGCAAGGATTGGAGCTGTGCGTATGAAGCGCAATAAACGTTTTGCCAAGCAAACTGGGTTTATTTTTAGAAGGAACGACCACGGACATGTGACCGAGAAGGTCAATAATTATTGCGATGGTTGAGCGCTCGTCGTGTGCAATAAAGTAATAATTTTGTCATATCGATGTATAATATGATACGTATTCTAACAGAGAATATTCATGAACGAATGGCTAAGGTGTGTGATTAGAAGGCGATAATGCAAGAGCCGACGTAGAATGGGGGTTGGTGTTACAGTATTGACAAATACATCGGTACTCGTAGGTAATGGGATTCAAGTGTCATGATGGAATCGTAGTCGTCGGATTATGCCACAAAAACAGAGCAAACAGCAGGCTGAATACTGTCGAGAGTCTGAGTGCGCGGGTACGTCGGCGGCACAACTGGATCCCCGCGCTATTCGGTCGATCAATGTCAATTTACAGCAGGAAAGAAGGCTGTTCACTCACTACCAATAAGCGCATTCTTCGCACGTCCCGCGTTAGACGGAGGTCGACACCGCGGTACGCACACGCCATCTGGAGGGATGCGAACTGCGGATGACGATGACCGTCACGCCAAAGGTTAACTGTAACAGCTTGCAGGTCATCCCGAGTCTTGACAAGATCGATGATAGGATTGAGAAGGGTGTCCAGGTCCAGCCCGAATGCTAGGTGTTGTATAGTCTCTGGCATTTGACGGCAGATGACAGGAGAAGACCATGAACTCTCGGTACGAAGCTCGAGAAGAGAGCGGCATCGCATCGCTGCATGTGCGTGCTCATGCATGGCAAAAGATGGAATGGCTAGCGAGTGCAACGTTTCGCCGTGCTTCTCGACGAGGAAGTCTAAAAGCTCGGGACTTGGCTGACGTTCCAAGTCAATGACTCGTAAACTCTTTTCTTCCGCGGAGCGATGCAAGAGCCAGCCAATAAATTCCTTGGCAGGTTCTCTTTGGCAGTTCAAGCGCAGTTCTTCCAGAGCGCCGGGGAAGGGTGGATACGTCACGCCAGGAGATAGAACGGGAGATGCTCCAGTGATGGAGAGTGATCTCAAAGAAGGCCAAACTTCGAGAAGTTGGAGAACGGACTGATTGTTCTCTGACCAGTTGCTGAAGTTCAGAGCCGTGATGCGCGGGCCAGCACTAAGTAATGCCAGAGAATGCTCGTCAAAAGACGGAGCGGGACGCCGCATGCGTTCTTGGGCGGGACTTCCAACGACATCTTTACCAGGAGCCACGCACCCGTACTGAGCAAGGTCTAGCTCGTACAGATTGGGGCAATTAGCCACTGCAACAGCGAGTGACGATTGCTTGAGGCAACCAGGCTGGTTATAATCAAGGATCGCGCGCATCTGAATAACGGCGTCACCAAGTATTCGCCCACGCGGGGAACTCCGGTTGACAGCGTGAGCAAATGAGGCAAACGCTGAGTGCGAGCGGAGGCAAACTCGTCGAAACAAAAGTTTTTGAACATGTAGCGACCATGCTTTGCAGACAAGTGTGCACTTGCTTAAGAGGTCGATGTCAGGACCACCTCTATCGTCGAAGTACGCGGCCTCCAAGATGGTCAGCACCATTTCGAGAGGGATGCCGCTAGCGGGCACGCGCGGTGTTCGAATATTGTCGTAAACTTCCGAGTAGCTAGGAGAAGGACTGGACGTGAATTTGAGTGATATTTCGTGTTCCACGACCTGCAAATGTGTCAACGTGCGCCCCGACGACTTCCATCAGACTACTCACCATTGGAGGTCCGGAATATGGTAAGTATCCGCAGAAAGTCATGATATAGTAGATCACTGATTAAGAGACGCGATGTATAGACCAAGATTGGCGGTACTGATCAGAACTTGTTCAGCTCTAGCAGGCTGAAAATTGAATTCAACGCATTGCATGGACTCATATTTATATGAAGACGGTGAAATGAAATGACCGCAGCTTATGATAACAGGGTGACATTGCTGCCGGGGCACAATGACGAGACACGCGCCGTTCCGAACCCTAGGCCTTGTGATGGTGGTAAGTAGATGAGTTATTGCCTCCGTCTACACGGCCCACGCCTTCCATTTCTAGATCTCAACGAATCGAAACGTTAACGCACCTTATACGTTTACTGAAACGAGACCCTACAAAGAGGCCACAAATTCTCCGATGGTCTGTACAAATCATCGATTGAGAAGTCTTCCTTCAATTAAGGGGGGACATAGTAGGGACATGCAGTTTCCTATGCCTTCAGATGACTCGGATTTATCGATATTCCAAGTACTGATTCGAGCGCCCATGGATTACATCCCACGACTCACGGTGTCCGTCATCATGACTCATTTTCATTGTCTTGCCATTCCATCATGAACCTTCTTCCACTGCTAGGGGCAACCCACTAGTACTGTCGGTTGTTGCCGGGCGGACAGCCCCCAAGCTTCTGTCGCTCAGACAAAGCAAGCTGCTCCAGCCTCCAGCCAATCACAGTCAATAGACTAAATCTCCCACAACCCCGCTCGATGCCCGCAATATTCGTGTACCAATTAATCGCAGACGGTACATTGCTTCAAATCGAGTCGGAGGCGAAACGATGTTCTACTAAAAAGCTTCTGGATTCTGCTTCAGCGAGTCGGACGCGAAATGGTATTTACTCGAAAAAATTTGGACTTCCCCCTGATTTACCAAGGTACACCCGAGTTTACACAGGTTTACACGCGACGTTCGTGTTCTCACAAGTAATAAACTGTAATGAATGCTCATGAAGGGCCGCGGTTGCACAGGGTTGCACCTGCTCATTGGAGGTAGTTGGAGAACGTTCATTGGTGGCCTATCGGCACTTACGTTCTTACCTGGGCTGAGATCGTGATTCCAGCAAGAGGCCGCGCGTTGATGAGGTCATCTCACTTTATCAGAACGGAGGATGGAACGGAGGGACCGTGCCACATGCAACAGCTTTCAAACAGATTACAGATACTAGGGGGCTGATCGTGATACAACTTGAACTGGTAGCAACTAATCTCGGTGGGGTTGGTCCCAGTGTGCACCAGCCGCTGTGACGTTATTGACGTCAGCGATCCGGGGACGTACACTGAAGCTGGGGCATATCGTCGCTTGCTCATGACACCTTGAAACATTATAACATGGCCGTGACCTTCCATTACTGAGTATGAACCTTGCTATTGTATCGGATCAAGCAGGACAGATGAACAAAAAGGCCTTGAAGTTGGAACTATGATAGAACTCTATAACTTGACAAATCGATCCGCGGAGCTCCCCTAAGCATGATATGCGCCGTCTTCGGAGAAACCATCACGCGAGACTTACACGAGACCATTCATTCAAAGACCTTCTCGTACTTGGTACCAAGTCTTTTGTTTTCAAGCGAGTCAAGTAATAAGAGTCAAGCAGATCAGGCAGTATGTGATCGAGCCGACGCCTGCGGAAAGTTTGGTTTTGGAAGGGACAAATCTCGAAATATTTGTTATGTCGTACTTGGGTCAATTGAAGTTCGCTCGCCTGTGAAGATGTATTCGAGAGCGAGTTATGATCCGCACTAGGTATAAGCGATCAAGGAGCCTGCCGCCGACGGGCCGGGAGCCACAATGAGCCAAACAACGTCAAACATAGCTGTGGGATTCAGATTACCTACTAGCTGTGAAGACTCCGGACGTCGTTAAACATGCCCAAGTCGTCACTATCCTCCGTCGTTTCAAACCTCGTCCGGGCGTCCATGGGGGCAACCGTTTCTCCATCAATCACTGACGACGACCTCGACAGACATGTTGCAGAGCTCATCTTGAGGGAAGCCAAACAGAAGGCCGAAAGCTACGGCGAAGTTGGAATTAGGGCATATCTTCCAACTGCGTGAGTCTACTATCTAAAAAAATCAAACCATCAACTTACCAAACATTTGTCTAGGCCTGACCCAAATGCGCCTCGCCCGAACAAACGTTTCCTTAGTTCGATAATCAAGAGCACAGACGATCACAACAAGACTATACTTCGTGCACAGGCGCTTGCTGCACAGGAAATTAAAAGGGAGAAAGATGAACGAGAGCGCAGAGATAGGAAGGCTCGTGCGGAAGAGGCTGCCGCTGCCGAGCGCATGAGGAGACGGAGACCTGACCATGATGAACATAGTTGGGATAGTCGAAGGGAACGTGACCGACGGAGAGATAAAGACCGGAACAAGGGGAAAGAAAAGAGTTCTGGGAGGTATCACAAGAATGATAAAGATGATGACAGTTACCACAGAAACAGGCCCAGCAGCAGGAGACATCAATCACGTTCAGCATCAAAGGAACGGGATAGTGATGCGAAGCACAGGAAAAGCAGCCGGCGATCACTATCTCCCGAGAGAGCTAGTTCTTCTGATATCCGTCAGCATAGAAGACATAGACGTCATGATGAGGATAATTCCCGAAAGAAAAGGCACCGTACGAGCCGTTCTACTTCCCCACGTCGCACCAAGTCACCCGCACAGCCTGTTGCAGAGATTCCAGTCTCCAGGAAAAGGACGCGATCGGTATCTCTATCTGATGATGATCATAGAAAGACGACCAAGCAGGCGCGGCATTTGAGTCGTCGTAACACTCGGTCTCCTTCCCGGTCATCCCAGACATCCCCAGACGATGAAGCTGTAGAGTTCGCAGAGGAAATTCCACCTTCTTTCAAGGGCAAAGCAGGGGCTCCCGACGAATTTCGCAAACCGCCCCCTCGTACCCTTTCACCTTCCCCTCCATCACGCCGGCCCCAGCACGCAGTCGCTTCGTCAGGTTGTCGGTCACCGTCTTTGTCACCCCCTCCTTTACCGCCCGCGCAGCTTCCCTCAAAGATGGACAAATACTTTCAAGACTCTTACGACCCCCGACTCGACGTTGCCACACTCCCTGTCCCCAACGTACCTGCTACTGGCTTGGTCAGTGACGCAGAGTTCGAGGGTTGGGACGCCATGCTTGAACTCATTCGGCAACGGCGAGAAGATAAAGCTGAGAAGAAACGTCTTGAACGTCTTGGAATATCAAAAGACAAGGTCAACAAGAAAGGTACAGACAGTGGAGTTGCTGATCGTTGGGCTAGTGGAGGGGATAATATCATGGATATCGAGTACAAGAAAAGGGGGACTGTTCGAGAATGGGACTTGGGGAAGGAGGGTTTTTAAGAGCTGCTTGTCAGCAATACTAATCTGCATCTACACCATCATCGCCCAACGCTCTTGCTTTCATGTACAATATGTTTTCGTAGTAGGAAACCGACCATTCAAACTCAGTGATCAATAGCGTGGCGCACAACCATGATCTCCTCAGCCGACAATCGGTCGATATTTGCGGAAAAGTTGTTGACATTATGTGATGCACATTCTTTGAAGAATGACACCAGATGCGCCTGAAAGACCTGTCAGGCACGTAAGAGTCGCCGTTAAATCAGCGACACCTACCTGCATGTCAATCTGAGAGATGGCGTCGTTTCTAAGGTCTTCGTCATCAGTCTCTTCGAGAATGTCGTCATTGTCAAAGTTGACGCCGCGGGGACCCAACATCTCGGAGAGGAAGGCAAATTCTTCTTGCTTGAAGCCCTGATTCTGTTGCTCTTCTTCTGTCCATTCTTCATCCTGTCGATCGCTTAGCAGGGCGTATAAAGGAGTATACGAACGTTACGTACGCCATCGTCCGAGTCCACATCAAACTCAGCTTTGGGGATCGTCGCAGAGTCGCCCCCAGCTCTGAGATCGTGCACAAGCAGTTTAAGTGCCTTCACAGGGAATGGCACTGATGTAAATTCATGGGGTGCTGCGCCGCCAAAAGTCAGTATCAAAACCAGCACAGAGAATGAGAGATAGGCAAATGATGCATACTCGTCTTCGTTCGTGACCGGGTCATGATCACTGTCCCAGAAGCACAAGCAGAAACCGTTGAATATCCAGAGATGAGTGATTCTATATGCAGAAAGAAGACTCACCATTCTTCGTCTCCGGCTTCAAGATAATATCGCCCTTGACCATCAATGATTGCAGGCTTGGACGACCAGAAGCGTATAATTTTGTGAGCGCCAATGTGCTGACACGCGATTGCCAGAAGCCCTGGAATGTTTTCTGCGTTCTCACACCATGTCTGGATGAGGATATCGAGACCGTTCCTGCCATTCGTCGTAGTCGATTCCAGCAAGTACAACACTGTATCCTGCTGGTTATATGCGAGGAACGCGAATGGAACGACGAGGCTCTGGATGAAGGTGGCCGTCTTGGCCGATAGCATCCGCAAGACCATAGCTTGAAGAAGCTCTGGAAGCACCGGGAGAACAGCTTCGCCTGCACGACGCAGCAAGTGGATGATGAGATCACCGATGACCAAACCACCGGATTCATCGTCGTTTTGCAGGAGCTTCGCAATAACTTTCAGAATATGATCGAGACCGGATTGGCCGGATGGGTCCCGCCATTCTAAGATCTGCCTGCAATCTTTGCGGACTATTAAAGCAAGACAAGCCATGCCATTTTGTAGAACATCACGATCTTCGGCTTCGCTAAGGCAGCTGAACAAGCTAGGTGCTAGGAGAGCGAAGAAGCCGTCTCCAAGGCCGCCTTCGGGTGCACCGCGAACGAGGCTTGAGATCAAGTCAATGGCAGACCCTGCTATCCAGGCTTCTTGAGGTTTGGAACTCGCGATGGCAGTACAAAGAGTGGGAAGTGCCTGTTTGACGAACCGTTTCGTACACTCCTGTGCCAGTCGAGGAGGCCAGCGAGGTGAATATTTCGGTGAAAATCGATAGGAAAATGGGATCTATGATCTCTGTTTAGTTGTTGAAGGGTGGAGGGTAGCTCTAATTTACCTTTGTTATTCTTTGCCCAGACCTCCAGGACGGCCAACACGAGAGAGTTGGACAAGTCAGTAGTGAGCCATTGACCCCTGTTGACATCTAGAACAACCGACATTGTCTCGAGAACCAAGGATAACGTGTCCTCAGTCGTTACCAGCAGGAATGGTCCCAGGTCCTGTGCAATCCGCGACACGAAAGGCGTGATAGCCGAGTCCTCCGCGCCCTCACAGAAGCTGCCGGGGTATTAGATGGGCGTATCATTCGAAGTACACAACATACTTGTGGATAGCTTTGACAGCAGATATTTTCACGGGAATCCCAGCAGAATTTGATTCAATCACATGCATAGCGGCTTCCAGATACTGACCAGCCATCTGCAATGGCAATAGCCTGGCAAACTGGCTCGCAAATACGAAACCTCTGCCTTGCAAGAATGGAAAGTCTGGAGAAATATCAAATAATGTGAACCCTACATGAAGATGCCTGATGCATACCGGACTGGTTTAAAACCGACGGAACGACATTAGCTAGCAAATCCTCCACATCAATAGGTTTTGCTCGGCCAGAATCCTGTTCATTTTCAATGCACTCGAGGACATCTTCGGATTGAGAGCCAATTGCGGCGAAGGATGCTTCAAGTGGTTTCCACCTGCGCTCAACCGATTCATGAAGAGGTTGAACGGAATCGATTTTCGGTGACCTACCAAGCAGTGGACCCATTTTCTCGTGCTCTTTGTGACGTTGCAATGACCTGATGAATCGCAGTCTGGAAGGTAGCACAAATTTGTGCAGGAGAACGGTTGAGAATAGTCTGTGGAGGGCATGAGTCTTCTTTTGGAATGCGTCTAGCCCAGGACGCACATATAGCAGCTCGAAGCCAGCGACTCGGACGCCATATGCCTGTGTGTCATCTTCTTCATGTGCCACGAAAGCATTGGCATTTGTTGCCCACGTCTCTTCCTGGGGTCAATCAATAAACATCCAAAAGCAAAGATGTAGATGGGACGAACGTCATCCGCAGTCATCTGTGAATAATTGAAGATTGCGGAGACCAAACTGTTCAGGTTTTCCACCTGAAGCCACTCCTTCGCTTTCCCCCCTCTGACAACATTCGAAACAAAGTCGAACAAAGGGCAGATGAGGTGAGGTATTTCTACTGTTTCCTCTTCTGATGACCCAGGGGCACTTGCGGATCCCGAGATGTAGAATGTATCATATGTTTCGGACATCACCTGAAGGTGACGCAAGGATGCATCTAGATAACCGCGAACGTACGAGGTCATGGCACGGGGGAATGACGTGTGAATGACATCCAGTGTCTGAGATTGCATGTATCAGGAAGCCCGTCGGAACGTGCAGTTAATCAAATACCTTGAAGACCTGGATTCTGACAGCTAATCCATCCCAATTGTCCTGATTGGATACATCCTTCAAAGGGTCAAGGTTGAGAAGCACTTTGAATGCCTCCAACCAAACTGGCAGGATGGTTGCAGTAGCTTCCTTCACTGCTTGGGGATGTTGATCTTTGACCATGTAGAGTGCTGTCACGCATTGACGAAAAACGGACACTGTTCGTGCGCGAGTCAGAGGCGTATGTTGCTATTGTCGGAATTTAAGTCGCAAATTAAACTTCAGAACAAAAGCTGGACCGCACCTCCGTGGATCCAAGGATAGTGAGCAAGACGGGAAGAAGCTGTCGCAATACAGGTAAGATTTGATCTTCGGTGAGGTCCGATTTTATAAATTCGGTGAACACCTGCATCGCGCCATGCACAGCGTCAGGAGAACTTGAAGAAATCAAGGCAATAAGGGAGTTGAGCAGTTCAGGGTATTCATCCGGCCAATCGCAATTCCCAATATATGACATTGTATGAGCCTTCGCATAAACATTGAGATCCAAGTGTGCCGATGCGCTCAAGTTGGGTTAGGACTCACGCATAAAGACCGGATTTTCCGGTTCGAGTCTGATAAGCCTTGAAGGACAGCGTGGCGTATTTGGGATTTGACCTGTGGAAGATCAAGATGATGGGCTCGGATAACGTCGAGGAGCATACCTCTACTGAAGGTGCGTTGCCCTTGAACGATTCAAAGTATGGAGACCATCGTTCCTTGACATATTTTCTGAGAATAATGCTTGCTGAGTGCTAGGTAATATCTGAGATAAAGAGGCGAACATTGTAGTAAGATGAGAAAGAACTTATCTGCCGGAGCGAGATATCCACGTCCTGTGCTAAAATAAGCTGGGCTAGAGCTAGACCTGCCTCTGATAAACGCGTGCTAAGCATCAGATTTGCAGACAATGGTCGCGATTATGAAAACCAGCCTTGATGGAGCAGAACCTCGGAAAGCTTGAGTTCAGCAGCGATCCTAGTATTCGCATCTGCGCTTAGAGTATCTGCCAATATCTGAGAGACATTTGCCGCCGCCATCGTCAGTGATGATATACTCAAAACAAAGCAGGAAGGATAATATGTTAGGGTGCACTTCACGTGCAGACGCGACGCGTTTGAAGGACGGAAATTGCCGTTTCTTAGAAAACTCAGTGAAAGCCCAAGACGATGGAAATTGGGTTCCGACCGAATCCTACCGTCTCTTGTTTCTTGTTTCCTTCCACCGTCATCACAGTAACTTTTCTGTTACAATTCTTGTGTTTGATTGGCAGCATACTAGTAATTCGTTGGCAATGCGACCACGAAGCTCGGTTGCACAAGCGCCCGTCGATAACGGCAAGAAGCCCCGCAGACCCCCCAAAAAGCGTGTGCGTGCGTCTGACGTCGACGGAAGTCAGCAAAACGTCGAAGTCGTCAAATCCGGTGCAAGGAGAGCTAAATGGCAGCCCAGGCCGGGAAAACTTGCCGCCCTGATGAATTTACCTATGGACGTCTTATTCGAGGTTTGCCCCTTTTGCTATGGTCGCTATGTGTCTAGTGTCTAAAAATGCTTCAGGTCTTTGGCCACTTGAATCCTTTGGATATACTTCGTCTGGCTCGCACGACGAAAGAATTTAGACGCGTGCTCATGCATCGTTCTTCAATGTCCGTGTGGAAGAATGCTAGAGACAACGTGCCAAATATGCCAGATTGCCCCCCTTTCTGGACGGAACCCCACTATGCGAACCTTGCTTTTGATCCTCATTGTCACGTATGCCCCCCAATTTTAATCATAATATGCTTTCTTCTCACATTTAGGAAAAGGAATGCGGTGCCCCTGGTGTGCGCAACGTCGATTGGCGCATCGGTAGGCGTATCTGCACAAAGTGCTCCAAGACTTGGTGCGTATATTATTTTGAACGCACAACTTGTTTCTTATCGAGTCAACAGCATGGTAGATGCCTACCACGGGGAGTTGGTAATCAGCGGCCTTGTCCCGAGTAAATATGGCAGTCTGTATTATTTATCTGTCATCTAATGGATAATATTGAGTTGGTGTTTACAGAACGAGGTCGCCTTCTATTCTATCGCAAGGATGTCGAAGAGGTCCAGAAGATTCTACATGTACTCGCGGGTTCAGATGGGCTTGAAGCCTATCGCGAAGAGCGGAGGGCATTCGTCAAGGAAATGGAAACAGTGAGTAATCTTTTCCCTGTGATATCAACACCGTAAACATATCTATCCAGCAAGCGAAAGTGTTGGAAGCATGGGCGGCTTCTCAAGCTAAAGACCGATCCGATCAGCTGGAGGATGCTAGACGGGACAGGAAAACTGCGTAAGATATCAAGTTTGAAATTGCCCCAACGCATAACCTGACACTTCCCAGTATCATCGAAAGGCTTACTGAAATTGGTTGGGGTGATGAAATCGAACATATTCCATACACAGACGACTTGAGCCACCACAGGTTAGTCAAGCAACCTACCCGCCTGACGGATCGCAGTTGGTTCCTTCCTTTGATGTTTCCGATCCAAATTCTTACCAGTTGTTCAGTCTGGAATAACATCAAGAACGACATGATCAAGTACATGGAGGAGATGAGGACACGACGTCTTGAGCGCGAGCGCAAAGCCCTACTTATTGCTCGAAAGCGCACCGCCATTGGCATTCTGCGTAGCTATAAGATTGCTCACCTCCCATTTACCGATGTTATGCCAGAGGCAGTGGACTTCTGCTCCTTCCCCGAAGTCATCGACATTGTTGGATTGCCCACAGAGACAGAAGTTACAGAAGCGTCCTTTGCGGACATTGCTTCCCGGATGGATGGCTTAGTACACTCCTGGCGCACTCGCATCCACTCCCAGCTCAGGGCTAGAGTCAAAGATAATCTGCTTTTTAGCGGAAAGCGGCGTGCGCGTGCAGAGCGAGTGACGCCGGATCCATTATACGAAGAGTATGTGGAAAGCCTTGGTGCCACTTTAGACCTCAAAGGCAAGAAAAAGGAGGTATCGCTACCAGTGCCCGATGACGCCGAGATCGACCAGATGATCCCGCTTGCAACAACTGTATTTCGCTGCAAAACATGCACTCCATCCATTGGACTCCCAGGCGATTTGTCCGATAGTGAATACGACGATTTCCTTGATATTCTTGGCGGACGTCGGTCGAGATCTATTCCCCTCTTCTATCCCAAAGTCATGGGACATTGTTGCCTAACCAGGTCGAGAACGCTGCCTTGGGACTACTTTGCCACGGACGACCCCAACTTTCGGATTGATTTTCCAATGAGCACCCGCACAAAGTGGAACACCCACCTTCTGCAGGTAGATGAAGAGGCAAGCAAGGCTGCTCGTACCGTTGTGGAGGCATGCGGTGAAGACCCGCTCATCACCACTGCGACCAAAATGGATGAGTTAGATCACCGCTTGGCCTGCTTGGATTGCATGAAGTGGTCCAAGCATGAGGTGAATCAAGGCGAGGTACCCGTCTTCGCATGGCGTTCAGCGGTCCGTGATTTACCTTTCGATGTTTATTTCATGGCTTCTAACTTGTTTGTAGGTTCAGCACAGAATGCGAGAGCATCGCCCTGACCGTCAGCCAGCTAGATGGAAGAAAATCGAGGGTGAATTACTCGAGGAGTCCAACCGAAATGCTCGCGTGCATAAGTATATACACTTTTTCGATTTCCAACCTTTCCCGGATATCACCCAACCTCCAAGCATCGTCTGGCTGTGCGTCCACTGCATGGATTTACCACAGGAGAGGGAATGCTATGAACTTGGCAAAATGAAGAGTCACCTTTCTACAATGCACGTTCTACTCTTCCCATTGCACTAAAGATATTGTCGCTTACTTATTCGTAATATTAGTCATGGCATTGAAGAGCCTGTGGAAAATCAAGATTATTACAAGGATTATGAAGCGCTGCAGGGTCGCAAATCAGACCTCAAACCTTCTGAGTCCTCAGTCACTTTGCAAATGGAGAGGCCGCCTCATGTTCCTCTACCTGGGCACGCTTTCTTGGACTTCTATGATGAAGATGACGATGACGATGACGATTATGGGGACTACGATGAAGATGACTTTTATTTCGGTAACTCGTTCTTCCCTCTCTTCTGATTGGAACAATAACATTCGCTCATAATTATTGCCCCTACAAATACATACGCACTCCGAGTCTTAATGTTACTGGACACATTTCTTGATGCAACGAATTTTAACACATTCTATATACATACTTCCTCTTCAGTGATCATACCGACGAACGAGTTTTAACGATAATGTCATTCAAACAAGAGCGACTCGCTTTCCAGAATATGTTGGAGCTAGATAATCCTGTAGATGACGATCAAACTACCAGCTCTCCTTCGACGCTCGCAGCGTCAAGCCCAAGTTGAGGAAGAATAGCTTCATATCGGTCACGGTCCAGTCTTCTCAGATATTTAAGTATCTTGGCACGTTTGTGCACAAGCTGACGAAGGCCCCTGCGGTTATCTATGTCCTTGCGGAAAGCCAAAAGGTGCTTCCATAGCCCACGTATTTGGATCGTCAGCAAGGCGGCTACATTCAGAAGACTTCAGTATAAGTTGGCATAGAGAAAATTCTGTGGTAAGCACCTTGTACCTCAGGGCGACCAGTGTCAAATGGATTTCCTGGCGGAGAAAACAGCTTGATGCAATGGCGGCGGTTCTCGAATGCGAGACCTTTCGCATTTGCATTACGCAGATCAATAACCTTTGCGAACATGCTCGCTTTGGTCTTTTCGTTTTCCATCGCTTCCTGCATTTCGCCAACCACGTTCTCGCTGAACTTGGTCACACCCTCCTGAGCTGACAGCGGAGGTAATACTTTGAAAAGCAGCTCCTTGGACCTCTCAGTAATTCCAAAGCTTAGATACGGCGGAAGCTCGATGTCGCCTTCGGGACTGTGAATGATCTCAGGGACAGAATCCGAGTATAGCGCGTCCTCCGTGATGATGACTTTTGCAAGGGCACAGCTCCGCCATTTGTGATCCTGACCTGGACGGTGACCGAGAACAGCATATTCGCGTTGCGCATCGACTGCGAGCTTGTAATTTATGCGTGCCTGCACTTTGGAGATCTTCTCATGTCGAGCTTGTTTGCTCGACAAGCGGGCATTGAGAACTGCTGAAGTATGGAGTGATGAACGGCTAGACGACGCGACGGATTGTGATACTACACTCCGTCAGAAATAGTCAGAATATCATGGGACTGAACACACCGTTGATCAGGCAGGATTTGAACATAGCAAACCCAACGCGCCCCGTCCAAAAACTTAAAGTTGGCAAAGAAGAATGATGAGCCGTGGGAATCTTTGCGTACATTTCTTGAGGGTCAAGTCTTTGAGCGTCACGGCTGTATAGCACACGATGGCGCCCATAAAAAAAACCAAGGCTTCACCCAAGGTCCGCTCTTCTGGATCCAAGGAACCATCACTCAAAAAAGTGAAAGGCGAGAACTTTTACCGCAATGCGAAACAAGTCGGCCGTCTCAAGATGCTGTCTGGGGGGAAGGCCATCCGGGACAAGGATGGCAAGATAATCCAGGCTGCTGCTTATCAGAAGGGAGAAGACGAGACAAAACCTGGCCGAGTCCAGCCCGATCGTAGATGGTTTGGTGAGCAGCGTCGGGATATGCGTAGGCCATTACTGATGAAAATAATAGGCAATACACGAGTAATCTCACAGACGGCCCTTGACCATTTCAGAACAAGTCTTTCGACGAAGAAGGATGACCCATACTCAGTGCTACTTCGCCGGAATAAATTACCCATGGCACTCTTGGACGATGCGTCTAATCCCAACACTCGAAAGGTAGGCTCTAGCACAATTTATATTGCTTGTGGGCTGATATTATGTAGCGATCCCACATCGTAGAAACGGAACCTTTCAGTGAAACCTTTGGACCAAAGGCTCAGCGCAAGAAAGCCAGGATTGATGTTGGCACTTTCGAGGAACTGAGTAAATTAGGCTCAGCTGCAGCGGAAGACGCAGAACAAGCGGCCAATGCTCTAGAATTAGGTGCATCATTGCATGGTAATTCTCTCCAATCAAACATGTTCTGATTTTTTGGTAGCGCAATCTTTCGAAACCCCTGAAGTGCAAACGCACGCAGACTATATTGAACCCATTTTCGCCAAAGGAACGTCAAGACGCATCTATGGGGAACTGTACAAGGTTATCGACTCTTCGGACGTTATCCTGCACATCCTCGATGCTCGAGACCCCCTTGGCACCATGTGCGAATCTGTGCTCGAGTACATGAAAAAAGAGAAAGCGCACAAACAAGTGGTTCTTGTCATCAACAAGTGTGACTTAGTGCCTAATTGGGTTACCGTAAGCCCCTAGTGACTTTGTGTACATCCTCCTGCTGAATGTGCCACAGGCAAGGTATATTCAACATCTAACACCTCGATACCCTACGATTGCCTTTCACGCATCACCGAATCACTCGTTCGGCAAGGGCTCTTTGATTCAACTCCTCCGCCAATTCTCCCAGCTTCATTCAGATAAGAAGCAAATTTCCGTTGGATTTGTTGGATACCCAAACGTGGGCAAGAGCAGCGTTATCAATACGCTGAAGAGCGGTAAGGTCTGCCGTGTTGCCCCCGTACCAGGAGAAACCAAGGTACGCGCCAAGAATGACTGTTAAACTGCCTAACCCAACATATTTCACTCTGAGCTTAGGTTTGGCAGTATATTCACATTGACTCGGCGGATATATCTCATCGACTGTCCCGGGGTAGTTCCCACGTCCGCAAATGATTCCCAGACATCCACTGTGCTCAAAGGTGTTCTACGTGTGGAAGCCCTTCCTGTGCCATCTGAGCACATCCCCGCTCTCATGTCGCGCGTAAAGCCTTTATACCTATCACGAACCTATGGTGTTGCTCTTCCGGACCCCGACGATCTCTCTCGCTCGTGGGATCCGGAACAGTTCTTGGACACTCTTGCGCGGATGAAGGGACGACTATTAAAAGGCGGCGAGCCAGATGTAGATGGTGTCGCTAAAATCATACTGAGCGACTGGGTGAGAGGCCGAATACCATTTTTCGTCCCTCCCCCTGAGCGGTCAGAGGAGCTTAACAAAACCGAAGCCAAATTGAAGGCGAGAAGCAAGGGCAAAGCGAAGGCCGTTGACGGCGGGACTGAGGTTCTGGCGGTCAAACAGAATTTGAAGACCATCACACAGAAAAATTCGTTCTTGCCGAGGATGTGCAACCGTTGGACGAAGATGATGACTGAGGATGAGGAAACTGCTGGTGCCCCAGAAGATCATGCATTAGGCGAGGAGGATGAAGGTAGGCGAACTCGGTAGCGACGAAGACAACGAAGATGAGGTCGAAGAATTGTCTTGGAATGATGTCTTTAACGATGGGAAGGAGCCGGCCGGCGAAGCTGTTGAAGATGAATTATCTTCGGCCGAGCAATGTATGGTGTCATTTTGTCCGCGTTCTCCGTAGACTGATCGCGTCTCCAGGTGACGCATCCGATGCAGAGGCCACTGCCCTGACAAAGAAGTCACGCATGAAGACGAACAAGGTATGGCATCTTTTTATTGCTGTCCGTTTCCTGAGCTAACTAAGTACGTAGAAAAAAGCGGAGAATTTCTACACTAACACCAACGTGAAGAACAAAAATCGAAACAAGGCGGCTGTGATGAAGTCTCTTCCTGTGGGCAAGAAGGGTGAAGGACGTAAACGGCGCTGATACTTGACTAGATTCTATGTTGCTGTGCAGAGGAAATGTTTTGCTGTCATCACTGTTCGCCTATTTTGAGCGATGGATCAGTCGCAGCGGAGCTAAAGCAAAGACTGACTTCCTCCGCGCTTTCTCCGACTCGCTACACCTATCACCAACGTTCGTAGCATTGACAAGCACAGTTATGGTCTAAAGAGGACGCTAGCTCTAACGTATAAGCCGGATCCGTTAAAATGATGGCGAAATCTGGTACGAGGACTGCGTGGGAAAGCACAGAAGCTGATTATCTATAAACCTTCGACTGAGATTTCACGAATCACCCCATCTTGACTTTTGTCCTCCATGTCTGTCACCAAAGTCCACGCTCGCCAGGTAAGTCAGTCATATCTCTATTGCAAACTTGAGTCGAATGCTTGCAGATCTTCGACTCTCGTGGAAACCCCACCGTTGAGGTCGACCTTTACACAGATAAAGGTACGAGACCGAACGTGATCAAAGGCCTTTCCGATCTTACATGTATTCTTAGGTCGTTTCCGTGCTGCTGTCCCATCTGGTGCATCCACCGGTGTCCACGAAGCTGTCGAGCTTCGCGATGGCGACAAAGCCAACTACGTAGGAAAGGGTATATATCCCGCTCCATGAGTTCTAGTCACGTCCACTGAACATCATCCAGGTGTCTCCAAGGCCGTCAACAACGTGAACACCGTTCTTGGCCCAGAGCTGATCAAGTCTGGCCTTAAGGTCACTCAGCAGAAGGAGATCGATGACCTCCTGATCAAGCTCGATGGCACTCCTAACAAGGGCAAGCTCGGTGCCAACGCTATTCTTGGCGTTTCTATTGCATGCGTGGAGGCTGGTGCTGTTGAGAAAGGTGTTCCTGTATACCAGCATCTCGCTGAGTTGGCTGGTGTCAAGCCCCCCTATGTTATGCCTTGTCCTGCGTTCAACGTCATCAATGGTGGTTCGCACGCAGGCAATAAGTTGGCATTCCAGGAGTTTATGCTGCTTCCTACCGGTGCTGCCTCGTTCACTGAAGCGATGAAAATCGGTACCGAGACCTACCACACGTTGAAGAAGGTCATCAGCGCAAAATACGGTATTGATGGTATGTAATGCGTGCACTGTTATCCGGCTTTGGGCTGAATTATGTGCTCCAGCCGTCAACGTTGGTGATGAAGGTGGATTTGCTCCCAATGTCTCGGGAGCTGATGAATCCTTGGAGCTCCTCATGGAGGCTATCAGCAAGGCCGGATACGAAGGCAAGATCAAGATTGCTCTTGATGTTGCTTCATCCGAGTTCTACAAGGACGGCAAATATGACCTTGACTTCAAGAACCCCAACTCCGACCCTCAGAAGTGGATCTCAGGCACTGAGCTCGCAGACCTCTACCTCAGCTACGTCAAGAAGTACCCCATCGTCTCCATTGAAGATCCTTTCGACCAAGATGATTGGGAGGCATGGACCCACTTCACCAAGAACAGCTCAGTCCAGATTGTTGGTGATGACTTGACTGTTACCAACCCTCTTCGCATCAAGACGGCCATTGAGAAGAAGGCATGCAATGGTCTCCTCTTGAAGGTTGGTGTTCATCATTCTTCAAGAAGTCATGTCGTTTGACACACTTGCACTTTTAGATCAACCAGATTGGTACCATTTCGGAATCCATCCAGGCGTACGTTACTGCTACCATGAGCGTGCGTATGAACCCCAGCTGACGATGTTTCAGTGCACAACTTGCTCAGTCTGATGGCTGGGGAGTTATGGTGTCACACCGCTCTGGTGAGACAGAGAACACCATCATTGCTGACTTGGTCGTTGCCCTTGGAACCGGTCAGATCAAGACTGGTGCGCCCGCTCGTAGCGAGCGTGTCGCAAAATACAATGCATTGTTGCGCATTGAGTGAGTTGCTGTTTTGCACCGAAGGAAAACTTTGTTGATCGTTTGTCAGGGGCGAGATCAAAGACGGAGTTTATGCCGGTGACAAAGGTCTTTCCGCTGGTTTGACAGCCCCTGCTCTGCTCAAAAAGTAGATCGGGAGATGGAGTGATGAGAAGTCAACTGTACGATTCATTATTTAGATAATTTCCATGCTGACAAGTGTACATTCATGACGATAACCCAGCCATTTTAAAATGGCTCAATGCACGTTCTATGTAACTATGTCGCGATACGCTGAGATGAAAGTGGCGTAGATATAGTGTTCTTGTCGTAGTTTTCCATAATCGATCAGATTGCGATTATGGGTATTGAGGACAGGAATACTATTTCCCAGGGCACCTATCCCCCGGCACTCCAATGAAGGCATCAATATGGTCTACCTAGTTCCTGCATCATCCAGACCTTCGATAAAGGAATAGAACAGCCTAGGCTGCCATCCATAAATAATATCAGCCCGAAGTAGGTTGAGGAATAGCCGTTCCTGAGCAAAGTCGAAAAAGAATTATCTGATTATCTCTCGATGGCTTAAGCTCGAGGCTAGTCCCGAAACTCTGTCTTGACGAAGTTGAGGTAGGCCTTGCCATACTTGAATTTGCGAACGATTATATATTCAAAGTAACACTGGGGTGTTCATGGACTGGACAACATGAGTGCACATGAACCCAGTGCAGTATGCCACTGGTGACAAACACGACCAGCCAGACCTTGCCACAAGATAAATTATTTTACTTTGCACGGTGAAGAACTGAGTGTGTTGAACAGCAGGATTTACAAAACGGAGGGAACCTACACTCTTTGCATATCCCTTCCTCCAATCGATCACTTGTATGGACGGAACGTGCCGGACACCTGGCGTCCTCCACTCGTCAAAGTGATAGAAGACAAATACATGGATATTGCAGATTGTAGGCTCGCTCTGTAAAAATAGCCAGGTGCGTTAAAGGTACGTTTGCATTCCAAGGAAGCATACAGCATCCAGATGTGGACGCTGGGACGTAGCCAGCCAAAACTCCACCAAAAACCCAGGGTGATCTTGTTCGGCACCAATCACGATGTCACGATTAGGCGAAGAGGGAAAAATCATAAGATCCTGCGAGGGTCGATGATAAACAGGCTCGGGAACCGGTGCTGGAGAGATAGACCATATGCGGGCCACGTCTGGGAGAGTGCGGAAACCGTGTTACAATCACGAATGAAGATATTGTCCTATCAAAGCGTCCACCAAATCCCATGATATGTAAGGAATTACAAAGGGCGTGTAGGCAGCAGCAACTACTGTTTTGAAAACAGTTTTCGCATGGGAGTCAGACCGCCACAAAGATGCCAATTTCTTGAGTGAACATATCTTGCTGGAAACCCCGATGGAATCATGGGTAGCGGTCTCAGTCATGCCCTGAGCACAAGGTTGTATTTTGAATGTCGACTGAATGATGACAGGTCGCATCCCAAAAGGTTTTACAATTGGCACGGGAGGAAACGTGGAACTGCGGGAAAAGACCGACCTTTCAGATTTCCACAACAATAAAGTTCAGGGTAAGAAAGATATGACATAGGAACTCGGCACGACAAGGCCTCAATGATTTGTCACGTTGTTTACGATCGGAGTTTCCTGTTTCGTATTATCTTGCGTGACACCGCAATAATCTTAGCTTGGTAAAGCTGTGGGCTAATCCCAGCTACTTATCATCCTCTTCAATCCAGTACTTGGCCGTGGTGCTGTGACCCTCAAAGGCAATGCTTCCATCGACGCTGCCACCGTGGGACATTGCTTCCACCTATCTATATAAGTGAGACACTGTTCTTTAAGCTTCAACCACTCATGTCTACCATATCCTCCGAGAAATCCCCCCAGCATTCGCATGAGACGATGAACGATCGTCTCACTGGACTCAGTGCGAAGGATCAGCGTGCATACGAGCGCGCTAGGCACCAGACAAAGGAGCGGCGGGAGCATGCGCAGGTGAAGGAGCGCAAAGAGCGGGTGGCGGCTGGGGTACGAGCACCAGCCCTCAAGGAAGGGCATCTAAGCCGGGCTTCCAAGAGGGCCAGCATGGAGTTCTGGGATGGCGATGAGCCTGACTCCCGTACTCTCACTGGATTGGGGTGCCCCGTTAATGTCGTACCGATGCCGAGGAATAAATCTGGTTTCTCCAAGATGGCGCTTGCGGATTTCGTGACGTTCAGAACCAAGAAACTAACCAAAGCGCAAGGTATGGTGCTGCAATATTTCGTTCATGACAATACTGACTCGAAGTTGTGCGTAGATTTTGACTTTGAGGTTCTCCCGCCTGTCCGTTCGGTCATTGCTCTTGATGACTTTGGACACGACGTTGAGACTAATGAACCTTGGGAATTCATGTCTCTTACCCCCGAATCGCCCGTTTGGAAGGACCTATCGTACGCTCAGGCCGCTGCTTTGACATTTTAGATCATGCCATTGTGATTGACATTTAATTAGTATTATACCACACCCATTACGACTTAGTTCATTCCTCAGTTCATTAACATTACGAACTCACTTTACATATCCGAGCTCCGTGTCGTATCGTCTTGGTCCTCGTTATAATTCTACTTACTGAACTAGGCGGTGTATTTGGACTTCGAGGATCAACTATAGGTATATTATACCCCTGCATGAACGTGTAGAGCTAGAACCTTTATCGGTCTTTACCAAAAATGTTTAAACTCGCCGTCGTACGTTGAGTTACACTGAAGAACGAGTTTCGGACAGACTGATCTGCTTCGATCATTTGGGGACGTAGTAGTATAGTTCAGAAAGATTTGATTACGAGTTAGTAAAACTGGTCACATGATAAATATAAGCGCGTTGCAAAAACAATGGGCGTTCGTAGATCCAGCGAGCTCACAGAAACCAGTGAAAATGATGAAAAAAAAGGTCAGTGTCACCATATTACTTGATGATGGTGATGCGAGAGTCCATGCACATATATTCTCTAAGTGAGTTTGCATCCAGTGATTTTAACTAGATAATGCGAGAAGTGATTAGCGGGTTTCCTCGTGTTGAGATATGCAACACACCAGAACCATCAGGCTGCCCAACGGCGTACAACATCTCCATTGGGTGGAACGCCAAGGATGTATGCCTAGGGATATAAGGCGTCGGCGGTCGAGAGGGGTACGCGTTCAAGCCCGTCGGTAGGCTCAGCGTGGAGAGCGGCGATGGATCTGATATAGAATGTACCGTGAGCCGCTGGTGCCTGAAGTTGGCAGGAGTAAGAGCAGATGTTCTGCAACATAGTCAGTCGACCGTTCTACCTACAACGGGATCGCACTTACGCGGCAAACACGCCCGTCTGTGAATGTACATCGAACGCGGACAAGCCCGCATGGTGTAAGTCCCAAGCTTGAGCCGCTGTATCAGAGCCTCTTAAATCCCACAGACGGACTTCACCAGCGAGGCTGCATTTATGTGAGCTCCAGTACAAACACTACTCGACTTCAGCTCACCTTGCAGACAAGAACTGACCGCTGATGCGCGGGTGGTATTTGACATTCTGTACCCATGAGTGATGGTCATGATACGATCTAACAATAGCGTCCTCTTCCTCTAATCGACGATCGAAAACTTTGACGAGACCATCGGCAAAGCCAACAATGAACGTAGACGACGAACCCTGATCTGACGTGATAGACGTCACAGGGCTCTCGCAATTAGTTTCGAGATCCTTTGAAGTCGTGAGTAACTAGTCTTCACTACGAGGTATCATCGTCCTCTCACCAGGACCTGAGTCTCCGTGTGGGCATCCCATACACGGATGATGCGAGAGTCGCCCCCGATCAGCAGCGTGCCACCAGATTGTTTCCAATCTAGTACAAGACCACTACCTCTACGCACACGGATCAACTCATGCAGTGCACGGAATGAGCTGACCATCTGCAGTGGACCTTGGTTCATTGTGGGGTCGTAATTCCGGTACAGACGCACGATGCCGTCGGCTGCACAACTGGTCGGTATCTGAGATTACCAGGAAGTTAAGTACGAACCTGCACCAGTCATGATGATCCCCCCCCACATCCTGATTGATTACATGCAGCGACGTAATACTCGTGCCTTTAGGATTACCATTGCAGAAGTAATTCAAGCGCTTGCGTTGTGTCCAATCCCAAACACTGCGGCGTGATTGCGTCAATAGGTCATTCCAGCACCGAATAAATCACACGCAAACCTGATCATGTCGTTGTCATTCGCGATAACTAGGTGTGGGTCGTATGCATGCATTGCCATGCACAACGGATGACTGTTCACGTGCAGGTTGGCCACAGGGCGATCCCATTTTGAGCTCTCTGCACAGCGTCGGCGTCGATTATCACATAGGGACATAGCACGCACCAGCAACTATTGACTGTCTCTGCGTCTCCGTAATGACTTGCTCATTACGCTGCTGCCTCCACACTTGGTAATTGTACTGCACGCTTCCTGGCTCGTCCGCCTCCGTTTGCTTCAAAAACAAATTAAGAGCACAATCAGTATCAAGTGTTTAGACCCCATAGATATTACGTCGCACGTACCCGCATCTGCGGCTCCGTAAAGTATTCACAACACCAAGCAAAGAACGAGCTTTTCAGGGGTAATACATCACGCAGTCCGTTACCGGTCCCACAGCCAAGCGGTACATTGCTGACATTCGAATCCATAGAGAACGTGCTCTCGCATGGACTGTTCAGGCCACCATTGGCACTACAACCTGCATGACCGTGTCCTGAGCCTGCAGGACGTCGTCCATGCGCTCCTTCCCGACGTCGTGCCCGCAAACGCACCATATCCTCCTCAACAAGTGCTTCCATCACATGTGAAGGTAGGAAGGTCGCAGTCCCTGCAGTTGGTGACACCGGAGGCGAAGCCAAGTCTCTTTCTTTATCCCGCGACGGCGTTGGCGGGCGTGAATAGGGTGAGGCATACTGTGCGATGTTGAAGTTGGGTGATGGGGGACGGGATGCAACGAGGATGTCAGAACGGGAGAGTGAGGATGGTACAGGGCTTGGCGGGGCGCGTGCCTCATCGCTGGTAGGGAAAGGGAATACCCCCTGCAAGATGACGCAGTGTGTTTGCAAAGGATGACGTGCGCCGTAGTGTATTTGATGGACGGGACAATGACGGTGAGGGTGGGTGTTGCATCAGCGGTGAGCCTTGTGCCGAGCTCACGCGCGAGTGCGTGCCGTTTGCACCAGCGGGTTTGTGATCGACGGGTAGTGGGGGAACGAGGTTAAGTTTCGCAAATGGTGATGCGAGGAGCAGCGCAAAAATGTAGTCCATTACTGTCTGCGCGAGTGTCGCGACCTCGTGGTATGGGTCAATTGTCAACTCCATGAGCACCACGAAAATTGTAAAAAAGCTTGAGAGCAACACTCGGTTTTCTTCCCTCGCACCTTCGTCATCGCCAAATCCGTCCAGCCATTCAGCGAGCGCCTGAGCTGTGACCTCCTCTTCCGCATGGTGATGGTGGGTATGTGGTTCGCCTGCGCGCCATCGCCGGTCCTCTTCCCAGTACATCCACGCGCAAACGACAAAGTGCCCGCGCCATTCGCGCACGAGGCAGCTTATAAGCACGAGTAGCTCCTTGCGCACCATCGGGCTTGCATCATCCCTTACAGCAAGAGTGGCTCCAGTTGCAACAGCCACTTCCATCCTGAAGTGTATGCGCTCTTCGAGCTGATACTGAGTCCCAGTCCCAGCGCCACCCTGACCTTTGCCCCCAGCCGCACCCATGAAAGTCGAAAGTGCATATAGGACTGCGCTTCTAACTTCAGGCGAGTCGTCAGACAGCATGAGGATGAGCTTGTCTTGAATCCCACGATCGACACCATATACTTTGACCTCATCATTGGAGTCCCATATTTGCGCAATACATAGCGCACTCCACTGCCTCAGCAAAAAGTCGCCCTCTTCCAGACGCTCGGAGCAAGCGTCGAATACCCTTTCGCGCCAACATGCCATCTGGCCATTATAGAAATCTCTTGCAACGGCACTGAGAATGAATGCGCACATGGCCTTGTGCTCGCTGCTGTTGGGCAGTTCGTTGTCTTCCTGCGTCGCTAGCACATTCGCAAAGTACTTGAATCCTCCGGTGTTGTATAGGTCAACTTGAACACTGGGATCTACTGCGAGGATGCGTGCCCATATGAAGATCAACACCGGGCGCAGGTCCTGGCCTGCAGCTTGCAGTAGCTTGGAGATATATGGGAAGATTCCAATAGTGAGTACAAGGTTGACGGCCCAGGGTCCGAGGTCCACAAATTGGGAGAGGAGAATCAGGGCCCGGAGTCTATGGGGCTGCGAGAGCAGCACTTGCAGGACGATGGGGAGCTGATCGGGGGGTTTACGCGGGACGAGATCAGCATCAGGGGAAGTGGTTCCGTTTACAACGTCAGGCGTGTCACAGCGATCCCCACCGTTCTGAAGAGGTAGTGACAAAGGACCCCGCTTTGTTAGTGCAGAACCACCGCGTGAAATCCACACCTCGAACGCAGTGAGCTGGTCGGTAAAGAAGCGGCTCGGGATATACTGGTAGGGTTTCTCGGTGTTCGGAGCACCAGAAGACCCACGCTGACTGATGTGTCCCGAGCGCGTGCCCGTGCCGATAATGGGACTTGGGGGACTGCTGGGCGCGCCTGGAGCCTTCGCGAGCAGTTCAGGCAGTTGGCGTAGACATGTGTCCAGGGCTAGATCCCACGCTGCCCAGAGTTGGTGAGTATTCGTGGCTGGAAGTGGAGGGTGTGTGTGTGGGGTGCAGTGGTAGTTCTTCATGATGCGCTCTGCGAGCAAGAAATTTCGGAAGAGACTTGCAATGAGGAGGTCAGAGCGGTACAGCCGCGTGAACACGTCCCGAGGGAATGTAGTCCACGCGATGGTATCTGTTATGGCGGTGAAAATCCAGTTGAGCTCCCCGAGAGGTGTCCGGCGGTCCTTGAGGTCTCCCGGTAGCTGCATGACCATGTCGGGTGTGATGTTATTTGGGAGATGATGGGTCATGATGAAGTATCGCAGCGCGATGTCAATAGGGGAAGTCAGACATGACGTGAAAACGTCTGCGGGCAGCTCCGGACATGTCGGAAGTTGCTCATGGGTAGCACATGCGGCGAGTTGAAGGGAGTTAATGTACGGCTGCATTCCGTCCGCGTAACCCCCACGGGTGGTGAACGCATCCTGATCCCGACGCTCAGCGAAGGTTATGAAGTTGGAGAGCAAGTGCCCGGCAGCACTGCAATCCCAGATATATACACCTGGGCTGCCGAGCCAAGTCTGGACTTCCATAAGCGAGACGGGAATGTATTGGGTGTAGTTCCGGTTGAAACACCAAAGCTCCCCGCTGGGGGTGGGCTTCGGAACGCCGTGACCATTGTAGTAAAAACAAACTGTTTCGTCTTTGGCTTGTTTACGAAGAGTGATACAGAAACGACGGAGGTCCTCGTAGGAGGGATCAAGGATGGGTTTGTAAGGGATCTTGAGACTCAGACCCTCAAACTGGTGCTGAAGGTTAGAGCCGATGGCTTCGAGAGCCTTATGAGATGGGAGGGAGTGAGGATTGACCCAGCACTCGAGCGCTGCGCAGGGATTAGTCTTTATGATATCTGGGGGGTCGACGTCGATGTTCAGACAGAGGACGAGAGCCGCATTTGCGGTCTTGAGCTTTCCGGGTGCACTTCCCCGCCATGGAAAGAGACGTGCCGAAGATGAACGAGGACTAGCATTACCACATGTGAGATGACGCTTTGCAGACCAGTATGGAATGATCGGAGTTGGGTCAGGCAATGTTGCATCTGATGCTGTTTGTAGTCCATGAGCACCATTCGTAGTGCGCGTCGACGATGGATCAGAAGTTGAGGGAGAGCCCCAAGCGCGTTCTGTGAGGATATCCGAGCCCATGTCTGAGCCCTGTCGCTCTCTGAACCCCAGGAGGTCTATACCTGCATCATGTAATGTAAATAAGAATGAAAATTAAAACAAACCTTGAACATTCCGACCGTTTTGCATGAAAGTACTAGTGAGTAATAGTTGGGTAGTAGTGGTACGTACTTCGTATGCTGTACTATCTTCGTCGACGAGCCCGATCACGAATTCGGTAGATTGGTGGACCTGTCCATGGACCTTACTCGTAGACCACTTTCCACGTGACATAAACCATTTCGGTCATGAAGAAGTCGGAACGCGTTCAGCAGACTTACACAAGACCGTTACTTTCATTCGTTTTATTTTCTGGATGGACCCGCCAGTGGGTGCGCTCGTCGAAGTTTCGGCGGGGCGTGGAATAGTGCGGTTTTCTGGCGCCACGTCTTTCTCGTCGGGCAAATGGATTGGTATTGAGCTTCATGAGCCCAAGGGTAAGAACGATGGCAGTCTGCAAGGCCTAACCTATTTCTCTTGCAAGCCAAACCATGGCGTATTTGTTCGTCCAAGCCAGGTCAAGGTAATTAATGCTGAGCCTGAACCGCAGCCTCCTGTGAGTCCATATAGTTGCTTTGCCAGAGCCACCCTGACCCTGGCGTTTGTTCATAGAAAACACAGGTCGCTCGGACAGTCATGAGTCATCAACGCACGCCTAGTACTGGCGTTTCGCGTGCAGCGTCGCTGCGTTCAAACGGCGCATCAGGGTCTTCTTCCCGGTCCTCCAGTCCCGTGAAGGCCACCCCTTCCGCCTCCACTTCTGCCTCTGCCGTAGCTAGCCCACGCACTTCCCGTCTCACAGCTCCCTCATCGCCTGCGAAGCGTATTCCCTCTTTAACTCTTAAACCTCGTAGATCCTTCCCCCGTCAACCATCCGCGGAATCCTCCGTTCCTCAGAGCCCCGCATTACAGACCCCTAAGATTGGGTCATCCTCCTCACAAGAGGCTCTCGTCCAGGTTCAGAGGACGTCCTCCCCATTAGCCTTACCACCACAAAATGCGGCTTTGGAGCCTCCACCACCACCCTCGCCTGTCGCACACACGTTTCTGCAGCCTCCCGCACCAATTGACTCTAGCCCATCTCTAAACGGTACGAAACTTGCACCGTCACCTTCCATCTCTCGTGTCCCCTCGCATGAGCCTACATCACCCATAACCGTGAGTTCACGCGCATATACCCTATATTCACTAATTTCAATCAAAAATACTAGCGTACCGAAGATTCTGCCATGCATGCGAAAATACGCGTACTCGAAGCTAAACGCGCTGATGATGCTCGACACATTCGAGAACTTGAAACTCGCCTCGCAGATGCAGAGTCCTTCGTTGCCCTGCGCCCCAAACTTCAAGCTAAACTACAATCTCTCCAGTCCGAACTTATTGCAACGAAGCGTGCATTAGCAGACGCAGAGCAACTTGCGAGTTTGGGCGAGACAAGGGGCGCGGATTCACAAGAGCAGCTGGAAATGGCGATGTTGGATAAGGAGGTTGCGGAGGAGAAGGCAGAATTAGCAGAACAGGAGTTGGAAGAGGTGAAGGAAAGGCTTGCTCATGTTGAAGTGGAGCTGGGTGTAATGAAGGAGGGTGGTGGTTAGTATAACGTGTCGGGTTTGGAACTTGGCTGATGAATTGTTTCTTGTAGCATTGGGCGAAGATGGTGATTCAAACACTAAAACATCACTCGCATATATCCAGCTTGAGAAACAGAATGAGCGATTAAAGGAGGCGCTTATACGGTACGTTCTGTCTGCTGTCTTCTTACAATGAATTCTTCATGATTTGTGCGTTGCAATAGCCTTCGCGACATGTCGCAGGAAACGGAACAGGAACAGCGCCGCCGCATAGCAGAGATGGAGAAAGACATTACAAGTATCGATGACCTGCAAGGCATGTCCCTTTAGTACCTATCATTCTAATCGTTATCATCCGCTACCCCCCCTTTCCTTTCCTCTTCCCTGGAACTTAATCTAACCTGACGTGCTGAATAGGCCAATACGAACAAACACTCATTAAGCTTTCCAATGCGGAAACGCAGATCTCGTCGCTACAACAACAACTTGACGATGCACTGGGAGCAGAAGATCTACTCGTGCAGCTTACAGAACGGAATTTATCGCTTTCGGAGGTGTGTATAGTCTCTTTGCCCTTCCCTCCTGGAGCGCCCTTTTTGTTTTAAATATATTGCGCGATGCTTTGTCATTTACACTTGTTCACCCTGCCCAGAAAATCGAAGAACAGCGCATCACAATCGAAGACCTTGAGGCCCTCAAGGAACTCACAGACGAACTCGAAGAGAACCACGTTCAAGTTGAGCGTGAGCTCCGAGACGAGATTTTAGAGCGCGAGAAGGACCTGAGAGAGGAGAAGGTCAGAGTCGGGTTACTTGAAGATATAGTGTCAGACGCGGACGGGACGATCGCGAGGTTTAGGGAAGTTGTTGCAGATATGCAAGGGTGGGTTTCCTATTGGTTTCTCTTGCTTCTTCAGTTGTTTGCCTTTGCGGGAATCATGCTGATCCACTCACCAGCGAACTTGACTTCATGCGTTCAGCGACGCAAACAGCGCAGCACGAGTCTGCTACGGCTGCGCACCAGACAGCAACGATGATGTCGCTGAATTTGAAACTCCAATCCTCGGCGGCTAAGAACCAGGCAAAGGCAGTAGATCTGGAGATCAAGAAGCTCGAGGCGAGGGAGAGGGGGGAATTGTTGGGAATTGTGCAGGTGGGCTTCATTTTCTGTTGTCTGGGACATCACTCTCCATTTATTATCTTTACTCTCTTCTCTTTCCGACTTTCCCGTTTATTTTCACCCCCTCCCCCGTTTCTCTCGTTAGTTGCATTTATTCCTCATCAAGAAACAGAAGCTGTCTGCAAGGCAATGCAAGGATAAACCCATGATTATGAAGCATTCTTGCCTTGCCGTGCCTTCGGTTCATTCGTCCCTCTCCTTTCGATTCTTCGTTCTTCTCCTATCCGTTATTTTCCCTTTACTCCCTTGGTTCCCTTGTTCTGATCCCTCATCGACTTGCACCTTCTCGTCGGTTAACTTCTCACTTTCCAGCCTTATCTACCTCAACAATACGTCGAGTCCGACAGTGACGCAACAAGTTGCTATCTCTTCTTCGCACGCCTAGGGTACAAAACCGACCTCATCAACACCATCGTAGGACTAGCCCATGGTCTACCTGACTCACTCAATGGTGTCGTCTCGGAAACGCTTGTTGGAATATGTGAAGTACGTTGCGTTTTCCAACTTTCAACAGCGGCGCTTGTAACATTTATTCACTAATAACAGATGCGCGGCCGTGCCGCATCCTTTTCCACGCTGTGCAAACGTTTCGCTAGTATCCTCAGGCGTTGCGACCCTACATCGTTCCTCAATATCGGGCGCATATACCCTGAGATCGCCCCGATGGAGAAAACGCATCGATCTGCACATTGATCTTCTTCGACGGGATGAATTTAGGGAGATGGAATTCGTCACTGACGTACTCAAGTGCGTTTAGTTTTCATTTCGATATCTCGTTACTCTCGTTTCCCTGCCATTTCATTTCGACGAACGGGACAACGCTTACTTATTACATAGGATGCTAGCCCAATTTGATCATCTGGCAGAGACTTATTTCGATGGATTCGAACAGGATCTGGGCGAGCGCGAACTCGGATATGCACTTTCGTTTGATCATGATCTCGATGCATTTGCGGCATCTATCGGACTCACGAAGACGTCTGTTGCTGTCATTCTCAATGACGAGGGTATGTGACACTGCTTCTCTGCCACAACATCGCTTACACAAATTACTCCATAGATGTTGTCCTCGACATGGGTGGTTATGATCCCGAGGAAGAGCTCATCGAGCCCTTGCAGAAGCTTTTGGAGCAGTGCAAGAGCGCCAAGGTGCTGTCCAAGTAAGGTGGTTTGTTGCGTTGTGGATATATGCTGAGCGGTTGGCAGGAAACTTACGAAGCGCCTCGACGAGGTTATCCAGGAGTCTTCGGCACTCAAGTCACATCTCGTTCCGCAGCTCAAGACTCTCAGCAATGCAGTTCCCGAGCTAGTCAACTTTGGTATCTCTGTTAGTGTTTTCGTGCCCCTTTTTGAGGATGATTGCTTATTTGTACAATTGTAGCTTGCCCAACAAGTAATTCCACATCTTAGCGATGCCCGTAGCGCCAAGGCTCCATTCCAGCTTGCAACAGTGTTGTCGTATGCCAAGCAAACTGCAATGACAACTGTCGCCAAGGACATGAAACCTGGGACCTCGTGCTTTGAGGCTGTTGGTGAAGCTATTGCTCAGCTATCGGCGGAGTGCAACAAGTTACTCCCTTTGGCAATGGAACCAGAGAGCGTATTCAAGAGTAGGCACCTTTCAATTCTAACATTCGTCGATATCATGCTGACGATGACCAAGTCTCCGGCACCCCCGCCATGGGTCCTAAGAATTGAGGAGATCAGAGCCAGCATGGCTATCAATGCTGAAGCCGAGCGCAAAGCTGCACAGCTGCAGGAAGAAATACAAGGACTTGTGCGGAGTCTCAAGACGAAGGACCAAACGATACAAGAGTCAGTAGTGAAGATAGAGCACATGGAGCGGCGCATGGAAGCGGCCAAGAAGCAAGCGGATACCATTGGAGATCTTGAGATTGAGCTCTCGAAAGCGCGCAAGCAGGAACGTGCGTACGAGGAGGCAATGGAACAACTGCAGGCAGACTTGGATACGTTCGAGCAAGACAACGCGAAACTGAAGGTGTTGGTTGCGGGTTCGGAGCGACAAGGTGTGTTTGTTTATATCGGGGTTAATTGAACGGTTCGATGACTTGCCGTGTTCAGCTGCTGGCGCACAACCTGTCGATTCAGAGAATGTCCCCATGGAGGGTAATGTGGAGACATCACACCTCCTGGAGCAGGTCTGTGCAGGTCCAGAGCTATCTTACTATTGTTGTTCTGACTCTCACGTAGATCGAGGCTCTTCGTGGCACCGTCCGTTTCTTGCGCACAGAAAACTCGTATCTCAAGGGGCAAGACCTGCTCAAGGAAATACAAGCACTACCACACCTTCCAGAACCTACCAGCCGTGTTCGTACACCTCCACTGGACCCCTCAGGTCATTCCGACACAGACGAATCCGACACCGAACTACCACCCGCTCCTCCTACCATTCGCTCGCTCGCCACAGAAACTAAGGTTCTCTACCGGGATGTCATCAAATTCTCTTCATCGCCTCGCGTTGTCGATTTATCCGCTCTTCATGCAAAGAGAGCAGAAAGCGATTGCAAAGGTGGGAAGATGTGGATGCGGAAGAAGGCTAGTCCTGCTCAGCAAGTCCTTGATCGGAAGATAGAGGCCGAGAGACTTAGCAGGCGTGTCAGAGGCCTGTTGGATCGTGCTAATGCGCTATGAGGGGTTTCATTAATACTTTGCTTCATTTTTTATGTTACTCTACAGCTTGATATTGGGTTGTATACCCTGCATGACTTTGCTATGCATTATGGGGAGGGGATAAGGTAATAAATATCATGTACATGAACGGTCGATATGAGCGTAAGGACTGATACCCCTTTACCCTTATATCAGCGCGCTACACGATATTCGGTTATATGGAAAGCCGGACAGTCGCGCTCTGTTACCACCCGTGACATGGGCCAAAAATGGTAGTCACAAGTTGAGGACTCCGTACACCTCTAAAGAGATTAATGCGATCGACGACTTGTAGGTTCCATAGTAAGTATAGCGGCTGTCCGGCTTTTTGTCCTGCAGTTACAGCGTCATATCGTGACGGCGCCGGCGCCAGCCCCCGACTCGCTTATTCCTGGCATGTTTTGTGTCCATCGAATTAAACGCAAATTAGTCTTTTTATTTTATTTTTGGTAAATGACTGCTAATCCCATGCGATTCTACTGTCAATGCATGATGTTCTTCGGTTTTTCAAGGCCTATCTTGAATAGTCATATACATAGCTAACCGTTTGGCACCAGAACAGATTAGAAATGTGCTCTCTTGTGGTGTGGGTTCGGAACCTGTCGATACGGACAATTCTTCGGAGGTTGGTCCAAGGTGGTTAACACAACAGAATCAAAATTTGTTTCTCTTGTACTGCGCAGGTTCGAAACTTGCCTAACAACAGGGTTTTTTTTCTATCGGAACACGCCTTGAAGATTCACTCATGGACAGTTCCTTGGAGGTTCATCTCAACTTCGTCCTCACCAAAGTGGTTACCACAACGGAATCAAAATCCGTTTCTCTTGGACTACGCAAGTTCGAAACCTGCCTAACGATAGGGTTTGTTTTCTATTGGAACACGCCTTGAAGATTCACTCACGGACAGTTCCTCGGAGGTTCATCTCAACTTCGTCCTCGCCAAAGCGGTTACCACAACGGAATCTAAATCCGTTTCTCTTGGACTACGCAGGTTCGAAACCTGCCGAACAACAGGGTTTTTTTTTCTATTGGAATACGCCCGATTCCTCGGAGCAACTTCGCCCTGACTGAAGTGGTTACTGCAACATAATCAGAATCTGTCTTTTGGACTGTACCAGTGCAGGTTCAAAACCTGCCAATGAGTTTTTTTCCCATCCGAACGCGCCTTGAAGATTCACTGATGAACAGTTCCTCAGAGGCTCATCTCAACTTCGCCCTCGCCAAAGTAGTTACTGGAACGGAATCGAAATCTATCTCTTGGACAGTGCAGGTTCAAAACCTGCCAATGAGTTTTTTCCATCCGAACACGCCTTGAAGATTCACTGATGAACAGTTCCTCAGAGGCTCATCTCAACATCGCCCTCGCCAAAGTGGTCACCTCAACGGAATCGAAATCTGTCTCTTGGACTGACACTACCACTGCAGGTTCAAAACCTGCAGACGAGGTTTTTTTCTCTCAGAACACGCCTTGAAGATTCAATGATGGACATTTCCTCGGACGTTCATTTCAACTTCGCCTGGCCAAAGTGGTTACTACAACATAATCGAAATATGTTTGTGTCGGACTTGCGCAAGCTCGAAACCTTCCGACAACAATTTTTTTTTCTATTAAAACACACTTTAACATTCACTCATGGATGGATTCCTCGGAGGATCCTAACCGATCTTAAGCAAGTGGTTACCACAACAGACTCAAAATCTGTTTTCTCTTGCAGCCGGCTCGAAACCTGCTGACAACATTTTTGCAGTGTATAGATCCTCAAGAGTTCCGTCTTAACTAGGCCCAGTCATTGCGCCGAAGCCTCCTTTTTATGTGATAGTCTGTCCATGAAATAGAATTCACCTTCACCCCTCGTGCGGATCGTCTCAGAGACATAATAATGTATATCCCTGAGATGTGTACGTGCCAACCTAGATTCTCGACGGACTAACCAAAACTGTCGGGATTCACCATCAAATGAAACATTGATGGAGCTGGAGGCCAGAAGAATGCATGCAAGCTAAGGACAGTGAGTCTGACGGTCAGGCAGATGATGTAACCTCCCCAGCCTCGCTGAACTCTCACCGATGAACACTCCTTCGATCGTTGGCTCTTCCAAAGCGACCGAGGATGATTCGGAAGCTAAAGGTGGGAGAATTGAAAGTGGCAGACCGAGCCATATCAGAATGATATGTGTACTAATTTGCATGCGCTCTTGTTTTGTGTTGATGCGGGGCGGGACATACTTTCGATTACCACAGCAAGACCCGGGCAGCTGGACGGAGATATCAATAGAGAGGTCAACGCGAAACTCGTTCATGCGAAGCAGGCTTAGATACGACGGACACAGCATCGCCTGCAAGTTGCTGATCCATTGTGACCAACAAGACAGGAGGGACCAAAGCCAATGGCGAAGACAGAGCAGAAGACGAGGACGCGGCCATGTGATGAGGTGAACAACGACGGAAGGCAAGAAAGCCCCTCGAGAAAACAAGCATTATGCTCAAAACGGAACCAAATTTGCTGACTCGGATGACTCGGAGGTGCACGAAGTCCTCTTACCTATTACGGACGCGTGACACTGACTAAGGGAGCGCGGCTGTCTGGCTTTCCATACGGTTATGATTACGGCGGAAAGCTCGCCACGCTAAGCTTCAGAGTTTGTTTGTATCAGTTAGGTTCTAAGGCCTTTCGCCAAATAACAAAAATAACTATCATATGCAACTCATCAGACATCCATTTAATCGTCGATCCTGATTCCTCCAGCTAACATGGCTGATGAATTCGATCTCGAAGCACTCGTGCACTTGGAACAGACGTTGGCTTCATTATTTTATTATAATTGACAGATCCCTCTGAAGAGCAAGTCTCAGGTTCTACGACGCCGGGTATACCGACGGCTTTGCCCATGGACGTATCCATGGGCTAATCGAAGGTCGAGCTCTCGGGCGAGAGAAGGGCTTCGAAACATGGGAAGAGATCGGATTTTACGAGGGCTTTGCTACCACTTGGCAAGCGATATATGCAAAACATGGACACAATGACCAGTATGTTGTCAGATACACTCGAGCTCTGCATCATGATGACCTTTTGAATTATTGTAGACGTGCGGTACACCATATCAAGCATCTACTTGATCTTATATCACAGTTCCCACAAGTAAATCCGTCTAGCGCTGCAATAGCGTCTGGCACCACGGAAGAGATTGATATTTCGAAAACTGCAGCGCCAGATTCGATCGCGATACAAGGCGCTGTGCGCATCGCTCGGCGTAAAGCCTACCTTGAGGGCGGTCGATGTCGAATCCACTGAGGACGGTGGTGTTCAAAGTGCGGATCAGCAGAAACAAGTGTGGAAATTAGAAGAAGATGCGAAAAGACCGACGATGCAAGGACTAAGTTTTTGAAGAGGACTCTAGGATGTCACCCAGGGTCACGCTTTCGCGCGCGAGAACACTTACATGTGGATATCCATCCCAAGGCAAGTCCACCTTACAGTCGAACCTCAAATTTTCCCTTATTCTTGCCAGATCACAGATGACAGCAGTAAATCGTATTAAGAGCTTGGAAATGTATCCAGTAGGCATAGGTAATACAGTGGAGGCGGATTAAACGCTCGGATCTTTGTCCGAGTAGTCATACTAGGTACTCGAGATAGCTGATACATGGGCAGGCGATAGCGATAAACATTTTTGTTATACAGTGGTGTCCTTCGAGTACGCAGAATCAAGAAAGTGTCGCGTGAGTGGCATCACGTCAATGCGAGCAGCACGCGCCGTTCGTGCCGTTGGCGCCGTTCGCTCCATTGAAGGCTGGCTTGCTCATCGGGTCGTTGGTTCCTGGAACATCCATGCTCGGGTTCTTCGTGAAGAAATTGTTAGGTTTGAACAACAAATTAACGTGCTCAACTGGCATGCTAAAGGAGGGTTAGGCGGCTGGGCTCTTCTATGCAAACAAGTGGTACTCACACAGGCCAATCCTCAGGACGAGGAATGTGAGTCGTGCCTACGAAAAAGAGGTAGGAATGTCGTTCATCCGATGACCAAAGAATGTGAGCGAGGGTACAACGCACCGACAGTGAGGTAGAGCACGATGTCCTCGTTCTCGATGCTTCCGTTTCCATCTTTGACCCATCTGCCAACAGAGTCCTCAGGCTCCTCACGAGTCTGTGGGACGTACTTTCCACTTGGCCACATCCTGCCACCATCTACACCCTCTTATCTCTTACAACCCACAACGTCTTGTGAGCAAATGAAGCACGACGAGCAACCCAGGAGTCAGTATGCGCCATAAGTGGAAGCACACCTCCCTTCATCATGATAGCATAACTTGCGGCCTTGCCCGATGATTCATGCGTCCTCGCTCCGTTCGTGATGCGCCAGCGACGTTCACGAGCCCAGTCGAAGTCGCGCGCGCCGTCCTTGCACTTGAGACTTGAGCACCTTGTCCTTCACAACGAAACCGTTGCCTGCGAAGTTCTCTTTTGAGCCAGTGGGGGCACTGAGAGGGACAATGTCGGACTCGACGACGGAGTTGTAGAGACCATCGATCATCGGGTCGACTCGAACGGAGAACAGGTGCTGGTGGTTGTGTGCGTTGATGTTCGGAGCAATAGTCGTACCGTAAGGATTTGGTTCGTCTTGGCCAGCAACATACACCTGAAGAATTCCGGTAAGACGGATCTCAACTTCAATGTTACCGTCTTGGTAGAAATGATAGTTCCAGATGTATTCTGATGATAATGGGAACCTTAGCCGCCACGAGCCAGACTTGTGTCTGGGTCAACGTACCGTAGTTTGCAAGCGTGCAGACCATGCTGACGACAAGACGCCTGCTGCGAACTGTCTGATGACGGCCACCGGGACGATAGTCAGTGTGCTTCCAAAGAACACCAAGCATCCTCTTCGTGAATACATATCGCATTCTTGATGATAAATGGAGTCCCAGAATGTGTGACATACGTGCCAGGCTGGAGGAGGATCGGTAAGACATCATCGCACAGAATGACAGTCGTGGATACGTACGAGGTAGTGAATTTGTCCGAGACAATCACAGCCTAAGGAAAGCTCGTTTGCCATCGTTCCCATGCCATATTCACCACTGGAATAACTTGAGACACCCATCGACAATTATTCGGGAGATTACTCACCTGTCAAAGGCGAATTTGCGAGGATGAGGGAATTCCGGTGCGCCATATGGAACGACCATCTCTGCAAGCGACAGACGATACATAACAGGACGAATTTCGCCATCGTCGTTGTATGTAATTGTCGAGAGCGCGATACCCTCGCGATGGCTGAATCCTGCATGAATGTCATTTTGGATGAACAACAAGGCTGAGTATTGCAAATGACTAACCAATGTGCATTTTCCACTTTGCCACTCAAGCACATTGCCATCCATTGTAAATGACACGCCCTCAGGCTGGAGGACGTGAAGAGGCTTGATATCATCACGAGGCTTGTGAGCCGGGTCCGACTGGAGGAGATCCGGTAGGAAATCAAAGGACTTGACAGGAGGTGGAATGCGCTCTCGTTTTGATTCGGTGAAAGAGTCTTCGGACAATGGACACGGTTCTGTACTCGAGACACTCAACTCTGCAGAACCGTCCTTGGCCCTCTTGTAGGTCGGTGGGAAGTCAATCTGGACAACCTTCTCCGCGAGAGAGTCGATAACTACGACAAAGTCCTGTAGTCACATATCTTAAGTCGACAGATTCAGCAAGTAAATGAAAGAACCAACCAAGGGGTGGGCATAAAGGTTCTCATGCTCAGAGTAACGAGCGAAGACGAAAGCTTGTTGCAAGCGAGTATGTTTCGGGAAGCGGTCATCATAGCCGATGGCCCAACCGTCAGCGTAGATTTGTTCGGGTAGCACTCCTATGAGACAGTGAGCAGAATCCCCATGTCACGCCCAGTCGGCACTTACCAACTTCTTTCGCAAGGGCTTGAACTGTGGCATCTCTGCGCACAACGTGCTCACAGAAAGCGAGCTCCTCGGAGAAATCTGAGGTTCTGCGCCCTCTGCGACTAACCCGCATGTATCGACGTTCCACGTCCCATCTTCAAAAGACAGGATGGCGTTATATGTACCCCCTATATTACGATAGAGTTGTCGTGTGATCACGATTATTGTGCGAAACAACGAACCCGTTGACCACATCCAAGAACTATGTAATAGGCCGGTCGCCAGTTAGAACAATGGGTACAACGTTAATGCATTGTAATTATTACATACATCACTTTCGGCTTTCCTCACGATCGGAGTGGGCGCTTCGGGCTGACCGCCCGGTACAAGAGGGATTCCTAGTGCCGCCAGCACGGCCCTCTTCGGCGGGCGGGATAAGAGTGCAGGTGATGAAACGCACGGCCTTGATTGGTGTATTTGCGGTAGTGTAACGCCGGATCGCAAAGACACTGCATTGATCTAGAAGAGGGAATGAGGACTCGGACACGTTGAAGGCAGAAAGCCAATCAGTCATCGCTGACCTCATCTGGGGTCAAGGGGTCTAGGGGATGTTTAACTTCTTGGTCGGGGTTGGTGTCACGTTGTAGACCGTCGTAGCGGTAGCAGGAGAGGCGGAAGGAGCCATATAGCGATAAAACGGTCGGAGCACGGAAGTATTGGAGGCTGATAGGCTACTGGGGGTCGAAACGCTGCCCTTCTTATAGGTGGACAAAAAAACCTTGTAATTATTAGGTTATAAGGGCTTATCATAATATACGAGAGTAAATGGGCACGATGTAGCCTGCAGGGGGACCCTTTCAGAAAACGTGTCTGAGATAAGACTCATCACTGGAACATTCCTGATATGATAAGGCGAAGTGGTGGCGAGAGTGTGGGCAAGCGAATTCAGAGAAGGCGCGACACCGCGCTAAACCGGATTGAAACCGGATACCGAGAAACTTACCGAGCGTTATGAATTCGACTCCATCATAATGATGGAGCAGGAAAGATGACATCAAGCTTGTCAACTCAGTTGAGATAGCAAGCACAAGGACTGAACACTAATGTGACTTCGCCCGCTTCATTCATAATGTCAAGTTAAGAAGACACCGTTACGAGGTTCAATCAATATGAACTCGACGTGACTTGCGGCGGCTTGTCTCGGATAAGAGCAGGAACGGGCATAGGTCTCGTGAGTGGTGCAAAGATAGTGGATATCCTGAAGAAGAAGAACCCGGTCATGGTCCCAGAGAAGAATGAAGAGTATGTAGCACCCCATTTTCCCAATTGGTGACCTTGACCGTCTTGAATCACATGCGCGGTGAGAGACCGAGCTCGGGCGTGAGATGCCATGGGATTGATACCTTACAATAGCCAACATCTGGCGGTAAGAGGATCATCTCAAAGAAATGAAACCAAGTAAGGGCTCGCCGATACAAAGAGTACCACATTGTAGGTAGGCTCATTCTTACTTGCCTCAGAGGCGTAACTCTGAATCTACCAATGCCTCGAAAAATGGTGTCATGTGAGTGCCGTGAAATACGGGGGCCGTTCAATTACCCATCTTTACGCAACGCTAGACATTTTTACAGGATCCGGTCGAGGCCCCTTCAAGTTGAGGAAGAAGAGGGCGCCCAATGCCATCATCAGCCGGGTGAAATTTTGCCGCAAGAACCAGATAGCGCATGCAATCGCGGGGCTCCGGCAAGGGCGAAAACACAAACAGAGCAAAACGAGGAAACCAAGAGAAAACGAGAGACCACTGACGGTAAGGCGAATCGGCTAAACTGCGATGCCGAGAAAGAAAACACTGGCGAGAGGCAAATCCAGGGAGAGTCGCCCATACAACTTGAAGTCATAACCTGCATGTTGTTATCTTGAAACCTGTTGAGCAATAGTTTTCCGTCTATAGCGGAAGGTTTAAGTGGAGAATGTCTTCTATCTCCTCGATGAGTAACCTGAATCCAGGGCTTCCGAGTCGGCGCGCCGTGCTCGGCACATAAATAAGCCAGAATGTTACGCGAGTGCGGTATGTTTCTCGATGTGTGTTAGCTTGAAACTTGAAGACAAGTGTTTCAGACATCCACGTAAGTTTGGATCATTGAAAATTCAAAACATACGTAGATGCCTAATATGAAGCGAGGGACCCTATAGACGAGTCTTACTCGGCACCATTGACGGCAGCAGCTGGCGACGTCTCTGTTAGCGTATCTTTCGTCAAGAGTACTAGGCCATTTACCGTCGGATGACTGACGAAATCATCGCAGCCTTCAACGTACAGGCTTATGACAATCGTATGCATCGCTTCTCGTTTCCTTTTCTGTCTATATATCACATTTTCACATTTTCACGCTGTTAGCCTTTGTTTCCTCCTCCACCTCCCTTTCATTCTATCCTTTATCCTTTACCCTTCCTTCATCCCATTCGCGCTTTCAATTAATATTAACACACTCGCCGAACCCCATGTAACTTTCGTAGAGCCGATCGATCAATTCCCCTCAGTGATCAACGTTAAAGTCCGTCCAAAGCTTCTCGCATCACTCAAAGTCATCTAGCTACCAAAGTCTCGTCGTTGTCTATTCCCAACCCTTATTGCATTCCCCGTCGAACTCTCGCACAGCCTTACAGGTGTGTCTCACTTGAAGCTCTATATCGAGGGCGATAGTTATAGATGGAAAAAAAATGTAAGCATACGTCTCCTGGATCGAGGGTTGACCAGTTAATTCGGTGCCTTCACACTGCCATGATCATCTAAGTGGTGAGATTTGTGAGATTCTGCGTGATCGTTTGATGCACGCTCCTTGTGGCAGGATACACAGAAGTTGGATCGATTGTTTTTAGGAAGTCGACAATCATTGCTACATGTTGAATACGCGAACTGCATCTGAGATTTGTCTGAGATCGTATGTTATGCATGGACTTTGAAGCCAGTATCATTGTTGTCTACGTATCAAGCTGCAAGTGCGCGCTAAGCCTGTATTCAATAAGCAATTGGCAAGTGCCTACCCCACCGTGAGAAACATGATCCAAAGTAAGGAATTCTTGATTAAGTTGGTGAAAACAGAGCTGACAAGCGACATGCTATAGTCTGTTCCATCTTGTTTCCAAGTTCATCTTGACCGTCGCAGACGATGTCCAAGAAGGCTCCTTTGTCGTCGGAAATGGATTTCATTTCCAAAGATGATACAACACTGCTACATGGCGTCCAAGTCCAGTCTACAGAGTTCATTACCCAGGTCATAACATCTTCGGCTACTACTAACTCCTCGACTGGACTTTCATCCACATGCGACCTTGTACCTTCGGAGGGGAGCCAAAAGAAGAAGAAGAAGAAGAAATCAAAGAAGCCAAAGACACATGAAACTAGTGATCTTCCGGTAAAATTACGGGCAGCTCCTTCACCTGACTTCGAGCGCGCTTCTGTGCTCTGCATCAGTAGAAACAAGCATTGGAAATATATCAGCTCTTACCACGTAATTGTACTATCTACCTCTCTCAGGCGTCCGAACTGATCCTCCGCGTACTATACCAGGGCCCGTGGCTGCAACTTCCGTTGGAGTTGCTGGAATCGTTACTCGTCCTCAATCTTGACCCTGCTACCTTGTCTTCGGCGGAAACGCAGCTACCTGCTCTTACTTATTCGTCTCAAGCTTCACTTGGAGGCATTCAGTCACGACCGACACCACGTCCCCGCGACCGCGACCGCATACTGTATTCACTCAAGGATAATACCCCTCCGGAATCACCTGGTAACACTTTCACCACATTGCCGATGTCTTATACTCCGACCTCACAGTCAGTTGCGTTTCCCTTGCCCGCTCCGGGTAAAGCTACTCCGCCGCCCATTGACCCAGGCGTTTTCCGAAACGTTGCAACGATTCGGAGGCTCATCGATGAGGCTTCTGAGCTTTCCGTACGCGCATCTTCTGGTCTCTCAGCTGTTGCCCTTGGCTCTATGCGCACACCAAGTAATAGTGCCTGGGCTACGGCTCAAGGACTGGGCTTTGACGGCTCTAATAACGTCGGCGGAGGCAGGAATGTCGCTATGAGCGCAATGCGTGTGCATAGGCTCAGAGCTCTTGCTGTTCAGAAGCTTGCGGCCGCTTACAAGGCGGATGAGAATTGCCAGTAGCGTCATGGTAATGCAAGGAGGAAGCGTATTTGACGATATCGCTGAGAAAGTTCTCAAGCATGGTATGTCCAGGGGGCTCCCATCAACAGGTCTTTCATTGGGATGCCGTGCTAATACTGCGATTCACACAGATCCCAACGACGCTGATGCACGATATGTTCATTTCTTCCATGAAAAGATTCCCTCTCGGTTCGTGTAATGCCTATATAATTCTTTGCCTGACTTTTGAAATTCAGTTCCAATAGGCAACTTGCGGACTCCACATCAACGCAAGTGCTTGATGAGTTGATTGCAGTCCATCCTCAGCGACTGGAATATCATCGGACGCGTGGAATAGTTCACTGTTTCCGCGACGAGTATTCCTTGGCGACAAAAGACTTTACTCATGCCCTACGAGAGTCCCGCGCGGCGCGAAAAGCGCGTGCCGCACATCAGGATTTAATATCTTCCCGTGAGCTTAGGGGGAAAGCTGCTAAAAAGAAAAAGGGCTCCAATAAAATCTGGGGACAGGCGCCTCCTAGTGGTACTAGTGCCGCTGCGAATGGGACCAATGTCGAAGGAATCAATGGGGAACCGTTACTTTTACATCCTTCGGTTTTGCCAGATGCACCAGACCCTATCGAACCGCAGTTATTATTTTTGCGGGGGGCGGCACATTTGCAGCATGCCGTGTACCTCATCGAGTCCGCAGTATTGCGGCTCGAGGGCGTCAGCAAGGTCAATTCATCCCTTGATGGAGCTGAGATGCGCCTTTGCTACCTCTCTAACGGTCGTTACGGGGGAGTCGAGATGGGGAATCCTAATGGACCGCTGGGGCGCAGTGATGGCCCCAAAGCCCAGGCGTACCGGCAAGTTCTGGCTGATGACGGGTTTCGTGAAAACATTCACTCGCTCCTGAGGAAGAGCTTGCGTGATCATGAACGCTTCCTCTCTCATTTTGACACTCTAGAAGGTCCTGCGCCAATGCAAGCAGATCTGGCTAAAAGGGTGGAGGTTGCCTTCCTTTTAACTGAACTGGTCCGCCCAAATATTCATACGTCAACTGCCACTGGCCTTGCACATGTCGACTCTATCCTCCCGCCCATGTTCACCACCTACCATCCCTTACTCGTGGAGTCCCATTTCAGTATCCTTATTTGCCAACTTATGCTCGCCGAGTTACCCACTCTCCTCACCACTTTCTCGCGGACTGCAGTCGTTGTAGACGGGCTGGAGGGATACCCCGTGTTTCTACCTCCACGGTCGATGGCTCAAGCCGAGTTCATAGAGGTCCTCGAACGCCTTGCCAGTGGATGGATGCCGGGCATACAACCTCATTCATATGTACAAGGCAAGAAGGCGACAAACCGGCTTGTAATTGAGCCTCCACCGCCCCCCTCACCGCCTACGTCTTCAACCGATACCATATCCACTTCTTCTGCGGACGCAGAATCTTACCCTGCTTTCGCATCTGTTTCGAACACATGCCAAATTCCGTCGGGTTCCTCATTACCCACCAACGGACGAAATACCCCTTCTAGTGCATTCAGTGGCAGTCAGGAGGATCTTCTAGAGGCATTAGATTGTGCCAGAATTTTACTCGTCCCTGTAGCTGCAAGGCAAAAGGAACGTGCTGAGAAGGCAGCAGCGGAGAAAGTCAAAGCTGGGAACAAAAAGAAGCCGTTAAATTTCAACATACCGTTACACGGCCCACGAGTGGAAATCATCCTTGCGTGGTTTGCAGCCGTTCATCTTGTTGAGTTGGAGAGCGTTGCCTAATATCACACGGAGTCTTGGATTTGATGGAGAGACAGTTTATTTCTTGGTCAGGCACACGCCGTAGTCCGAGATGTGAACTCGATCTATCAATATGAAATGGATTCTCCTGGACGAGCGTAAAATTACAATGGTTGTATCACAAACGTTGGATCGCCCACAGTTGAGATGACACGCCACAGCATCGAGAAGAATGCATGTATACCGCACGACTAACACATCTCAGTGTTCCTTCTTTTCTTGAGCTGTGCTAAAATCGCGCAATTCCTGTCTCGCCTGCTTTATGAAATGATCGAGATAACTAAGTATCCACGGTGTGGCTAGAGCCGCGCAGGTCAGAACAGTGATAAGGAAACACACAGTAGGAAGGAGAGAAGCCGGTAGAACGCCAAAGTAGAGTTGTTCGAGAATGAGAATGAATGGAATCGCGTGAACAGCCGATGCATGGAAATCAGGTGTGGGTGTGCGTACGCCAGTATCAACGACTCGTATCCTGGCGTACTTGAGGCGAGTAGGGGATAATCCCGTGCGCGATAAATGCGGCTCAGTGATCGAAGCATCCTCTATCGCTGACTGGTGCGGTAGTCTAGACAAACGGGTTAAGATCGCCTCAGGACTGTGGATTTCTAGCAAAAAATCCGCGGGGGACTGTAATAGTGACGTATGGTTAACAACCGTGAATTGGACTTGGACCAGAATGAAAAAGCGTGCAACGTACGGAAGCAGGCCAGGATAGACGTAGTGTAAACTTCGAATAGGACATCCAGTTTTCATCATCGAGATCTAACGTTATCCAGAGTTCATGAAGGCATGAGAAGGGGTTCTCCGAATCAGTGCCTGTCTCTGACTCGCACACCTGCTGCAAAGGCGTGTCGAGCAGAGCGGGATCTACGTTCCAGTGTCCCTGGTTATTTTTGTAATTCAAAATTGGCCTGCACGCAGGACTGCGTCAATACACTAGGAACTGCTCCAAGCATCGTGTTCGAACTTACCAACTGTCAACCGTGGTGGATGAGAAGTCGACATTGCGTTCCTCGGCGGCAAGGAAGTTGATAATTTCCGTGTTGGCAATGACTTCCTGGCAAATGAACAGCACAATAAGGGGCAGGATAATGAAAGGGTGAAGCATGAGAACGAGTGTTACAATTCACGCTGGTTGGATGATTGCGGTCCCATTTAAGTATTTGCCTCCGCTCAAGTTGGACTGCGAGGATGGAATTAGAGACGGGATTACGAGACCCACTATCAACTCCGATTTTGATTCATGTATACGGCGCAATTGAAACGCGGAAATAAGGATGCATGCAAGGTATGACTACATATACAACTGAGGGGGAACAAGAAACCTGCTTTGGCTAGAGCTTTCAAAAACTATCATAATGGATTTATCGATAAGGATGTTAAGGTACGCAGATAGTGACTTGTAACAGGGAAGGCGGTGATGCTAGTTGAAGAATGAAAAATGTATAGTAGAAGAATGGAAACTGATTATCTGTGACTAAACCATGTGGATATGGCATGCGAAGGAACGCAGACAACACGAGGGCTGCATAAGAAGTATCAGGTATAGCCTATGAATTTCAATATTGCAATGTTCATGTAGAACTTACCATGTTAAATTGTGATTCGGGCAACGCCGGCGAAGAGATTGTTCATGGCGTCTTGGACTGCCCTGAACTTCGTCACACCACATCGCTCACTCTCGATGTGCTGGCACAACCCGCTCAGGGAGACAAAGTGGGCTTGACAGGTACTGAGAGGGCACCGATAGACTTTCTCCTGGTGGCGAGGGCTAGCCAAGTGACGGTTCAAGTCCATCAACGTCCGGAACTGGGTGTGACAAAGAACACATTCATAAGCCTGCCCGTTCCACGACTGCTCTGTCGCGATAAGCTTAACGTAGGCACGTTCGCCAGCGGTGATGAGCCGCGCTGGGTTGGTAATCAAGTTAGAGCGATCATTGGTGCGGACCCAGTTGTCAACGACGCGTCGGTTGACGCCTGATCGACATGAGCCAGATTCAAGATGGAGAATGAGGGCAGAATTATTGATGAATCCCAAGCCACATCCGTTGAAGGGGCAGATAGTGTCTTTAGAACGGTGTGTACTAGAGTTCAAGTGCTAGTTGATCTAGGTCAGGTTTTGCGTAGCTCCAAGAATAAACGAAGCTTACAGACTGAAGGTTGCTGGGAGACCGGAAAAGTCTTTTGCACTCAATACAGTACACGTCAGCGTGCTTCTGCCGGTTATGCTCGTGCAAGCCAAAGTCGTTCTTGAAGACTTTGTGACAAGAGCTACAGTAAGCATGCTCGCCTTCGTAATGATCCTGTAGGTCCGATGCAGAGTCAAAATGGTCGTCACAGTACTGGCAGTAATGGTGGTAGGGGCTCTGAACGTAATGTTCTTTGAGTCCTAGACTAGACCCAAAGTCGAGTTGACAACGACCGCATTCCCAGTGATTGGTGGAGTCCCGGACATGCTGGTGGTAAGCAGACCAGGAGTTGAAATAGCGGTTACAGCGATGACAATCAACCATATTCTGGATAGTTCTACTATAGAATTCTGAGCTGTTATAGGCGCGTTAAGGGTGCCTCCCAATTCTACACAAGAACTTATAACTGACTTTGTCGTTGTGACTTGTAATGACTCTTAATCGTCGTTGAGAAGGGCAAAGGGTCGACGCGACGAACTGCTGACATTTATATTAGTGGTGCACGGGGTCCTAGGCGCGTCGGTGTCAAACAAACGTCAATTTGGCCACCGCTAAACAGTTTGAGCTAAACGTTAAACTCAATCCGCTCGCCATGTACTCTGCTTCCGCACAAAAAGCCAAGAGACGCACGCACACGCGTCCAGAACTTACCGACGAACAAAAACAAGAGATAAAGGAGGCTTTCGAACTATTCGACACGGACAAGGATGGCTCACTGGACTATCACGAGCTCAAGGTCGCGATGCGTGCCCTCGGCTTCGACATGAAGAAAGCAGAGGTATTGAAGATATTACGAGACCATGACAAGAGCGGCCATGGTCTAATCGACTTTGAGGACTTTGCAAAAATCAGTTGAGTATTTCAATTGGATCAATTCTACTCAAGCGACGAGTCCGTGCCAGATCCCCAAAACGCGTCTTATGTTTACATTTTTGGGTCTTGACAAAACCGGATCTCACGCCTACAGCACCTTCAACTTCTCTCGTGATTGTGCGCCCATTTGCTAACGTTGTTTCCCTAGTGAGCGAACGGATCCTTGCGCGAGATCCGATGGATGAGATCCGCCGAGCTTTTCAATTATTCGATGATGATAACACAGGAAAGATCAGTCTACGGAATCTTCGACGTGTTGCAAAGGAAATTGGTGACCGATTGGAAGATGATGAATTGTGAGTAAAAACCCATTCATTCTCGTTTTGGGGCGCAAGGTCTACGAGAGGCACGTAGGCAGTTCATCCCAGTAACCCTTTTTCGTGCTCGTTACTACATCAGCTCCCTTCCTTTGCATTTCCGCCTTTTCTTTACCGCTGTTTGTCAAGTGACTTATTTTTTTCGTTCATGGAGTTCCAAATTTGCTCACCCCTTGTTCTTCCATTTCGCAGGCAAGCAATGATAGATGAATTTGACCTCGACCAGGATGGAGAGATCAACGAGCAAGAGTTTTTTGCCATCATGACAGATGATGCATAGCTCTCTTCCCTGATGGTATCATCTCTTCCTATTTTCTCGAGTTGCATACCGTTATACCGTCTCTCGCTGGTTATTATCTATTAACTCCCAATTGTTTAGTAATATATTGTGATCGTTCTCCGTACGGAACATCCACAAAATTTATCCTGTGAGTCATTTTCTGACCAACAAAGGCGCCCTCTTATTCGTAATATAAACAGCTGTGCTATGTTCATTAGAATCCCTCGTGTAATTGTACAGCCGCCGCTTGATATGTGATGCGCCGCTGAGTGACGTCTATTCTATGAATCCGGCCGCTGCCCACCGCGAATCACGATCGGGAGCCGTAAAGTCTTTAGGGAAGCCAAGGAGAAGCTAACAGGCTGCCGGACCGCACAGCTTCAATTGATGCAGATAAAACACATGCATTTGTTGTCCACTTGTGGCTACATAGCCTTGATCATACAAGATAGGGCCCTATAATTCCCCAAAGAAGACTAAAACAATAATAATAAAACCCGTAAAACGAATCTCCGAAATAAACACCCGAGGAGTAAAATACTTTACAACCATAACGTATGGCTACATACGCAGAGTGGTGTTAGGATACAACCGAGAATGATGAGAGGTAAATAAAAAATTTGTCCATGATAGTGCAAGCGATGAATGATAAAGATACAACGTGACGATGGAATGCAGGGATAAGATACAACAAGATTGGCATGGGGCATTGAATTTTAGTGGCAGCGTCGGCAGATGTCAAAATGACGCTTTGCGAGAATTGCATATCATCGGCGACATAGTGGGCATAGTCTTCTGAGGCGAACAAGACTGCTCTAAGGATAGAACAAGAGCTCCGGGTAACTGACAGGCGGGAACGTGTGGCGACGATAGAGAGGACACACTAGGCGTCGACATGGAGATGATGCGAAGGAGCGGGGCGAGGGTCATGAGAACGTAGGTGCTTTGACAGTGGCAAAGATATGGCAGTGAAAATCGTGAGCGAAATGACAGACATAAGCCGACCAGGACGACGAGCGGCGATGGGGGCACACCAGAGAGCATCTGGAGCCAGTCAATGCAAACAGGGGAAGAAAGTATAGAACAAGAAAATGAGAGTCGTCAATGAATTTCGAATGCGGGAGATGAGCTGAGATTGAGAGATAAAACAAGAGTCGTGCGAGAGTCGTAGAGCAAGAAAGAGAAAGGCTGGTCAAAATACAATGACGCAATGCCCAGACCTGGTGAAAAGCCGACTGCACCGCAGAAGAATATATCGAGAACGTGAGTCCTGCGCGTCCTGAATGCGAAACCAATGACGAACCTGAAGCCATCGTCGTAATCACGGTGGATGCAATTAAACGTCATCCACCATACCCATCCTCTCCATCAACTTAGGAAGATCCTTATGAACTTTCATGTGCTGGCCTAGGTTATCGTGCCGACTAAACTCCTTTCCACAACCAGGGTATGGACATCTATGCGCTGCCGTCGTTGATAAGAACGAGGGGATAGACGACGGAAAATTTTGACTTACGCTTTTCATTGGTGTGGATGCTCCTGATGTGTCGTTTCAGGTGCTCCCCTCTTGCAAAACACTTGCCACAACCGCTAATGTCGCACAAATAGATCCGACTTCCGAGGGGGTCACTGTAACCTCGGGCCCGACCGCTGCCGCCGGCATTATTCACGGTCGGCACACGGCGACCCCTCGATTTCTTCGTGAGGTTAGGGACTGGGACAGGAACAGGGAGGGACCGTGCGTTCTTGCGAGACTTTCCTACCTGAGATGATGAGCCTGGCGTCAAAGTGGAGGCAGCAATAAGAGGTGACTTCGCAGCACGCTTTGGTGCAGGCTGTGGGAGCGTTGAGCCATAGGGGTGGTACCGCGCCGAATTCCTGCCGGAAAAAGATCGAGAACGTAAGCTTCGCGTGTTCTTTGACGTTGTTCGCATGTGGGGTACGAAGTCGCCGTCTCCATCATCATCCTCTGCTTCTTCCGCCCCGTAATCATCGTCGTTGTCGTCAAGGCCAACTTCATCAACACCGTCTGCGTCTTCTTCTTCGTCCAAACTGAAATCATTGTCTCTTTCGACGAGGAAAGTCTCACCAAGCTGTCGCACGAAGCCCTGGGGCATGAAGTGACGCTTCCCTGAACTATGTCCATCATTGGAGCTGGACCCATGGTGATTAAAAGCTGCAATGTCCGGCTCGCCTTCAGCATCCTCATCCTCAGGTTCCGGTAGATCCGTGAATCCCATCACGGGTGATACCTCCGCAGGTCGCACAGTTCTCTGCTCCTGCAAACCCTGTGTCTGAACTCTCAAAGCCTGTCGTTGCTGTTCCTGTTCCTGACACGTGCGCTCACAATCGCTGACGATGGATGATCCAAGATATGCTTGTCTCGGAACAGGCGCAGGCAGCACAGGCACGCCCATCGACGACAACGAACTGCTTTGGCTTGGCATATAGCGCATCACTAGTTCCGAGATGCCAGTGTTGTGCTGCCCAATTGGGGATGAACCTGATGCTGAGGACGTCAGGTACAGCGGTCCAGACATCCGACGAGTACGCACCTGTCTCGAAAAGACCATCATAAATTGCCAAACTGTTGGGCGAGTTGGAAACATCGGCTGGCGGACTATAAGAAGCTACAAGGTCGGGAATGCTTTCCACTTTGATGTTCTGACGAGGCTGCTGGTAGCAGGCATGCGAAGTTGGAGGGACGGAAGCCGGGAAACCATGATAAGAACTTGTGGCCGCCTGCGGCTGGTATGCAGCGTCAAAATCCTGTGGGTAAGAGTGTGCATCGCTCTCCGCAGGATGGGTGAGATTAGCTGCAGGGGTAGGAGGAGAGCCATACAAGGAGTTGCTGTATTGCTGAGGATCCGCTTCCTGGGGCTGCGGTGGAGGACACAACGGTTGAAATTTTTTCGCTTCAGGTGAAAAAGTATACCCCATTGCGACTGACAAGGGCATGGGCAACGGCGCTGCGACAGGCTGCTTATACACTTCCGGGTTCTCGGCCACATACCCCGATAGGGTGAATGCCCGTGGAGCGTGAGGGAACAAGTATCCAGCGGCCACCAGGTCATCCGAGGTCATGATGTAGGGATAATAATCATCACTAGCAACATGCAATGTATCGTTCTCCATCGAATCGACGGGAGGCTCGGGAAGCGGGCTCTCGTTGGCTGATGAAGAAGAGAGCGGAGACTCAGCGGAAGCGGCCGAGCTGTCAGACGGGTATGGGCTATAGTCTGGGAGTGGCTGAGGAAGTGGCGACTGCTGTGCAAGGGAGTAATATGAATTGAAACGAAAAGAGGGGGAGAAATGGCCAAGACTAAGGCTAGAACTAGAATGCGAATGTGTGCGAGCGAAATACGGGGAGCTTGACATGTTGACAGCCGCCGAACGTCCAGACTGTTGTCGTGGGGCTGGCTGATGGGGGAAAGGATAAGGAGCAGAGTCGAAATAAGAGGGACGAATATTCGAGTCCATTTGCATTTTAAGGACAGAGTTGTAATACGGAAGATGCCTTGTCTGGAGTGAATATGAGCCCAGATTTATCTAGAGACACTAAAATAAGGGAAATGATTCGAGTTGGAAATTATTGGTCATACCAAGGACGGCAGATCACCAGGTTCGCGCACAAGGCAAGCTTAGCGGTCGCGTTCAGGTACCTTAAGCGGATGTGATCGTGTGGCTGTGAATGTAATTTACAATTGAGGGGGGAAAAGATCTGAGAATGGAACAATCGCGGGGAGCGCGTTGGTTAACGGCGGGACACCGGAAAAAGGCCTAGAAAGCTGTATAGAATGCGATCGAGGCTGTGGAGTAAACTGCTGCCAGAGTGCCACTGCCCTTCAAATGAGTCACGTCGTGTTCAAAGGTCGTGCGCGTGAGTGTTCGTGAAAATGATTCTGTCAGAAGCGATGGAGAACAATAAAGGCGTCAACTTCTGTCAATGAGTACCGCAGTTTCTGAGCGGCGATGAAGGTGAACTTGAAGGAGGGGACAGCCTACGAAACGAGAGCAGATGATAAACCAATGGCCAAGAATCTAGTACTGCAACCTTAGTACAGCCTTTGAAGAAACCTTGCACCGCCTAACGAACCTGGTAGTGATACGGAGTCAAGAGAACGAATTAACGAAACTCATTTGCGATCATAGAGAAGCCTTGCCTGTGTACTATTGTTGATTCTGCTTTACCGGATTGCCACTGGCAGTTCTTCGATAGGGATCTCTCGGGACCAGCTTTCCTTAATGGCTATCCTCTGGATGAGGTGCTTTTCAATTGAAAAGTATAGCCTATGGTCGTAGGTCGTAGCACGAGGCTACCGAACACTTTACGACAATCCTTGCTCTTTTGGAGAGCTAAGGTTCACAAGCACCAGCCGCAGGTCCGGGCAGCTGCCATCTAAGGCCTCAGATCTAAGGTTTGTGCGGCAACTCCGATTTAACAGCTGATCTCAAGCCGTGAACGTTCATCTACGTTATCATCATCATAACAGTTTCGCAAATCACACGAACGTTCTACCCTTTCGGTCCTCTCGAATAGCATCTCCACGTCGGAGTATTCTTTATTTTGCACAGGTAGGGATCCCATGCGCTGCCTTCTATACTCACAGAGATTTCGTTAGTTTAGGTACATAGTTGTGCCTAGGCTACCTTCTTTGATCTATCTGGCGTCTACGCCAGTCATTTCCCAACGCGAGGCACTCGGCTCCCTGCAGCCTGATATTTTACTCCTCCCTGCAGCATGAAACCTCTTTACGGTAGCTACTAATCAGTCCGTTACTCAGGAAAGGCTTCCGCTCCATCCTGTCACCGCATGTCAGTCGCGCCAGGGGTGGCAGAGCGACGTAAATCAAGAATTCCTCGAGAAGGTCCCTGAGAGTATCACCTCGCTCTTTCATATCTATGGATCGGAAATCCACTCCCGCAGGTCCCCACACCAACAGTGCTACTTGCCTTCTAAATTCATACTGCGTTGCCGTAGACCCTTTTCCAATCACGCACTTCTTAATCACCCCCAGCCACCCTGATTGCGGTGTGTATCGTTTATTTATTGGCTTCTGCGGAAAATTAGACCAGAATCTATTCATGGCACTTGACATGAGCGACTACCTCCCTGGGAATCACACTCGTATCGCGCCGCATATCGATTTTAATCGATTGCTTCATTTATGAAGAGGTCGGTTGGCAGGCGTGTGCACGCCATTGTGATCCTGGGTGGAGACTTGCCAAGAATCAACAATGCCGCTCAACCTTCCTTTTTGCGGTTGATACTCGAACCTAAAGCGCCTGTTCTATCTCCATAGAGCAGGGTATTATGGAAATGCCCGCCGGACAGCTGAATTCGGCAAATCACTTTCTGACTGGCCATTCAGGCGGGAGCGAGTGTGCACGGGACGTAAGTGAGCAAGGCCCCATCAGATAGTCATAAAATTAATTAAAAATCGAATGAGCATACACTTGATCTAGAGCGACAGTCGGTAACTTTCATTTTTAATACACCAAAGATCAGTAATAGAAGGCCCTGGTTTTGTCTGCGGATGTGATGATTCATCTACGCGGTCTAAGCACCGCAGCTGTCTAACGCTTGCCCAACATAGTCTCGCCCGATTCAACGGGCTATGAGTGATGGAACTATAGTTGGGACGGAGCGCCACGTACGATGATTAAGCGGAAACCTGTGTGAACGGACAGGGAATTAGCATTGTCGAATGGAACTGGAACTGGAACTGGAGACCGGACGAACCATGCTAATCCAATAGCTAGCCTTGCTGGATTTGTGCCAGTGGCAAGCATGAGTATGCCGTGCGGTGACTGATCCAAGGGTGATGTCGCAATAATCCCTGGATCCAGAAAGTAGCTTAGGTGCCGATTTATTGCGAAATTGACGTGACCGTCGTCAGTGTTTGCTGCGTGTCCTGACGCGTCTCAAATTCAATTACAACCAATTACAACTTGATTATCGAGATGAATTTCAAAGCAGCGAAGGCAATTCTTGGGAATCACCAAATACAGAAACCTGCTATGTTGAGTCAGCGCAACATGAGCGCCCGAACAGCAAATAGGCTCCCCAAACTTACCAATATATTCCAAAAACACAAAATCGCCGTATTGCCATTAGGCAAGTCGACACGTTCTTCGGAACATTATGAAAACTTTGCGGAATGACTCGGAGGAAACAAGGCGATACCGAAGCGCAGGACTTCACAATCAGTCGGCATGTCCCGACGATGTGACTGCTTTGAGAATTGCTACATTAGCTGCTTAGCAAATGTATACATTAGTAGTGTGTGGACATGGAACAACGGAGAACATACGCAACGATTCTAGCGAGTGTTCGTGCATAGCCTCGAAGAGATAACCTTATCGTGAAGCGCGTATTCCCTGCAAGCAGGCAACGTCACTGTGGACCTCGAGATGAGTTAATGGTTTATGGCCTCAGTGCATAGTAGCAGATGACGCTCCATCGTCCATGGGAAGGTTGACACATCCCATCAGTCGATGCCGCGGATGTGCGGAAAGCAACAGGCTGTTCATTTGTAGAGACCAAGACACGATGTTTAGGTTGGATCCGGCCAGTGGGGCTATCATGATGGATGAGAACGTTATTAATAGCAAAAAAAAAAACAAGGAGGACGGCGATTTAAAGAACCAAGGAAGTAAGCACCGGTAAGTGAACGGAAAGTGTTTCGACAATGTCGTTTCCTTGGATAACCCGTGGTGGACGCAAGTGCGGAAATTGGGAATAAATACATAGCCTGGGGATTAGGCCGCGTCAACAACACTATCAGTACACAGCACGTACATTCTTGAACATACAATCTAGGTCAAGATTATCCGAACCAAAGCTACGAAGGGGCATGCCAAACGAAGCTGGTAGCTGCCACATGACGGTAAAGGCACATTATTACTCCAGTTCGGCTACTGCTGAGACAAGGCAGTAAATAGAGGGTGGATCTTGTGGAGGCGTCGACAGGTGTTCCAAGTGCCCACCAGTGGTCCCGATATACAAGCTGCAGTAGAGCCGAGGATGCCTATATTGGTAAATGTGGTAAGAACTTGATGGGAGCTAACACTGAGTACCCTCAGGTACCCTCCCGGTACATTTGCATTAGCATGGAGATCACTGAACTGAAAGCAGAGTTTACGCAGAGCAATAGTCTAGCATAGACGTTAACAGCGTCGTCCGCTGTGCACCGTGATCATGACGGCTCCGGACCATGATACTGGTGGTCCATGGACCATGACGGTTGAACACGTGGGTAGGGTTCGATCGTGTGAACGGGGTAGTTTGGCAAAAAAACAACGAAGGACCCCTGTCCGAAATCCCCTGCGCCAGAGTTCGCCCGCAAGGAAATTTTGTTGGTTTGAAAACACAGTTCAACGCTGTTCTATACCGTAGAATTAGTCTGTAGCAGCATTGGATAAATCTTTGTCGAAGAGGTGAGCAGTCGTCGTTTCCGAAAAGCCCCTTGTTCTCATTCTCCCATCAGGCGTCGTAAAAACGATGGAAAGCCCTGAATCTCAATTCAACCAATCTCCTGGAGCTCTACCAGCACCTTTAGAAGATGACGACACCCTAGTAGACCTTAATCAAACTAATAATTCGGTCAGTATCTTTTTTTGCTTTATATTCCGTTATAATATTTACCAGGGTAACGCCACTCTTTACATTCCATTACAATCCCTTGCAGGACTCTCTACATCTTTCAACCGATTCAAACCCAAATTCTCGAAGAGTAACGCGTTCCCAAACAACAGGTCGTCCAACCGTTCGTTGGGGAAAGCACGGCAGAGGTGACCCCCCAGATACGCCATACAGAGGATCTAGTGCTTCTCTCAAACGATCCTTCGACGCGCGGGCAGTCGACGACGAAACTGACGTCGAGGCGGATCAAGACCTAACTTACGTGCCATCGAAGCTTCTCAAGATGGAACCTACCGTGTTGATCCCGGAGTCGTCTCCCGGTTCAATGGTTGAGGATACCCCTCAGTTAAAGGAAGCCACGCCTCCATTCGAACCCAGTGGCACCCCAATACCCGGGGAATACACTTTCCTTGACGCTTCCTCTTCCTCATTTACTTCTGAGCGTCGTGGACCGAGGATACGCACGGCCCCCCCTATTCCCGTTCCGAACCTGACAAAAAAGAGTCGCGGTCGCCGCGTCCCTACCGCCGGCGACGATGCCGCAGTAGAAGGAGAAGCAGCTGAGGGACGTAAGGGACGCGTTTATGTCTGTAAAGTGGAAGACTGCGGAAAGTGCTTTAGCCGTGGAGAGCATCTCAAACGGCACATCCGATCTATCCATACACATGAAAAACGTGAGCCTCTTTGTTGCATCATCACCTCTCCGGACTTTGTTAATAATATCCGTCACGATCAGCGTTCGACTGCCCTCACCCCACGTGCGACAAACGTTTCAATCGGAATGATAATTTACTTCAACATCTACGTGTCCACAAGGGTGACAATTCTTCTCAGACCTCTGTCGATTCCGCACATCCAGCTACCACCGCAGAATCTGCTCCTGATGATGACGGTTCCCCGGCAGCGGCTCAGCGCTCCTCCTCATCTAAGGCGAGCAGCACCCGCAGAACAGTCCGCCCAGCACGCAAGACTAAATCGGCTGCGTCTACCCCACCAATCCATCCGGCACGTATTGCTGCTTCACGAGCGGCGAGCCGAAATGCTCCTCTGACTCTTCCACGCACCTACTCTCTTCCTCCGCTCACCTCTTTAGCATCTGCCTATCACAGCCCCGCTGCCGCGGGCTTCATGAACAATACCAACATCGCGGTCTCCTCCCTCAGGACTGTCGTGGGTGAGGAGGCTGAGGAGACAGATCACGAACAGGAGGAAACAGAAGTTTCTGAGGACGAGGGTCACCATCGTCAGACAACACACAGTCTCAGCGACCTCCGCTCGATGTACAACTTCCGTAACGCTTTCAGTTCCGCTCCCATGGTGCCTAGGAAAGACATGGCACGCGGTAACAGTGTACCTGCTGATGAACACCTAGACAGCGCACCTGTCTCCGCGGGACCCGGACCGTCTTCTAGTCCTTCGCCTTCATCCATGTCCCACGAAGGTCCTGACGAAGCCCGCAAGCCAACTCCGCATTCTCTGTCAACCGGGGAGCCTAAATCCAACGACAACTGTTGATATTCCTGCGTCCTCGTCCAATAAATCGTCGCTGTGGATATACGTCGATTGCCTCATATGTTGATCATTCTCATCAGTCGTTGTCTTGTATGTGTCTTTCGTGTCGCCTGACTTTCATTGATGCTTTGCATTTACAAAATCAATTTAATATTGATCTCCTATCGTGTCTTCCTTTATTTTCTTTGTCGTTAAAACTTGTCTTTGCGTTTTTGTCCGCGTTCGATTGAAGCAGTTCTTGATTTCCTCTTCTATGCCCTCTGGATCCGCTTGGCTTCGTATACTTAGTTATCTGGTCTCTATAGCCCTAATTGCAGGTACGGTTCGCCTGCCTTGTCTTGGTCGTGTTCTTTTTGCGATACCTGGATGGTTGTAGTACAAATTGTTTGGACAACGCTATAGTTTGGATACAAGATGACCAGGTAGTCCACTGTGATGAGTATATCGATTGCAAGAGAGAAATATGTGTGTGCGAGTAGCGAGCATCATATTGATATCGTACAGTTCCATATATATGCTTCCGATAGCGAATGATCAAATAGTGACCGTTTCAGACATGTGAATGGACTTCAAGCCCACGCAATGATATCCTGCTCCGTGGGACCAGTGGGAACATCGGACGCGGCGAGGTTGCACTGATGGAATGCGCGAACTTGATCGGGCTTGAAAGCACCGACGACGGTGTGAAGCAAACCGCGGTTGTGGAACAAGACGAGATCGCGTTCCTTCCAATCATGCGGATACACCAACTAGGCAAAGTTATGTCAGTTCATATAGAGAAAGAGCAAGCAAAAATAATACCCCGGGGGCAATACCGGGCCGCTGCATCAAGTGCAGAAGTTCGCGAACCTTCCCAAGGTCCTTGATATGTTCTCCATCGGGGTATAAAGCACCCTCACGGGAAGCGCCAAGTGGTAAGGGTTTTACGATAAGTTCTTGAGCACCGCAAGGATGCACTTGGAAGTGTAGTTCGCCTGTGACAGGGTTCTTCCAAAGCTACGTATGCTCAGCTTTTTGAAACTCATGTCCGCGGAATGGAAGTAGGACGTACAATAGGCAGCGTTTTAATTTTTGATTGCTCCCACTCTGGAAGTTCATTCAGCGGCAATTCCAGGCCTTCGTTCACGATTCCCAGACCGTCCGACTTCGCACGAGCAGGCGCCATCCAGACGTAAGGATGGGGTGCGTACCGAACAGAGGTCCGAACGGCAAAACTCTTCAACTCAGGCGGCAGGATCTGGAACATCTTCTTTCCTGACACAAAAGCTGTGGTCCCCAAAGGCACAGATAGGGTTTTCTCCGGATGGATCATCGTCATCGCTATACCTAACAGTCTGCCTATCACCCTCAGGCACGGTGATGCCATAGAGGGTAGTCGCACGAGGTGGATTGTAATCGTACAGCGCAGCATCGATGTGCCAGCGATAGAATCTAGTGAAGCCCAGGGCCTCGTTTCCAGCCGAGACATGGGTCTTGTGGAAAGTTGTATGCGAGGGGTGCTTGAGAGCAGCGGATTCAAGACCTTCATGGTTGTAGACCGTGCCGTTGCCGATGAGTTGAACTTGGGGCACCCGGGGAATCGTCTTAAGGTCTGGATGAAGGATAGACTTCTTGGTCGACTGGGTCTTGTTGTTGCCATGTCCGTATGATTCGGACTCGGGATCAAAAGCCTATATGAACCTGAGAACCCATTGAAAGCCATATCAACAAGTTTGCCCACCTTTGTTAAAGCATACTGTTGTTCCGGTGTCAGAGTAACATCTCTGAACAGTAGAATTCCATGCTGCAAAGTACATAAGTCGAGTGCATTTCACCGGATGAAGATCCGAGACCTACAGTGTACAAAGCTGTCTCGATCTCCCTAAATTGCTCAGGAGTTAGTTCGCCAGGGTTCACGCCCTTGACTTCCCGACCAAAATCGGTGTCAAAATCTGTACGACTGGCAGTGACGGGGAGGGTAATTGGTGCTAGTTTAATGGCCATGTTGCGTTCGGAATCAGATATGAGATGTAGAGTCAAGTCGAACAGAAAGAGTTGATCCGGCCTTATCTTGCCTTACAGACAAGTTGCCGGCCCGAACTTGTGCCGACGGACCTACTAGTAACAGTGGGATACATTTCTGTAAAAATCTGCGGGAAACTTGAAGGGCGGCCAAGGATTTAATTATTGAATATGTAGTAAACTGACGAACAAATTAGTATAGAGTTGTTTCTCTCATCGACAATGGACATCGACAATAAAATGGAAAGGTACGTCATACTGTGTCACAGCCGCGTCACGGCCGCGTCACGGCCGCGTCACGCCGCGTCACGGCCGCGTCACGGCAGGCGGACCGCGTCAAAATACCAAGGTGGTCTACCCCAGGCCTAGGCAAGTATAAAAGGTTGCCCACGTATTGTAGCTTGGTTCACCTTTGTCACTCGCAGTCATGGAAGAACCAGGAGTTAGACAAAGAAAGAAAGCAGCTACTGGGTCGTCGCATGGTCACGAAGTGCGCATTTGACAGTTGCTTTGGTCACTGACATCCTAATGACTTGCACCAATGCAGACGGGCAGTGATGCCAAGTCCGGCTCAGCATTTCCGAAAGTATATGTGTTATTAGCCGCTGTGTTGGTTTTGGCACTTTACAATGTCTGTATAAGATACTTTTAAACTTAGCGAATTCTACTTACCCATTACTAGTTTCTAGCTCTAGTAAAGAGACCGCTCAATCAGTTCCTCGGTGCACCTACCAGACATCTACCAGGAGTTCGAACAAATTATGTCCCCACCTTCACGGTGGACGAAGCAAAACAAGACGCAGTGGTAGAGGCCTTTAAAGTAAGAAAACGTGTATTTGCTCAGCCTGCCATGAACTAACACCTCACCTTAGCATGCGTGGCTTGCATACGGTAATGCGAAATCCATGTAATTATGGGCCAAATGACTGATTTCAGTAGAAAGAGATGCTATGGGTGACGACGAGTACCACCCAATCTCACACGCTGGCTCAAACTTAACTAAAGCAGGGGGTATTGGTATACCGTAGTAGACTCTATCGACACGATGATTATCATGGGGCTGGAGGACGAGTATCAGCGTGCAAGGGCATGGGTGGCAGACAAGCTCTCATTTGAACGGGATGGCAATTTGAACACCTTCGAGGTGAGCAGAAATATCTTCATAGCGCAATGGCGACTTGATGTGTTTTCGATCATCAGACAACAATTAGAGTCCTGGGAGGCTTACTGTCTGCATACCATTTGTCTGGGGAAGACCCTGTGTTTCTCGAGAAGGCCGAGGAACTCGGTAGCCGCATTCTACCCGCTTTTGAGACAGAGTCTGGTCTTCCATTATCACTAATCAATCTGGCGCTTCGAGAAGGCGTGCCAGATAAAGATAATAGTGGGTTTATCAGTACTGCCGAGGCTTCAACATTACAACTCGAATTCCGCTATCTGGCGTACCTTACCGACGAGGATACCTATTGGGAGAAGCCTGAAAAGGTGAGTATCTTGCTTAGGGTTCTGCGCTAGATCCTACATTGTCTCAGGTAATGGCCGTCCTGAGGGCAAGCGAAACGCCAAGCGGGCTAGCCTCCATCTTTGTTGAGTATGTCTTGAATTCATAAAATCGCCAAGCATACAGCTTATATGCCAGCTCGAAAATGGGTCGCTACCAAACTTCGTCGATTCGACTCGGATCTCGCGGGGATTCTTACTATGAATATCTACTGTGAGTGAACATAATGTAAGTTTAACGTGCTCTTATCTTTGAGTCACAGGAACAATACTTGCAAACTGTAAGCATAGTATACAGGAAATATTGATGTCGGAAAGTCTGATAATTCCCTTAGAACCAAACAGAGCTTGTATATCGCGAGGTATATTTGACAGTCTGATTCAAACATCATTCATTATACGTTTTAGATGTACGACACAGCGATGACAGGTATCCACACACACCTGGTACAGCGGGGGCTTTCCGGCCAGCTTCTCTATACCGCTGAGCTTAACCCGCAGCGAACCCAAAATGGGGAAATGTTAATTATATCTCGTTCTTCAATGACAATTGCCCTAACGTGATCGATAGCGGATGGCGTTTGGTCCCCAAGCAAGACCATCTCGTGTGCTTCCTTGGCGGTTCCCTTATGCTCGGTGCCACAACGTCCGGTGCCCTTGTTCACAATGTCTCGATTCCACCGCGAACCGACGAACTCACCGAACAAGGCGAACGTGATTGGCTTACAGGAGTAGAACTCATTAACACCTGTATGGCCACACATGACACCCAAACGTATGTTTCGATGTACCTTGGTAGTGTTTACATGTGCACTGAACATGGCAATCAGCGGCCTGGCGCCTGAAATTGCGCACTTCCGTATTCTGGGCGATGGGGTGGATAATTCAGTGGCTCCTGCGGACTGGTACATCAAAGGCGCGCGGTATGTTTACTCACTTGTCACATCGAGTCGCACGCTGACTTGCTTGTGAATTACCAGCCCAAACGCCCCTCCTCCCTTTGATGCCCGGTACATCCTCCGGTATGTTTGGTTCTGTTCCGTCGTTCATTCTTGAGGGATTCAACTTGTACTGCAGCCCGGAAACTGTCGAATCCATCTTCATTGCCTTCAGGCTCACCGGTGATCCCAAGTATCGCGATTACGGCTGGGCGATATTTCAGGCCATCGAAAAGCATTGCCGCATCCCAACAGGCGGGTACGCGAGCGTGATAAATGTGGATCAAGTTCCTGTGGAGTATGACGATAAAATGGAGACTTTCTTGATGGTGTGTGGCTCCCCGCCCTTCCCACATGATCGTGGCTGACTCAGTTTTCTTGTCAGAGCGAAACATTAAAGTATCTGTATCTACTCTTTGCGGATTCAAGTGTGCTTCCTCTAAATGGCGAGTCCCTTGTTCAATTGACAAGACGTAGCTCATGTATCACATTGTTTCACAGAATATGTCTTCAACACGGAGGTAAGCCTGAAACATACATCTGTCATTCCGCATATACTCAAATTTGGACAGGGGCATCCTTTGCCCGTATTTAATCCAACTATACGCACCGGCTTTTCGTAATTGTTCGCGCTGTGCTATCGTCAGATTGTCTGAGTTTAATATTATTGGCCGACTGGTGTATCTAGCTGCTTGCAGTCGCATCGACACATACTTGGGCAATTTCGGCTACACCATTTGTAGCAGTTGCACCACCAACAACACCGGCGCACTCGAAACACCGGCGGTATCCAACACCAATCAATATATTAATTGTCAAAGTCCAAATAAACCATCCAGTTCAGTAAGTAGAATTATAACGAGGACCAAGACAATATGACGTGGATCTCGAAGATGTAACGTGAGTTCGTAATGAATGAAAGTAGGAATGATTTAAGTCGTCATGGGTGTGGTATGATGTGGTGTGGTACTGATCAAATGTCAAACACAATAGCAGAATCTAAAGGGTCAAAGCAGCAGCCTGAGCATACGACAGGCCTTTGCAAGCGGGTGATTCCGGGGCAAGCGAGATGAACTCCCAAGGCTCATTGATCTCAATGTCATGTCCAAAGTCATCAAGAGCAATGACCGAACGGACAGGCGGGAGGACCTCGAAGTCAGCATCTATATACAACTCCGAGTCAGTATTGTGATGAATGAAATCTGGCAGCACCGTACCTTGCGCCTTGGATGGCTTCTTGGTCTTGAACGTCACGAAATCCGCAAGCGCCATCATCGAGAAACCAGACTTGGTCCTCGTCACTGGTGCAACATTAACGGGGCGCCCCGATCCAATGAGTATACGAGAGTCAGGCTCATCGCCATCCCAGAGTTCCAAGCTGGCCCTCTTAGCAGCCCGGCTCGCGTGCCCCTGCTTGGGCGCTGGTGCTGGTACTCCCCCAGCCGCTCTCTCCTTGCGCTCCTTCACTTGCGCATGCTCCCGCCGCTCCTTCGTCTGGTGCCTAGCGCGCTCGTAGGCACGCTGGTCCTTTCCACCGACGTCAGTGAGACGATTGTTAACCGTCTCATGCGACTGTTCTAAGGATTTCTCGGAGGTTGTGGTAGACATATGGAAGACATCAATGACAGTGTCTCACTTATATAGATAGTGGAAGCGATATCCCACGGTGACGGCGGCGACGGAAGCATTGCCTCTGAGGGTCAGGAGATGTCAGGATCACGGCTACTGGTCTGAAGCGGATGTGTCAGTAGCTGAGATTAGCTCCCTTTACCAAGAAGGCTACTGACGAACGTTGTCATGACCGAAAGCACTCCACCGAAGATGACGCGAAACAGAAAACTCCGATCGTATACAGTGTCACGTGTCAATGATAAATCACTGACTCGGCTCCGCCTTCTAAACCATGACGGTGGCGAATTGGCTCTTGTCGCTTCTTATAGAGCTCGTATGTTTTACTGTCGTGACAAGCTCTTCATTCGGGAGTCGGGACTGCAACAACAATCACAAACTCTCCCGGACATTGGCCCTAAGACAGCTTGTTTTCTCAACACCGGTTTCTGATACCTTCCACAGTCGATCCTGTGCAGGTCGCAGTCTCTTTGCGTGGTCCTCAAGTTACGGTGACTGATGGCCAACAAAATCGCCATCTCTTTTTGATCGAGTTTCTGCTGGCTTCATTCCATGACTCAGCGTCTGCATCCAGACGGTGTGAATGCGCATTTACCCGCAATGAACGTTTGAACCCCGGTGGACCTGGCCCTGGGTGAGGGTTAAGGAAAATCCTAAAATCTGTGGTGATCGTATATTTGTCTACTATTGCATGGAGGAGGATGACGGACCTGTGCCTGACACCATGTTCGATTGGAGGAATCCAGCATATGCGAAGAGTTTAAATCCCCTCTGTTCTTGCAAATATCCTGCTGCTCACTATAAGCAGCATCCTTTACTTCAGCTTGTCGTATGTCTTTTTTGGCGCGTGGCTTCCGTTTATTCTTGGAACGAGAACGACTTAACTTGACATGGTTAGGTGTCCTTTGTTGTAAATACGGTGATGGTTTAATGTCCAGACAGATGTTGGCTCAGAACCGACAGACTAGAACCTTGGCTGCACATGTTTTGATATTGTGATGTAGTGAGGACACCAGTAGTAGATGTTGAGTATATGTACCATTATTTATGTGGATATGCTCTTTTCGTGGGATGCGCTATAGCCAAGTGAAGTACAGAAGGTTAGCAATGTGCCCCTCCCAATAATTATGCCGGGAAGTAGGAATAGAAAAGAGAGTGAAGACTGGTGCATGCAATCACCGAAAACGGTAAACGAAGGAAGATGATGAAATATATCTGCAATTAAGAAGAGGCCGCGTCGGTCTGGGGGAGCTCGAGGGATTTCTCAGCAGTACTATCGGAACTTGGTTCTTCGGTGCGTAAATTTTGACCTTGATCATGTTGCGCGAGGTCTGGTTGACCGTGTCTGTCACCAGCGGCGTTGGGTCGGTGTGCACCTATACCGTTGCCAAATGCCGTCCAGTCCATGAAGTCACGCCGTACTTCAATGTAGTCGTTCGCAAATTCACCGATCTAGACTCTTATTAGACTGATAGAAAATCAAGAGTGTGACAAGGCTTACCTCGACTTCGTCCAGACCGAGTTTCTCACCCTCGGCCGTTGTGCGTAGGTGGAGGCCAGGGATAGCGTTGACGCACTTGACGATGAGAGCAGTAACAACGAACGCGTATGAACACGTCGCGCAAATATAGGCAACTTGTATGTAAAGCTGTTTCCAATGGTGGTCGACCCAGCCACCAGGGACATTTGTGTTGACGCCATCCAGGGCGACGATGGAACGGGAAGCGAAAAATGCATTCGCCAAGAGACCCAAGATCCCGCCGACAGCGTGCTCAGCAAAAAGATCGAGTGCATCATCCATACGAAGAAGAAATTTAACTTAGGGTTGTGTCAATAAATGCACTCTCAAGCAACCCAATAGTCTTACTTTTAGTTGCGTAATTGCACACAGCACCAGTGATTATGCCCATGATTACTGCTGCCCATGGATGGATGAATCCTGAAGCAGGCGTTGCTGCTACGAGACCAGCAATAGTTCCAGAGCAGAACCCGACCATAGTATATTTGCGCTCCAGACGATAGTCGAGAAGGCACCACACGATACCGCCAAACGCAGCAGCGAGCATTGAGTTCCACACCGCCATGATGGCACGCAAATTCGCCCCAAAAGCGCTACCGCCATTGAAACCTAGCCATCCAAACCAGAGCATAAATGTACCCAGGTTAACCATGGAGACGTTGTGCGGTCTGAAGTTCAAGAGTTCCTCCTCCTGCCTGCGGCCAAGCACCCAGGCATAGGCAAGTCCTCCTACCCCGCTTCCGATCTCCACGGGGCCTCCACCTTTTAGATGAAAAAGATGTCAGAATACATACAGCAGTGAAGATAATTAATTAACCTGCATAATCGAGAACGCCGTATTTAAAGGCCCATCCATTTATATTCCATGGCCAACAAGCGAGAGGGCAATAAACTAAGGTCATCCACAAAAACGTAACAACCATAGCCGGGAGAACCCGTCCACGCTCGGCGATCCCTCCCATCAGGATTCCTACTGTGACGCATGCGAATTCCATCTGGTAGAATGCATATAACAGGTCAGGAATTAGTGGGGAACCTGGTGACGGGTCACCAAGGACATCCATCAGGCCAAAGTGGGCAAGGTTGCCTATGAATCCATTGGTGGCAGTTGGCGAAAATGCCAGGGAGTAACCCCAGAAGTACCACTGAAAAATACAGACTGCATTGCTGGCAGTAACTGCCCAGATAAGGGTCAAAGCAGACTTTCTTCTTGCCAATCCGGAATATAGAAAGGCTGATATAACACCATAAGTGAGCGGATGGGAAATTCGGTGTGAGAGAGATTTGCGAACCGAGACCTGGTATCATGAAAGATACCATAGCACCCGCCACGATTATGAAAGAGACATCTCCACGGTCGAACCTGTGGTATACGATGAGAATACTACAACGGCAGAAATGCTATTGGCTCACTGAGTGGTATCTCCTGTTGCGCAAGATGATCAGCATCAATATTTTGCCTCGGTCTCTATGACGCTTGTGGAGCTCACTCTTCAAAATAGCATTCAAGATGCTCTCTTTGAGAACCATCACGTCGAATATAGTCTGGCAAGGAGATACGGGTAGTGCTGACTATTCAGGCAGTCACGTCTGTCCAACCGATAAACCAAGTCGCTGTGCTGGAACTTTACTAGGCCTTTGGGGCTTGACATGTTGAAAAGTTGAATGAATTTTCATTGGTCGGATAACGAACGACGCCAAGCTTAGATAAGAAGAAGGAGTGCCGCTCCTTGCACTGCACTCGGATGCGGCATGTGTGATCCGCTGCAGGAGTCTTGAGGACTTACATAACACAAAAAACATCAAAACATATCCATATACATGCACGATTTAGATTAATCAGTTTCTTTCAGTGATCACGATCAAGCCTGTAATACATCGTGCCCGTTCATGGAAGCCAGCGCTCAGACTCCATATCTACGTCTCTTAGCTGCTGGCTCCAACGCTCGCGGTCAGCTAGCCAATGGTTCTGATGACGATTCGCATACTTTCAAAGAGTGCCGCTTCATAAACTGCATAGAGGGCATCCTTCCTCCCAATACGCTCGGGATCTCGCAGCTTGTAACTGGAGCAAACCACACTCTCGCATTGTTGGAGTTTGATGACGGCCGAAGGGAGCTTTGGGGGTGCGGAGACGGACGCAAAGGGCAGCTGGGTCCAGAATACATGGAACAGTTGACAGAATTTACGCCGATCAGCATGCCCTTGTACAAATATTATGCTTCCCAAGGATACACCTGTTGTCTTATCGCTGCCGCTTGGGAGACATCATATCTTGTTTTAAAATTACCTTCCCGACCAGACGTGGTCATCTCGATGGGTTCGAATGACTTTGGGGCACTCGGTGTGGGCACAAAACAAGCTACGGCAACTCCAGCTGTTGTTTCGTTTGATCACCTCACCGTCGAGGGACGTTCTATCAATCCCAGTGAGCTCATTTTCGAGTCCATTGTTGCAGGACCTCGTCATGTCGCTCTTCATGTGCGAGCTGTTCTCAATAATGAGCATATGCTCATTGGCTGGGGTTTGGCCAGACATGGCCAACTAGGGGATACGAAGATCGTGAACTATGACCGCCCTCATATCATTTCCCTCGATATATCTCCAGATCCAGTGCAAACATGTTCTCTCGGTCTCCAACACACCGTCGTCTGCTACCAATCAGGGCGGACAACAGCCTTTGGGTCCAACAAGAAAGGACAACTCCATAAGATGGATTCTTGGGGACGTGTTCGACAGGTTGGGTGCACGTGGAATGGGACATACCTTCTCAGAGACGACAATGAAAATACCCTTCTATCCACGGGAAGTAATGCTCATGGTCAATTAGGTCGGGAGTCACAAGTCGAGGAGAACGAGGTTACTGTTGGACCTGTCGAATTTACCTTATCCCACGATGGCAAATTGCCTTCACTAAGATCCTTTGCTTGTGGCAGCGAACATGTGATAGCAGCGATCTCTCCCTCTGGCTCATCGGACACAGAAGTTTGGGGGTGGGGGGTGGAACGAGCACGGTAACTTAGGGCTGGACCATACGGATGATGTGTCGAAGCCCATCAAGATCTGGCCAGCAGAAGGACACGCGCTGGACGGAATAATTACTCGAGTATGGGCTGGAAATGGGACCAGTTGGATATTGTTACAAACATAATTATACAGCTCTATGCTGAAATGCGACGTATGCGTGACAAAAACGACAGCCAACTATTGAAGATACAGGGCTGGGTAAGAGAAAGGTCACTAATCATCTAAGAGGTCCATGTCGTTATGAATTTGCCGGACGGTGGTTTCCTTCGAAGCGGCCAGCTGTAACAAACAAATGAGCATCTCATAGAGGCAGTAGAGGACCTCGTAGAGTTTGATACCCTTCCTATCAATAACTTTGATGCAGAGTATCAGCTTGCAGGGTACAATAGAGGTCAGAACATGGGGGCCAAACCTGAGTAGCGTCCTTGGCTTCATTATAACGATGCAACAGGTTTATGTGTCTTGATACGATAGCCTCGGCGCTCTCGTCCTCACTGTAGATTAGCTCAAGGGGTCAGCGCGTTTCGTCGGAGTCGATTTCTGCTCCAACCCTATCCTCTTTTGTAGGACATCAATTTCTGCCTGAAGTTTATCGATGTATTCCTTTTGTTTCTATACATAAATAAATTTAAACACACTTGTTGTCCGACTTGAAATCTAACATACCTTGGCAGACGTCGTGGCATGCATGATAATTTGCTCTCCTGCAAAACGAATATGTAGAACTTCAGAATGACAGAAAGTGATGACGTGAATGCAACGCGTTGTTGACTCTTGTTTGTGCATCTGGGTTCCGTGCTTCGAAGCCCTATGCGTCAGCACTACTTGAATAGTTTCTCTAGCATTCAGGTATGTTGGGAATCACCCGTTCATTTTGAAGACATACACGACACACGAGACTAGTATTCATAATAAACCTTCGTATTCCAAATCAGCTCACCCTGCAGCCGCCCAATTTTTGCATGCATGCGCTCCAGCGAGTCCATGCCCATATGCACGTTCACAAGGCCTGGAATGCCCTCCTGAACACTCTTGCGCAAGTATTCATCGTCCATCTGCGTCACCGACCAAACGCGTTTTGTCACAACCTCAACGGTAGCCAGCGCATCGCTTCCGATGAACGCATCAAATCCAGCACGAATCTGCGTTGTTACGGCTGTTGGTTCCGATGCATACAGTGCTGGAGGCTCGAGCATCTTACTGCTTGATACAATGGGCGTGCGCGCCCAACCTGGATAGACAGTCACGAACTGTGTGGCCATTCAGCGCCAACGACATCCCCTCCAACTCTCGATAAACCGCCTGCGCTGCGTTGTTATATACGACGTCGACGCGACCAAATGCATCTTTGGCCTGTGCGAAGACATAATTTACCTGCGCTTCGTTCGTTACGTCCAGACTCCAGGGGGAGTACTAGAAGCTGAGTGCGCGGATTATGGGCCGCGAGGCCATCAAGGACGGAGGGCTTGCACAGAGTTATGACGGCAATCTCGCCGTTACGCAGGGCCTCTTCCACCATCGCCCTGCTAAACCCAGAGGAAGAACCGGTAACTATGCTCAGTCAGTGACTCGCATGTGCACCAACTCACTGAACCAAACTCGAGGAGTGGATTGTGCCATAATTGTTCTGTTTGTTTGCTCGTCGAGAGTACGTAAAGTATTATATAGTACAAATGTTTCAGGTTCGTGACACTAATCGTGTCACTCAATCGATTTGCCGGACTCGAGGGGCAAAGATATCATAAACGGATGTCTTCGAGGTTTTTGATGCTATTCATTCCACGGTCCTAATGGTTCGCGTGCATCTGTCATTCATGTGATGGAGTCCTAGTGACGCCAGTACCAAGCTAGTCGGTAGATGGCCAATAGTCGCTTGCCAAGGCCATGGATGCCATGGATCATGTTGGGTAAGGTGGGTAGAACTAAGCTGGGAAACGTGAGTAGCGATGAGGAAGGGTGGGTACGACCAGAATGAGCGACTGGGGTTTGGGAGCGGGAGCGCTGGATGCGCGCTTGGAGGGTTTGGAAGGTGTGGAGGTTGTCGATGAAATCGGTTAATGCTAGGCAGATGAGGGAGTGTGTTGCTCATCGCGGGAAGCAGAGAACCGATGCGATTGTGGCGTGCTTGCAGTTTGTCATGTTCTATGGTTTATTTGCAAGTTCGGTGTTGTACGTTCTCCATAGCTCGATAAGTTCGTGTTAGTCCCATATGTTGCGAACTCGTCGTATATACCAAGTCCGTGGCCTGGGTATATCCATCATCATCAATATCATCACCTGCTAAGCAAACCGACTCACTCACCTGGGCATCGGCAGCGTCCGCTGTTGCAGGACTGGGTATCCACAGGTTAACAACCGCACACCCGCGGTAGAGTGTACTTGAGCAGTTCTTCTGGAGCATCGGTGCCTTGGCGAGCATTCTCTTGAAAGGCATTGGAAGAAAAAGGACGTGCAGTACGAATTGCATAGCAGATGTGGTGGATTTTGTAAGAAAGTGGAGGAGGGGCTGGGGGGACGTATACTTGAGGAATTGTCAGTATCTAGGTATTTGAATCAAATGAAGAATGATACCGAATGTAGATTGATCCCATCCTCAAACTATTTATGTGATAGCCGTGCAATGGTATCTGATCTAGAGAGCCCAGGACACACGGATACGGCAGCAATGTTGGACTTTTGCACCCTGTCACTGACGACGTAGATGGTGGAATCGTCTGTCTTTGGTATCTGCCCGACTGACGGAAGTGCATCTAGGACACATTGGAGATAGCGGGTGATCGGTGGGTGCGACGAGGAGAAGTGTGTATATTAAGTTAATGGTGCAAATGAGGTTATTATAGCCGCAACTGATGATGGAACTTAGCTGTTGATACTCGTGAGCGCTTGAGCAAAGATGATAGCATCCAGTCTAGTCTCCGGAAGCAGAATGAACGGACGAAAAAGCAGCCATCATGACGTATAAACACTTGATCAGGGCCTGCTTGAGTGCATAGGATCGATCTTGGTACTGATCAGAACCCTTAAGTAGTCCAAGTCGATGGACAATTAGATCGTTTCTTTATTCCACACCCCTCGAGGCTTGTACTAATAACGGCCTGTTATTTTATATAAATGGGTGATGTAGGACCCTTCCTAATTTTTGCACCTTGTCGCTGACAACGTGGATGGTGGAGTCGTCTGTCTTGGGTACCTGCCTGCCCGAACACGCAGGAGATGGCGAGTGGAAATGACCATTTGAAGGGAGTGCCAGTCTTCTTGTGGAAAATGCAGAAATGTTGGAGGTGACCTGGAGGTTGGGGTGCGGTGGCTGCGTAGAAAGGGTTGACGACGTTGATGATGCATTGATACGTATCTCGCGTTCGGTGGGTGCAACGAGCTCGAGAAGGGTGAGAATGATGCTAGTCAGGCGTTAGGACAGCAGGACTCTAAGCCCTAGCTATGTAGCTGTTGATGCGCAGATGATAGCAATGTTGTTGTGAGGAAGTGCGCTTGAAGCTTTGAAGCTTTGAAGCTTAAGCTTGAGCGCTCGAGCTTGAGGCCTGAGGCCTATGAGGTCCGAAGATGATGCAATGGACAAGTCCGACAAGCACTGCTGAAACTATTTTTGTCACAATCTAGTAAAGCTATGTAGATTCGACGAACCACCAGAAGAACGTGGTCGAAATTCAATTAATGCTTAAGCGCTTAGCGCTTATCGCTTGCACAACTGCAACAAATAGGCGTTAATGGCCCTCTGTTATTTTATACGACTCTTATTTTACTTCGCTTCAACTGCTTATTCACAATGACTCGGAGCAAAGGCAAATCGTCGAGGGGTTCCACTCAACAAACCCACACATCTAGCGAAGGAACAGCTCGTGAAAGTGCGGTATGTGGTTTTGAGGGTCACTTAATTAACTCCACTTCAAACACTGACATCGACGCATCCTTCGTCTAGCACCGACCCCGTGGCAGAGTCGGTCGGTTTCTGGAGAAGGTTAAGGGCGGCGTGAACAAGCTAAGAACCTCTGTGAGTCGACGAGCATGCTTGATGAGTGTCCTGGAATACGACTCAGATTGCCATAAGCGCTCGAAGGATTCCCGTAGCCACAGCCCTGTTCCCCCGAATGTCAATCATGACCATGCTTCATCGACCTCGGTAGGTTCTCATGCTTTCACTCCAATTTCCGCGTTCTCTCTAAATTCTGATGGTCATACAGGTTCAGGCTACTCCATCTGCTGTAGAAGTGGAGGCTGATACCCAATCAGCACTTCAGGATACTCAAGAGGCTGCGAAGGACATGCGTTCACCTTCGGAACCTGCGGTAACCTTGGTTTCTGTTGTTCGAGGTGCACAAGAGGATCTCGATACTGCGGACAAGTTCCAGGACACTTATCTCAAACCCCTCAAGATATTCGACGATGTTATCAGGAAGATCGCGGATGTATGGACCCTCCTCTCGATCGAAACCGAACTAATTCCGTTCGACAGGTACATCCATATGCAAAGATGGCACTGGGCATATTGTCTTGTGCAGCCAAAGTATGTTTTCATTTTCTCTCTTCCTAGCTCCCACTGTTACTCAACAATCATCCGTACAGATTATTCTAGCGCAAATGAATCGCGACAAAGCGGTACGCGAACTTCTCAAGAAGATAGGTGAAGTTTACAGCTTCATAACGCAAGACGAGATGCTGGGCCAAATCTCGTCGATGCACGCTATCCTTGGAAAGATTTCTCAGCAGACTCGTGAATGCGCCCATTTTATCAAAAATTATTCGGAAACCAAAAACTTTTGTGAGTCTTAACAAGCTATTGCGCTCTGTACCGTCCTGAGCTTCCATCATAATCACAGGGATCAGACTTGGAAAGGATGTCCTCTCAGAAACGGACGACACGATCAAAAAGTACAATGATGTGTTTGAGGGGCTCATGCAAAACTTCCGGGACCAGGTTGCTCACGGCGTAGCCATAGGCGTCCGCGACATAGCCATACACGTCCATCGTATGGGTAAGCGTTCGGACGTCCTTGTAACTTGACATATATTCATACTTCTTCAGAAGAAATATTGGACCTTAGCAGTATGACTTATGCAGATGGCGCGGGATTAGATACCAGAAAAGAATGCCTTCAAGGGACCCGCACGGAAATCCTTTCCGACACTATGGAATGGGTCAACAGCACTGGGGACAATGTTCAACGCGTGCTGTGGCTATCTGGCCCTGCAGGCAAGGGCAAATCGGCCATCGCCCACACCATTGCTAAGTGGGTCAATGACGTGGGAGGGCTTGGTTCGTGTTACTGTTTTGATCGTCAACGAGAAGCAGACCGTCGCCATGAAAAGATCTTTTCCACGATCGCGCGCGACCTGGCTGACCGCAATCCGGAGATGAGAAGGGCATTGGCAGATGCAGTTCAGGCCGCGAGTTCGCTCAAGAAGACGGCAGATATAATCCAACAGTGGCAGAAGCTTCTTATTGAACCATTGGAGAAGTCGACTGGGTCGACTGGGGAACCCATCGTGATCGTGATCGATGCACTGGACGAGAGCGGTGGAGTAGAGACACGGAAAGACCTCCTCAGCATTCTAGCTGGCAAACATCAAAACCCCGCTGTTCCAAAACTCACAGACCTCCCTGGCAACTTCCGTTTCATCGTTACCTCTCGACCCCTTGATGACATCAAAAACAAGTTTCGTGGTGTTCAGCATATTCGACAGATGTCGATGGATGATATTCCACGAGCAGATGCAGAGCGCGATATCCGTGCTTACGTATCCATGGAATTGGAAGGGCTGGATTTCCAGGATAGAGATTTCATAGTCCTCGCTGAGAAAGCTGATGGACTTTTCGAGTGGGCGCGTCTCGCCTGTGGATACATCAAAGAGTCCGATATGGTATATCCAAAGGATTGCTACGAGGCTGTGGTGTCACGCAATCCTGTTAAGAGAACCCCGCTGTTGCACGACATGTATCGCCTCATTTTAACAAATATCATACCCGGGGATAGATCTCTGCATTCGCAGGAATTGCGTTTGACTGCATTAGCGAGATTTCGCTCAGTGATGGGGCAAATACTAGGCACAGCTGAACCTCTTCCTTTAGCTTCCCTGAACGCCATGAGGCGCCATTTTCCAACGCAAAAGGACGATTTCGACGTGGAGCTTGTGGTAAAAAGGATGGGCTCCCTCCTCAGCGGGACCACCAACCCAGACTCCCCAATCCGACCCCTTCACGCCTCCTTCCATGATTTCTTGACGGACGAACGATCCAGCGGAGAGTTTTTCATCGACCTGTCAAAGGCCCAACGCGACCTTGCATTCGCCTCACTTCGAGTGATGAAAGACGGTCTTCGCTTCAATATCTGTGATTTAAAGTCATCGTATCTGCCCAATAGCGAAGATCCCGGGCTGCAAGAACGAGTTCGAAAATGCATTCCCCCACATCTGTTATATTCCTCTCGATTTTGGACGTCGCACGTACGAACCACAGCCTTCGACAAGGAGCTCGCGAAAGAAGTTAAATTGTTCTTCGACCACGAGCGGGTGTTTTTCTGGCTGGAGTCACTCGCCCTGACCAATGCGCTCAGCGGTGCAGTCGGTGCCCTTCCGCCCATTGCCCAGTGGCTGAAGGTGAGCACATTGCTACTACGTGTCAGATAAAGTGCTCATGTGCAACCACAGGGCCATCCGAAATTCAAAGATGTGTCGTCGACTGCAATGGACGTACAAAGGTTCATTCAAGTCTTCGGCAGGATGGTTTTACACAGCACGCCACATCTGTATGTATCAGCACTCCCATTCTTGCCTGTCAACTCTTCGCTATCGAGAAAGTTTTCTGCACGGTTTCCCAATATTCTTCTTGTAGCATCTGGACGTGATATGAACTGGCCGGCTGTTCAAACCGTGCTCAGGGGGCACACTTCTTCAGTAGTGTCGGTCTCATTCTCGCCGGACGGCACTCGCATCGTCACTGGTTCGCACGATAACACTGTTCGGCTGTGGGATGCAGGGACGGGGGAGCCAGTCGGCGAGCCCTTGCGGGGGCACACTGATTTAGTAACGTCGGTCTCGTTCTCGCCGGACGGCACTCGCATCGTCACTGGCTCGGAGGATAAGACTGTTCGGCTGTGGGATGCAGGGACGGGGGAGCCAGTTGGTGAGCCCTTGCGGGGGCACACTGAATCAGTTTTGTCGGTCTCATTCTCGCCGGACGGCACTCGCATCGTCACTGGTTCGCACGATAACACTGTTCGGCTGTGGGATGCAGGGACGAGGGAGCCAGTCGGTGAGCCCTTGCGAGGGCACACTGATTCAGTTTTGTCGGTCTCGTTCTCGCCGGACGGCACTCGCATCGTCACTGGTTCGGACGATGACACTGTTCGGCTGTGGGATGTAGGGATGGGGGAGCCAGTCGGTGAGCCCTTGCGGGGGCACACTGAATCAGTTTTGTCG